GAACGGAATTACACCAAACGTAATCTTGAATGGTGGAAAGCTGATGCAACTAGACGTCACGAAGTATAATATACGGTTCCGCGATAGCATCAACTATAATCCACAAAGCCTAGCCAAGTGGCCAGCAACATTCGGCATCATAGATATTGAAAAGGGCACCTTCCCCCACAAGTTTAACCGGAAGGAGAATTGGGATATGATTCTTCCTTTTCCTGACCCTGAAGAGTACGGCTTTTCCAGCATGAACAAGAAATCCAAGTCATTGTTTATGCAATGGTACAACACTGAAGCTGAGCAAAAAAACTACGCTTTTGACTTTCGAAAGGAGATTGTGGAATATTGTCGGATGGATGTAACGGTCCTACGACTGTGCTGCCAGCAATTTCGCCGCCTTTTTCAAGAAATCAGCAATGGATTGTGCCCCTTTGTTTCGGCAATGACAATTGCGGGAGTGTGTAACCGATTTTGGAAATCATTTATTTTGAAACCTGACCAAATTGGATTACTGCCTCAACGCGTTCATGCCAAGAACCGCAATCAGTCGGAAGTTGCCAAGAAATGGTTAACATGGATCGAATACCAGGAAAACGTCGAAATCGAGTCTGTACTAACCGGAGCAGAGCATCAAATTGGACCATATTTTGTTGACGGATACCGCCAGGATATTAATCACGTCTAAGAATTCTACGGGCGCTGGTACCATGGATGCCCTCGTTGTCATGCTGCAGATACTATACATCCGCTGCGTAATCTGCCAATGTCGGAAATTTATAATGAAACATTGGAGCGGGATAAGTACATCCGGAACCAAGGGCATGGATTAACCGTCATTTGGGAACACGAGTATCACGACCAAGTAAAGGCGGATCCCGAAATGAGAGCATTTGTCCAGGGACTGTCATTTATTGCACCTTTAAACCCTCGTGATGCTTTTTACGGTGGTCGGACCAACGCCGTCAGCTCTTCCATGAAGTGAACGGTGACGAAAAGATTAATTATTTTGACGTCAACAGCGAGTATCCATACGTCAACAAAAACAAACGGTACCCAATCGGCCATCCCACCATCATTACCAAAGATTTTGATGATATTCGCAACTACTTTGGAGTTGTGAAATGCCGAATCCTACCGCCAGGAGATCTGCAACTTCCCGTACTTCCCTACCGCTCGGGTGGAAAGTTAACGTTTCCTTTGTGCCGCACCTGTGTGGACAACTATGAAAACGCTCAGTGTGAGCACACGGACGAAGAACGCGTTTTAACGGGCACATGGTGCACGCCGGAAATTATTGCTGCTCTGGACCGTGGCTACGTTGTTATTAAGATCTATGAAGTGTGGCATTTTGACCAACATGATGACCACCTTTTCGAGGAATATATCAACAAATTTTTAAAAATTAAGACGGAAGCCAGTGGATGGCCGCTGCATGTCCAAACCGAGGAGGAGAAGCAACAATATATATCGGATTTCAAGCAGCATGAAAAGATTGATTTGGGTTATGACAAAATTGACACAATCTTGGATTGCGATCGCTATCCAAGCTGTGCCTGAACAGGTAAATTTGCATCGGATTTTACGCCAACGTGTACTACTCGTGTGTTGCCTTTACAGTTTTTATGAACGTTTGGGAATGCAAGACAACAAACCCAACACAATGTATATTACCGAGCCCGAGAAATTTTATGATATGCTTCTGTCCGGAAAATTCCACGTACAATCCTGGGATATGTTTACGGAAGACGTCGTGCAACTAGCGTACACTAAAGAAAGCGGATTTGTGGAGCGCAATCCCAATACCAACGTCATTTTGGCGGCGTAAGTGCAGAAATATTTTTTTCTGGAACTGTCAATGAGCCTAGTTTGCTTTGCAGATTTATAACATGCTGGGCACGATTGCACTTGTACAATTTTATGGATATGGTGAAAGATCGGTTACTGTATTTTGATACAGGTAATTCAGATTTTTCCGAAAAAAGGTTTTGTTTCTGGGAAATTTACCGTACATGCCCTTTACAGATTCGATATTTTTTGTCACAAGGCCTGGACTTGTTGATTCTCCCACCGGAATCTTTTTGGGAGACCTGACCAACGAACTGAAGCCAGGACAATATATCACGCAGTTTGTTAGCTTGGGCGCTAAAACGTATGCCTAAGTCACCAATGATGGAGATGCTGTCGTCAAAGTGAAAGGCTTTACGTTGAACGGGCAAACGAGTGAGCAAATTAACTTTAGCACCATGTTAGAGATGTTGGAAAACCGGACTTTTGTAAATATTCAGTATCCGGATATTCTTAAACGAGTTAAAAAAGATCTGACTATATGTACCACTAGTATGGAAAAACGCCTGCAAGTGACGTATGACAAACGTCGCATTGTTGATGCGGAATACAACACTTTGCCTTATGGCTTTAAGTTGAAATAAATTTATTGAATTGATCGAGCATGATTTCGACGCGTTGCACCGCTTTCGGTAAATCAGTAGCGGATTTCAGACCAAAAAAATTACATTTGCCAGAAGTAAACAGAACAGCACGGCCAACACTACACTTGATGGCTAGACCACTAAACAATTCAGGTGTATACTCCAAGTGAAAAAACTTGCTGAATTTCTCGATATGCACACGTTGAGGAAAAGTATGATTAGCCACAATATTGACAATACGAAATTTAGAAATGGTACATCGGTATCCAATAGCGGTTAACATGTTAGTAAAATTCTGCAACAATTCGTGGGCTCCTTCTGAGCGGGCTCCGTTGACGGTGATTTTGCCATTGCGGTACAGTTGACAGTGCGCTTTGTATGGTTCCAAGATCCGCAAAAGCAATCCAGAAAATCGATGGGGTATATACTGAGCCATCGGCAGCGCCTTTTCCATTTTCTTCAGGTCCAGGGTAGTGTTTAAATCCGCAACGGCAACGACATTGGTGATTTTCGGCATCGCAATAGTACCACAGCGTGAAACGCACGGCTTTGCGCAAGGTGGACACGGGGAGGGTGGTCAGCTTATGATACGGCGGGCATCCAAAGTTTTCCAGGTTGGCGACTTCCGGTAAGTACTGCTCCAAGAGGCGGCACTTTTCCAGTCCCTTGGCGAAGAAACGGATTTGATTCGGTCGGCCAATTTTTTTGAACATATCCTCTAGGGCGCAGGTCACTTGGTTATGACGATATTCTCCTTCGGTATTCCACAACAATCCGTGGGAGTGACGGGCTTGGGTGCGCAATAATGAACCGTATTTGGCAGCAACGCGCGGGAGTGTAAAAGTGTACAACTCCTGCTGTTCTTTTTCCGGGCAGTAAAAGGCAAGCTGCTTAATGTATTTCTTCCCGGCAATAACAAACCAGTCAGCATCTAGAATACAAGGAGTGGCCATTTTGGATCAGAATGAATGACCACTGCTGCGTCACACGGCTATTTATAGCTGTGGAAGGTATCACTTTTGAATGTTACAGGTGTCATTAAGAAACATTACACCGGTAACTTTTCAAAATTACCAGTACCCATTCGAATGTTACAGGTCGGTAACAATCAATAATTACCAGTATCACTATCCATTGTTACTACGTTCCGTATGCCAACTATAAAAAGCTGACAAGTTTCTTCAGAAAGCTCAGTTCTTTTTTCTAAAATGGAGTTTCTGGATTTGCCCCCCCATCGAACAAGCGACCTCGGAAGCCTAAAGCGGATGACGTCAAGAAGCCAAAGTTGGAGGATGCAAAACCTCACCAACGATTTGCCTTTACCCAGCAAGGCCGCCCCGTCTACCGCCTAGCAACGACAAATTCGTTTACGTCGCCCGCAGCACGACCGACCACCATGTTGTCCGCGTGGTTTTTGGTGAGTGGAAAGAGCAACCGGATCATTCGTGGAAGCCGACTTGGGGCAAAAGCATTGCCCTCAACAAACCTGGATTTTTACGTTTGGCTGCTCTGATGCTGACGGGTACTACGGATATGGATGAAGCGACGCAGGCCTCTTCAGCTGAAACGGGCAAGTTATCCCCATTATACCGTTTGGATGGTGGAATGTATTTTGGTTGGAACCGCTTCAACAGTGCCAATGTGGCAACAATCCGTCGCTATCATCAAAAACCAGCTGGCGATCTATACCCTCCGCGCTATGGCATTTCCTTTGGAGAGCGGTGCTATGATGCCTTGAAGGAACTGTTGCAAGACATGCAGCTGTTTAAAGACATGGCGGCCATTCAGAAAGAACTGGGAAAACCGGACCCTGTCAAGGAAGGACTAATGTACAAAGATTTGCTAAGCGAAGTAGCGGAAGCAATGGTAGGACTGGTCAAGCTGACCGATGACGGAACGGGTGGAACGGGTAAGGAGCGCCCAACCGACGGCGAATGGAATGCTGCTATGGAGCGCCTGACTGAATTGCGGATGGTGTATGGCATTTTATTTGGCAAAGACAAACTGGGCGTGGAACAAGCACTGGAGCTAAACGTTGCTGGATTTTTAGCCAGCAACGGAAAGGAATTGCGTGACCGTGTAGGTCGTATGCTAACTGACGAATGTTAAGTGGGTTCTTGAATTATATTATCTTTGTATACTATACTTTGTCACATTTACTGTTCAATAGCGCTGCCCATTTTTTTGCTGATCATTTTATTAATCGTTTGCAAATCTGCCGGATGAGATTTCCATCAACCATGGTTGTTTTTAAATTGAAAAAACAGTTAACGTACTGGCACACCATCTTGTCGTTGCTCGCCTTATTATCAGTAAACAAATGCACAATATTCGTAAATGACTCGCCACTACATCGTCGTAAAATGAAAAACAGACAATATTGGCCACAGACGGTACTGAGTTCTGATTGAAACTGCTCGGATTGCAAGACAATTTCATTCTCTTTAGTTAAACTAACAAAGTCTGACGAGTAAGATTCCAGCTTCTTGCCATACGAGTCGAACACTTCCATACTTCCATCCATTTCCTGATACAAAGCAATCCAATGCTCTCCTTCTCGGTCAGCCGGATCAGTATTTACCACACACGCTGCGGGATAGGGTTGTAGTGACGGGGGTACTTCATTACTGGCAAAAACACCACAAAAAGTTTGGGTGGTGATCGAATGGCCCTGCAAGGCCTCGTTGATTTGCTGGCTGTGCATGTTGAAAAGTCCGCAATCAGCTGACGGTGTTGGTTGATCTCAATAACGCTGTCGTACACCAGCATGCACACCATCATGATGGTTTTTACCAATGGTTTTCCAAAGGAAACAGAAACGCTTAAATTGCCCTGTTTGATCAAAGTTAGCGGTCCGCGTCCAGTATGTCCGGGCGTGAGGTCAAACCCATATAGCGTATAGCCTTGGTTGTACTGTATGCGCGTAAACGGGAGACTTCCTTGTAGACTTGGTCGATGGCCCAACGTATCTAGTAGTCCATCATAGCATTCCAAAGACAGGCTGCGTTCAAAATCAGCCATGTACGGTTTGTTGGGATAACTTTGCCCGTCCACTTCCACACTGATTTGCGTCAGGTTAAAGTGTTGAAAGTTGAACGGACTGCGTTTACTTGATCCATGAAAATCTTCACTGTCCACAAATCCAATGAAGGCCACTTTGGGAATTTGTCCAATTTGCAGATTACTGACCACTGTGCTCTGTGTCTTTTGAGCAATATCCGACACACGCATTACCACACGTTCAATGTGGTACTTTACGGTTTTTTTTAACAATTCTCCCATCACGGCCGTTAGAAAATCAGGGGATGGTATATATCGTCGAATCGATAGTCGAGCGTTGCGGATGAATGGTTTGAAGGACTTTGTAGCGTCTTGATCCCACAGGCGCAAAGAAAATTCCGGTCGGCTGACCACTAGTCGGATATTGACAGGCACACCCGTGCACAGCGGTTTACTCTGGTCAAACAGATCCGCAAACAGCTTGCCAGACAGTTGCACATAATTTCCACCATCAAACAAGGCTTTGCGGTTTTTCTCGCCCTTGTTTAGTGTTTCATCGTTGAAGCGCAGTGCGGTATCGTGGTAGAAAGCCGCCGATGTCAATTGACTATTTTGCGCATCGGTCGTATAAGATAGCAATGATTCCAGATAAGCACGGTATGGATAGAACGTCGCTGCATCCGAGATAAGCCGATTAGCCACCGTCACGTGACACGAAGAAAACAGAGAATGCAGAAAATTGTTGACGGGAGCGACACCATCGGCTGCTGTCATCGCTTCCCATTCTCCAGTACCCTTGCGCACTTTGATGCCCACCTCTAGCTCCAGTATCATATCAGCCAAGCTAAGTAAACCAGACGTACTGGGAGGAATGAAAAAGTTGATGTCTCCAGCTGAACCGTTATCCGTCAGAATGGTAGTGGGATTCAGTTTCTCGTTCTCCGTACGCCAACGATCAGTCAGCGTTGCCGGAAGGGCAAAAAACTGATTCTCCAGCTGCATGGCCGGTTCCGAATCTTCGACCATGAGCATGGCCATTTTTTAAATAAAGTCAGGAATATCTTTAGGGGGAATACGTTTTATCCGTCACAATCGTTTTCGACCTTGTCCTTCTTGAGGAGCTAGACGTTTCTCAATCGCGGCTCCGGCACGTGCTGCTACATCTTTAATAACCCCGGTAGCAGCTTCTTGCAGGTGTGGTGTGGCGGCTTCCAGCGCGGCTTTGGCATGGGGTGCTGCTTGCTTTAAAATAGGGGCCGCAAAGGAAGAAATTTTGGCAAATAACCTTTTAAGGATTTGTGGAAACCCCGATCCATTCTGCAAGATCCCACGGTAGCGTATGAGCGCGCTTCTTCCGGTTTGGTTCAGGAAGACGCTTTCATAACGCCGCGGGTCGGGTACGTACGGAACCAGGGGCATTTTTAGTACAATCTTTGGGGTCGGAAATGCAGTTTCACCAACGATTTCCCGGTTTGGAATTTGGCATCGTCTCCGAGATCATTAGCAATGGTCAGGTGAATGGTTTCGAAATGTTGTCGTAAAACAGGAACGTAATGCGGAATGTCGAACCGTGCTTCCACGATTTGATTGGCTTCTCCTCTAATAGGTACAGAACGCAAAAATTGCGCTGCTGTGTCTCCGATCAAGCTGTAGTCAGCCACATCGCTGTACACAAACAAACTTTGATTTCCTAACAAAGTGTTCATGGGACGCTCCGAAATAAAAGTGCTCAGCTTGGGATTGGGCGGGTTGGTCAGGAACGAGAGATATTTAATTTGACTAGTCTTGGTTTCCATGGGAAAGGGGCCCCGCGCATTGCCGTGATTCTCAACTGGCACATCTGGTTTGAATTCAGCGCTGCCAAAACCAAGAATCTTTTGCAAAATTGATGATCCTGGAGGAATAACAACAGACACACGGTCGTTTCCAATGTTGAGTCGCACGCGATGATTCGTTGGGGTGAGGAACTGAACGGTAAAGGCTCGATCGGTTGACAAGGCGCTTTTATCGGAATGAACCGTATCATCCACCATGTATGCTCCAACTTTAGGCACCAGCGAATTGATCGTTTGCAGTAACAATTCAGCATTCTTAAAGTTGCCTGGCGGAATGGTAATTTCATCTTGATGGATGACATAATCAACAGATTCAATAAAACCTGTGTCGTTTTTTTTTCAATCGGAATTCTTTCACAATATTCACTTGTATTTTCTGTTCCACGGGCAAAGTATAAAACGAGTTCAAATATTGCAACTCGACAAGGGCCATTTCCCACTTTCCTTTGAGAGTGATGGGGTGTTTCAGTTTGGTTGTCCAGTTAGAGGCTGTGTTGGTTGCTTCTGTTGCCACGTCGCTAGGCAACGTCACGTAGAAAGGATCCCCTTCATACATGATGCTTTGATCCACGAATCGTGTTCCGGTCCGTATCCTAACCAACGTACCAGTACTTTGTTCCCTTGACGTTTCACAATGTGGTCGATGGTAAACTGATCCGGTTCAGAAACTTTAGAAAGTTCGTGTTCATAGAATGTTCCTTTGATAAGATTGTCTTGATAGTCTTTCAACCGATAGACGGGAACGTAATGCGGAATAACTTGCACAACGTAGAAAATCTCCTCCTTAAATCGATACGCGTAGCCTTTTTCCATCTTGCTTTTGTTGATAGCAATCCGCACAGCGTCCCCTACACTGTACCGCGGTTGGTACGCAATCTTTGGTGGATACAAACGGTGATAAACCGATAAGGAATTGCTGTGCTTAACATCCACGGGGCGCATTCCATGCGACTGATGCTTTGAATGGTCGTACGAATACACCAAGTCCTGCAGCTTGTCCACATAACGTGTTGCAACACGTGCGCGGAAAAGGCGGAATGTTCGCGACTTGATGGTCCGTATGACTCGTTCGGCCATGGCGCATTTGATGTCTTCGTTTTCCGAAGTGAACATGGCGATCCTTTTGCCGTTGAGGAAGTCTTTCACCGTCTTGTTCAACATTTCTGTTCCTTTATCGTATCGGAGCTTTTCCGGTTCTCCCAATTCCTTGAATGCTTGCTCTAAAGCTGTTTTGGTTTCTTTACCGGTCTTTCCTCTCAAAGGAATTACGCTCAGTTTTTTTGGAAAAGCAGTCAATGACAAACAGCAGGTACTTGTATCCATCGTTTTCTTTGGCATATTTAGACAGGTCAGCCAGATCAGCTTGGTATTGCTGCTGCAGTGTCGTCACGACTACTCGGTTGCGTGGGAACCGTTTGCGGTTCTCCTTCGTCACCGTGTACGCATCGATCCCTTGCAGAATTTCCAAAGCTTTCCGTTTGTTGGCTCTGGTTTTTAAACTCCTTTGGAATCTTGCGATGCCGCCAAGGCTTCCGGGATTTCTTCGGTTTAAGTACTTTTTCATCAGCTTCTCCATTGTTGCAACATGTGGACACACAGTTGATCTTAAATATGCGGCATAATCGCAAAACACTGGGTATCCAACTCGCCATTATGGCAAAGTAATCCACGGTAAGCGTCGGCTGCCGCTTCCCACTTGTCTTTTCTTTTGGACAGGAGTTTCCACTTCCACAACCACCTTTCTTTTTGAGCCTTTGGTGGGCAGAGTAGGCGGAAATAACGGTCGTCGTGGAATTTTCACCGGTAAAAAATCCTCTTCGTTTTCGCGATCACGTTTGCGCCCTTTGGTTGGTAAGATCTCCGGAAATATTGGAACACGTGATTGTTTTGAGGAACTTTTAGTATCGTGAAAATCCTCTTCACCCTCCCGTTCGCGCTTGCGCCCTATTGTCGGTAAGTTATCAGGGAATAACGGAACACGTGGTTGTTTTGAAGATCTTTCAGTATCGTAATCGGTCCGTTTCCTTTTGGAACCAGTTGGAAGAGGTTTCGAAGATTCAAAGGTCAACGCTGATGGCTGAATGGTGGGAACATTCGGTATTTCCAGTAAATTTTCGTCGGGCAAGGCTTTCTGTTTCAAAGCTAAAAAGCGCTCCAGTATGCTTGATAACTGGCTGGCTTTTTCATACTCATTTATATCGGTACGATGCAAGGTTTTGGCTAATAAGGCATCCAATGACAAGACCGTTCTGGCTTCGGGAGGTTCCTTATTTATCTGTATCTGCTCATGTAGTCGTGCTTCCATGTCACGGCGCGGTACAATGTAGTATTCATCCATTTCCAATCAGTGACGTCAACACTCCGGCTATAACGGGTAATATGGCTCCAATGAATCCTCCTTGCTGTAGAATTTTCCGCTTTTTTTTATTCGGGTACCGCCGGAGAGCAATCAACTTTAATGCTTTCCGATGGCGTTTGCACTTGTCCAGTTCGGTAGGGCTGAGGGCCACAATGTTCTTGACAATATTAACCGCAATTTCTTCCAAGGCTTTCAACTGCGATTTGTTCATATAACCCAATAGAACTTTAAGCTGTTTGGGTTTCAGATTTTGCAGAGTAATCAGGAAAGGGGCTAAGGCTTTAACACGTTCCGACATTTTGGCAACGATTGGTGTAAATTCTCATCTGCTCATATGGCAACACATGAGAGCGGATCCTTAAATAATCCGGACATGCGGGTCGCATATCAATGATCAGAGGCAGGTAAGGTTGAGCAGTCACTTTTCTGTACGCTTCCACTAAATGTCTCAATCCTGTTTGACGGGCTAGTAAGTTGATTTGTTGGACATCCCTCACGCTCTTAAATAGTATCAAGTACTGGGAATTGAAAGTGATGTCTCGCATTGATTTTCCTTGCTTATATAAATTTTGCAGCAGAACAACGACTGAAACGTTGTTGTGATGTATTCTACGCGTGAACAAATTGGAGCAACGGTCGTCTTTACATAAATCAGAACTTTTTCAGAAGCCAGGTCGTCATTGGTTATCAACGTTTGCTCGCCGGAGACGGTATCGTCTAGCAGCGAAAACAAATTATCCAAGCCTTTGACAAACTCCAAGTTCTTCAAATTATGAAAAGCATTCTGCCATTCTCCGTAGCAGTAAATTATTTTAGATGGCGGCTTATCAATCAGTATGTCACTATTGTTGATCAAAGAAAACTTAAAATTGGTTTTTCCAGACATTGTCGGTCCACAAATGCACATTCCAAAGGGTGCGCAAAAGCGCGGAAATGAAGACAACGTTCCATACATTTTGTCACTTTTGCTAGTTGGATTTATTTTGCGCCTTAAATGTTCCTGTTTGCAGTTATTTAAGGCGATGACCTGCAAACAGCAAGTATTTAAGCATGAACGTTTCAAATTGTCGCGCTATGGCCGACCCAAGGCGTTTGTTTCCGAATGCGACCCCTGTGGGTCGCAGATGTGAAACAATTTTATTAACGCTTCTTTACGTAATCTTCTTTATTGTTTTTGCCATATTCATCGTGACGGAAGCGGTGGGGAAAATGCTACAAACCAACTACTGGAACAGCACTTTAAGGAACATCACTCACCCAAGTGGCAGCTAGGTAAAAACGGCCAGTCGGTTATTCTTTTGCAAAAATCTTTTATCGCTGGTCGTGCTTTCAGTTGCCAGTTGTGATTGAAAGCATCGCAACCGAAGAAAGCCAAAGCACCGAACGCGGAACAAATTTTACATGGCCACCGGAAAGATCCGAACGTCCTGACGATCTACAGTTGGATTCCGGCTCCAGTTAGGTTAATTCCGTTGTACATCGGCATCGTCGAGCTACGTCGAAGATAAGGATGATGATTCAGCAAAACAAGCACTCGAAGTCGTAGCAATCGGTCCTGGACTGTTCATAATACATGGGCATCGTCGAGCCAAAGCCGTCACCAACTCGTTGATCTGACGATCTACAGTAGGATTCCACATCGGTTCCAAAAGCACCATGCAATTGGAAACCAAGCGCGCTATTTGCAACGCTCCTGTGAATTCCAGTTTAATAAGCCCATGGTGTCGGATGATGCCGGTCAGCAGTTCCTCCATAAAGAATTTGCACATCAATGTGTGGCGATGCCGTTACGATTCAATAAAGTGTGGTGGCCGCCGCCATTCAGAAGATACCTTGCCCCTTAAATACCTGCGGAACTGCTATCATGCCTTTAAAAATGCTTGTGCGCCACCATATGGTGTATTTTTTTTTGAAATAAAAATACCTGTCATGCAATTCCAAACTATGATTTATTATGAAGCTACCGGATTTTTGTTTCGTCAATCAATCAGTATTCCAACAAGATTTACGCAAAATTACTGTTAGCGTTAGGCTTAGTAAACAACCAAGTCATGCAACTGCAAAACTCTGTCGAACAATGTTAAGAATCGAATATACCTAGAAACATTCTTTCGTTACCGCGGTAATTATTGATCGTTATACGGTAATTATTGAAAGTGATGCAGTATTTGTTTACCCTTATATAACTTTTTCCATTTACTTTCCGTGCGGAATAAAATTTTAGTACAAGGTTTGTCAGGTAACCATTAAAAAAACTGACTATCTAAATGACAAAAAACGAATAACCAAGTTAAAAAACAATATCGTATGCGGCAGTAGGTCAACTAAGGTTTCCCATACCTTAGTGTAGAACAACTAAGGTTTCCGCCTGTGCACGAACTAAGTTTTGAAACCTTAGTAAAAACAAATGTTCTTTCAGTAGAGACTCTGCGTACTATTTCACGTATGCGCCCCGTACATGCACCGTCGTGGCTCCGCCACGACGGTACATGCACGCCCGCGCCGACACGCTCTAGTAAATTATAACCTAGGTCCCGATATTTTAGACCCGTAAATAATGCCCTAGGTCCAAAAATTTAGACCCCCGGATAAAAAAGTTGATCAGGTTGGACCCGGATACTACTGTTGATTGTTGACCGGTTCATGCTTTAAATTATTAGCAGAAAATGGCTTTACACAGAATCAACAACGTATCTGTATCCCTACCAAATAATTTGCCAAGGGCTAATTAATTTTGTGATCGTAACTGTGACCCTTGCAGACAGTACAAAATTGAAAATCAATTACGTTAAATTAATTTGGCATTCAATGATATTACAGCTTATAACATTAGCTACGTGAGCATTTTATGGCAGAGAAACGTCTACAAAATAGAGTTCTCAAATTTTCAACCGGAAACAAAAAGTTAGCTTTTGTTCATTTATATTTCCATATAGCGATGCATATTTCAAATCATAGTACTCTAATAAAAAGGATATCTGGTGGGATGCCGCTTTTGGCTAAAACGAACGCGTTTTTCTAGGAAGATGACCTCCTGCAATCTACACTTTTGCCGTAGTATTACATTCATTTTTCATAAAACAAGGGAATACACCCCGGAGGATAGTAACACGAGTACAATGGTAGTACACATTGTGGTGAATAATGAATTAAAATTTTCCGGTACTAAGTTAAGTGGTATTAATTGTAATCTTCCGCGCGACCGTTGACTGTGATGCTGTAAGGAAAATTCTTGCCATACATGGGCACTTTCATTACGTCAACGCACGTGCGTTTCTGTCACTGAGTCTGACGAACCTGTTAAAATAATCATAACGTTGTAAATCAAAGTACGGAGATTATAAACCAAAGATTAACTTTCAAAGAAGAAATCCGGGAAGAGTTTCTCAGAGTACAAGTACTTATTTTGAGTAATAAAATGTGTTCAAGCCAGTGGTGAATTTAAGGGGGGCTCCCGGGGCTAATGCCCCCCCGTAACTCGGACGGCAAAAAAATTCGCAAGAGGGGGGTACGTTGCGATTTTTTTTACGCCGGAGGTCGCCGAAAAAACGAGAGAATACTCGTGAGTTCTCTAGCCCCCCCCCCGTCCGAGCCCGCCTAGATTCGCCACTGGACTTCAAGCTATCAGACAGTTAACTGAAGCCGGGTATTTTTTATTCAAAACAATGAGTACACAATGAATATACAATGAACCAAAACAGAAACGCCCCCTCTCCCAAAGCTCCTTCATACAAATGGGAAACGGGAGGGCGGGAAAATCGCGATCGATGTGAACTGCATCAAAGATTTTTGCAAATGGTAGATGGGCATGCAAGACTGCGAAAAGCAGCATGAAAACCAGAACAACATCAGGAAATGCTATCTGACCACCCAGATGGCCACCAATAAATCTGTCGCGCGACAGAACATTAACGTCAAAGGCGAGGCAAAAGCATGCCGCTCGCCAGAATTAACATTAATTATCTCCGATAATTCCTTTTAATTCTGCCGCTCGCTGTGGATGTAAACAGAACACCGCATCGTGGGTTTGCCGGGTATTTTTTATTCAAAACAATGAGTACACAATGAATATACAATGAACCAAAACAGAAACGCCCCAAACAAACCCCCAAACAGAACTCAGTACATGCGGAACGATTGAATTGGCAGATTCTCCCGAATATAACTTGAAAATGCCGAAGATTTCCAACGTCCAGCAGACTGTACTTGCTGACAAGATGAGCCCATCGCTAACGCAGTGGTTGCGGCTCCAATACGAAAACTGTGAGAGTGAATATCAGGAAATTCCGGTAATAACCGATGTAAATAACACTCAAAATAATTTCGAGACAATGATGAACCATCACGAAACACGAAAAACGGCGCTTGAGCATCAGTACGGACACGGCATCGCGAATAACGAACATATGCACGAACAGGACAAATGGAACGCTCAGTAAAATTAAAATGCACTGTATAACCATGAGAAAATTGGTCCGTTTTAGAACTTGGAATAACAAGTGACACATGATGCCCATCAAAGGTGACATGTCGAAATTGAATAGTGTGCTTATTGCTCAACGAAACTGCAAATTCGGAGATACGCAAAAAACCAAAGAAAGCGAAACACATTGCACACCAAAGTAATGATTGGTCATATAACGATAAGGACGAAGCAATGATTCTGGTTTTCAACAATCGCATTATATCCAGTGAAACTGGCATTCGGCTATCAGGCATGATAGGAGCCAACCGCTGAAATCCTTTCAATGCATGTTGAACATTCATAGACACTACGGGATCAGATACACCGCTTTCAAGCGCATAGTTAGAGATTCCGGCAAGATATGTTCGCACCGACGAAAACTTATGGCCGCAACGATACAAATGAGCAATGAAATTCAGCACATTGACTTCGGTAAAAAGTGATGAATTGTAAAATGGAGCAGACAGGAACCGCAAAAACTGATTCAATGCAGTCAAATACGTTTTCCTAGTTGACGCGGAAATATGATGCTGCATCAAATGGTAGACTGTTGCATCTGCAAGATATCAGACCAAAAATCAGGCACATTTACTGGACGCATGCAAGCGTTCGGAGCAGCTGCACGGAAACGATCGAATTCAAAACGGGAAAGTGAATCGGCAATTATGTTATCAATGCCCGATACGTGTTTTACAGTCATCGTAAAGTTATTCAAAGCTGCAACCATTAAAATTTTTCGCAAGGCGTGCAGAATATCAGAATTTTTCGAGTTAAGAGAACACCAGCAGTGAACCACCGCCATGTTTTCACAATGAAAAATAATTTTTTGTTTTCGAAATTTTTCAGCCCAAACTAAACACGCAACATAAACAGGAATGATTTCCAAAAACGCAATACACCGTTGCGCAATTTCCTGCGACGGCCAGCGGCATGCAAACCATTCGCCGTCAAAATACGCAGCTAAACCAGTGCCGGCAGCTGCATCTGTATACAGATGAAGGGCGTCAGGATGAGACCAATTAACAGACAAGAATGAAGCACAACCATTCCACTTTGGCAGAAACTCTGCCCACCAACGAAGATCGTCATAAATATCATTAGTGATAACGATTCGATTTGGATCTGGCGAAGACAACAGATTAATTAGTCTACGCGTGAATAAACGTCCAGCAGGAACACACTTTGCGGCAAACTGCAAAGAGCCGATCAGACTTTGAAGTTCAGTCTTGGAGCAAATAGACTGTGCTAGCCACACATTAATTAACGCAATAAGTTGTTCTAATTTACCCGCTGGGAGGGATAAAGTTTGTGATACTGAGTTCAGAATGATACCAAGAAATGGCAAACAGGTGGAAGGACCTTCAGCTTTATCAGGTGAAAATGGAATACCAAGATCTTGAGCAATTTGCAGCAACAGGTTAACGATAAACTGACAGGCCTCCACCGTAAGTTCAACAATGAAAAAATCGTCCACATAATGCAAAATGCTAAATTTTCCCGAAACATTTGCCACAATCCAATGTAAGGCATCAGATATCATGCAAAAAAGACGCGGAGACGATCTTCCACCAAATGGCAGAACAATATCGTAATAATAGTGGTTTCCAACTTTATAGCCTAGCAAAGGCCAGTCGGCAGGACGCACAGGTACTAAGCGAAATGCATGCTTAATATCCTGTTTACACATTAACGCCCCAATTCCCATACGTGTCAGTAGCTGAACGGCATCGTCAACTGCACAATAAGATACCGTATACGCTTCAGCATCGATATAATCGTTGACACTGTTGCCAACTGGCCTGGATAAATCAAGGATAACTCGATGTCCACTCGGCTTCTTTTCACGCACGCCGAGTGAACTGATAGAAAAATGCGTAAATGGCGGCTTAGTAAAAGGGCCGACTGTATGTCCCAACAAAACTTCTTTTTCGATAGCTTTGAGCAGAACGTCATGGTGATCGCGTGCAGTTTTAGCGTTAGCGGTAAAACGAGAACAAACAGGACCGAAATAACCAATATCTGCGCCATTAGTGATCATATCAACAACCACACTTACAAAATGCTGATCAGGATGGTGGCGCATGTAATGCCGAAACGCATCAGGTTTGAGAGGAGTCGACGCGGTTTGTGGCGGCTTCGCCGACATTAGAGCGCTTCTTGCAGGTGCGCAAACCATGCGAACCGGCGTCACACGCTGCACAGCGGTGCAACTTCCCGTACTGGCACGGTGGAGTGCAGAATCCACGTTGCCATTCGGAACAGAGACGGTCATCCGTCTCGCTGCGCCCGCGAAAAAGCTGGGGTTCCGTATAACGGTTAGGAGGATCCTTACGCCGGTTAGGAGGAGAATTAGGGCATTTCTGAATCCAATGACCAGGAATGTTGCACTTATAGCAACAGTAGGATGGTGGTGGAACACTTGACTGTGTCAAACGTTCAAAAGACGCTGTCTGACTTCCGCCCGGGCGCATACCGGTTATGACAGTCATAAAGCACTCTCTGTAAATTTCATGATCAGTCTTCGACCAAATGGCGGCATTATTCGGGTGCATACGAGCAAACAGTCGAAACCGCTGATCATAATGAAACCACTGAGCGGTGTCAAATGAATGAGCAAAACTTGCCATAATGTCCAGATATTTTAACATTGGCAAAACAAACTCTGGCTTGTTGTAAATCCGGTATGACATGAAAATGTGATAACAACGAGTCCACATTGGAAAGGTCATAGCATTAGCGCGCTGGCCGGCCGCTGATACGGCTGATAATGGTTGACCAAATTCGTCGCGACGCACTTTAGGTAAATTAAATTCGAACGCAAATGACAAGGGGAATAATTCGGTGAAATCAACGAACGCAGAATGATCAAACAAAGCTCTGCTGAGTTTTTCAGCAACGGCTGGTAGATCAGTGATGTCATCTGAATACTGAATTGACGCGTCAGGCTTTACACCAAGCCGGTTAAAAACGCTAGGAACTGCGACATTAGAGCTCTTCTTGGTAGGCACATACACAACACTACCGTTACCTGTGCGCTCAGGAGAAGGTGAAAACCGAACACTCCGCAACGGTGAGGGCGGTGATACCGGTGAATGCTCAGAAGTCCCTGTCAATTCGTTGATCTCTGCAGACAATTGCCGCTTTCGTGCAAGGAGTTCTGACAACCGATTGGGCTTCGTGCGAGAAGCGGTGGTGACTTTCAGAGCGGGCGCTCGAGGCGGCCGGCCACGTCGCGGCGCAGGCTTGGAAATCCGTCCGGAGTTTTTCGTGATCGCAGCTGGCGGATCAACCGTTTTCCGTGTGCGTCCCATTGTGAATCCCACGACTGGTTATTCCGATTCGTGAGATAGGACAGAGTGGAAGATTGAAGCAATACCAAAGGCAAGGATATTAATTGTCGAATCGGATACGGCCGAGTCACGGAGATGATAACGCAAAAAACGATTAAAGATCAGATTTGACGTGGAAAATCGTGCGGGAAAATCGTACAAATCAGATGAGTAAAGATGCACTAAATCAGTCACAACTTGATTCGCAGTGATATGAGAAGAGCACAGAGTACACGTACAAGGGTAGCCAGAATGCAAGCAGATGAAGTTAGGCATTTTGCGCACCCGGCAATATGCCGGGATAAAAGAACAGGGCAACCGCCAATACGGTGGCAGTTACAAATAAAAGTGCAAATATATGATCTGAATGGAAGAAATTACTGATCCTCAATAAAGAAAACGTAAATAGGAACTTCCAAAAATTGATCATACGAGATACATGCGGCTATATACAAATCATGAGAGAAACGACGCAATAATTGTCGGCAAGATATGCCGCGTACGAGATTACACCATAACATAATGTAGGAGCATATGGCAGGAGCAAATACACTTCAGCACAGCAACATGGGATTTCTTCCAGAATTTTAAACAAATCAACTACTTGGTGAAATCAAGAACTTATCTGTCTGTAACTATCTATACGTGAGTACAGCAGAACAGCATGGAAGTTTTCACAAAATCGCGATCGATGTGAACTGCATCAAAGATTTTTGCAAATGGTAGATGGGCATGCAAGACTGCGAAAAGCAGCATGAAAACCAGAACAACATCAGGAAATGCTATCTGACCACCCAGATGGCCACCAATAAATCTGTCGCGCGACAGAACATTAACGTCAAAGGCGAGGCAAAAGCATGCCGCTCGCCAGAATTAACATTAATTATCTCCGATAATTCCTTTTAACTGAAATCGGGTTTTCCCAGTGAATTTCATCGCCCCTTAGGCTTCTATCGGAAATTCTTGAAAATGCTTATCGAAAAAACGAGGTTGAAACAAGACATGTCGTGTTGTACTTACGGACAATAAAGCGAAGTATTTTTCCCACGGCATGTGCCGCACATAATCCAGTGTTGGTCTGTCCTCTGACCGTACGGGCCTCAAAAAAAGTTTTTTGAAATCTGATAGATTTTGAAAACAAATGCTCAGTAAGTTGCCAGACTTCTTTCCATGTTTGCGCACGTTCGTTCCTTTATTAAGAATTCTGCTAACAATCTACTTTATAGAAAAAATTAACCTTAAAACACTTCACAAGCGGAGCAAACCACGACGGTCTTTTAATGCACGCTGCGGTGACGGCCATTGTAATGCTTATATGTACACATACCATTTATGTAAGAATCGACCAGCTTCATGGTTTACACCTTGTGGATTTCAAAAACTGCTTATGTTTCGCTGAATACTATGTAAACAGGAAATGTCATTCAGAATGTCACTCATTTTGTCAAGCTGGGTGTTGTTTAATGCACGCCAGTTGTGCAGACCATGTTAGACTCGTGTACAGTGGTTAACGCGTTTCAGCTGATTATCATTAGTATTTATTATTTTTCCTAGTTTATTACAATTATTATTCAAAAAGTTATTTTCTTGTTGTCTACGGATATACAAGGAGACACGAAAGCCAATTAAATTCGGCTTAGCCCATCAGCAGCCAAAAGGTTTGCATTGCCCCCTTTCCCTTAATTGCGATCTCTCCACGATCTTCCAGGCTGATCTCTGGAAATTCCTGCAGCAGCTCTGCTGTACTGCGGCTGACGTGGACTTGCGCATCCGCACCGTGACTCAGCATTCTAGAGGCTGTATTAACCGTATCGCCGAATCTACGAACAATTGCACCAAAAAGGTCACTCTCCATAAACTGATCACGAATGAAAAGCAATTCAACAGCATGCTGCACGTATCGCAGTATGTTAAAATCTCTCTTTTCTTTGCTAGAGTTCTAATTTTTTGGTGAATTTTGCTCACAAGCAGTAGCGAGGCGTTTTATGTCCGACGACTCCCGCAGCACAAGGGCCACTGTTTATTCCAGCGCGCAGTGACGTTCCATCAAACAGCGGCTGAAAGGCTGAATAAGCTCGGAACAGTGACATTGCGAGGGTGCAGATTTCCTTTGCATGCCGATGTCCGTTACGCTGTGGTAAACCACTTGCAACCTGCGACCACGCTCAATTTAGTATTTTAATGTATCATCGGCATTGTAACAGAGTATCCGTACTTTACCGATCTAGAACAGTAAGTATTCAACAAAGACGTAAACCGGCTACAGCTTCCCTAACTCGTCGCTGTTGTTTATAAATAGGCTATGATAAAATGGAAACCCAGCCAAAACTTTATGATCTACCGTGCCTAATATTGCTGTTTAGCGCTTACCAAGTATGAGTCTCTTATGGTTTCCACCTTGAAAACGTCGTATAGATCAAGCGTGGAGTCAAATGCCGAATAGACCTGTTTATATGAACCATGCTGCCATAAATTTCTGTCTTTGAACATGTGTGGGATTGTGGAGTTAAACAAGACTATATAATCGATGTTTAACGCAATTAAATTCATTTATTTATAACGTCACCGACATCATTAAGGAACATCATTGCCGTTCTTGGCTTCGTCGCATGGAGAATAGTGTTGAAACCGCCAATTTCTCTGTAGTAAATGTTCAGATATTAAAAATTTCAGAGCAAAGTGCTACAATAGCAATAACGTTACTGAAATTATAGGTAATTAAATCCTAATACAAAACGGCAAGTGTGGATAACAAAAGACTTACGTTGCGAACTCGCGATATTATGGTGAAATACATAGTACGAGTACGAGTACAAAATACATCGTACAAAGGGTACTACTTTCAACTTCACTCACGTAAACATTATGGTTGTTGACTCGAATATTTCTGCGTCCGATATGGTTCCTTTTCTAAGCTGTTCAATCACGGAACTGCAACATAAATATCGGGACTTCAATCTTGCCTTGACCATGAAATTAGCAGTAGGTACGTTACACCATACTTATGTGTTATACAAAAACCATACGGCTAACCTGGGAAATATATTCTTCAGCAATATTTCACATTTTTTGCGTTCATCTGCCAAAGCCTGGGTACGTATCGCAACCTGCAGATCCAGATCATTAACGTATGTTTCCAGCCGGCGCATAATTTTTTCCACCAAAGGCACGTTAGTAGATGCGTTGGTGTAAGGACGCAGCCCACTTGCAAACGACTTCAATAGACTATTAATCTCCGGTCGGTTTTCAGGAAGCGGATCCATGCACAAAAGTATATCCGGCAGAACTTTAAGGAACGTGGGGGACACGCTGTCGGGTTGCTTGAACAACAAGCGATGCAAGTCATCTATACAGAGAAAGGTCACCAGTATACGTGCGCCACTGTTTGCATGTTGCATGGGTCTATCGGCATATATGTTTAATTTAACCAATTATACTGCGCACCGACCGGGAGATTTCGGATAGTCTTCCAGGCTGATGATTTGGTACAGGATAACACTGACGGATTGTATATCCTCACTGGCTGTGGCATTCACGGGATCATAGCATTTGTCGTTATTGGCACTATGGACAAGTTCTTTGGTGTATTTTTGCCTCATCTGTTGAAAACCGACTCCACCGATTTTTAAGGTAAAATATTTATCGATCAAACAATTATCGCTTGTAAGATTCCCGTGAAATTTTATAGGAGAACGGTGTATAGCCTGAACGCCCTGCAGAATGCAAACCCAAAAGGCAGAAATTACAGAACGCTATGACTGAATTTCGGTTAACGAAAACAGAACAATCACAACCTGTCTCGTTAGTACACGACTGTCTTCCCCGTACCTTCAATGTGTCCAACAATAACGCGATTTGGAAATCAAGCTCCAATGTTGTTTTTGACAACAAAGCGCGAAGACTACCACGGGCACAGTATTCGCTGACGAAATACCAATTACTGCTAACTATAGCCATGCCCAACAGCCGATTGACGTTTCGGTGTTCTAGTTCCAGCACCTATTATGCATACGTAGCATTATCACGGCGTTTTTGTTACTGGCGCTTAGCATGTTATGATTTCATAAAGGCTTACGCTCTCTAAAATTCGTAGCACTGGCTGACTTAGTGTCGATTGTGGGAACCGTTGTCCAGATGTAGCATGATGTACACCCATTTGGCTGAGCCATACTGTCCGCTGTTCTTTGATATGCACCATTACTTTATGGCTTTTTTCTCCTAACTAAGAATTTCAGTATTATGTAGTTTAGCAGTATTAAAAATCATCTCAGGTAAAAATAACACGCCGTTAGTGCTATTTTCACCTAGTAAATTGGTGGATTAAGCCATCATACTTGTACTTACTGGTTGCAAACATTCCGGCTCAACTTTCCAGCACGCGCTAATAAGGAATCGTTGGTACTTACTACGTCTGCAAGGAGAAAACATTTCATATCAACAGTAACAGGTGAAATCACAACAGAATTAAGTTTGAGACGGAAATCAGTTATCATAAGACATCGAGGCAGATAACTTAATATACAAGCAATGATTTCTAATTAATTGGCTTTATAATATATACCACACACAGCGGTTTCTTTAAAGTCACTAATAATGTTTGGTGTGCTTTTGGGAAAACAATGATACTTATATTGCAAAAAGAAGCATACCGTTTTATTCCAACAAAGATTCCAATGAACACAAGAAACAGAAGCGTAGCTGATGTTGCAGCTGCTGCAGAAACGGTGGTGACGAAATTACCTGCAAAATCAGAGATATAATATAACACTCATTCACGAAGCAAAGGCTTCTTACAGCGTGAGATTGATAATGAAAATTTTGGAATTGAAAACCTAACCAGAATTAGCTTAGCAATATATAACTCTGTTTTATTAACTGTCTGCCTGGATGGTTTTTGCATCATTACCTGAAGCGGAAATGCAAGCGTCCCCACGAAATCCGCACATGGGTTCATTTGCCGGCGGCCAGGCGGTAGGCCATTGTGGCTGTGCAACATTCTGCAGCTCCATAGTAGACGCATTTTGAGTAAAAATTGTCTATGAAGAAACAGACTGACCACAACAGACTTAAAAAACGATAGCAAGGAACATCGACGGTCCCCTGACGGAAATTCTACTTAGGTTACGCGTCACTGTTCTACGTTGCAGATTAAATGTCGCCATGTTGACACTTACGATTAACTAAGTACTATTGCATATTCCTACCTCAGTATTATAATTGTAACGGACTGCAAGAATTATAGCGACCGACTTTTAAAAGAAAACTTAAAACGTAATAAGCACACAACTCTTAACAGTACGTTCAAAAAAATGGATGGAGTACTTACTCGAACCTGTGATGCATTCCAGTCCAACTGATTGACATTTATCGTAGGAATTCTCTCCCCCTTTCGGTCAATGTAGATTTCACTAACGTCAGTTGTAAACAGGCGATTCAGGAAGCGCCGAGCGAACAATTTTCCGGAAGCCCATACGTAATCTTTGCCCGATGACCGAAGTTCCTCCACAACCTTCGCAACAAAAGCGTTATGAACGTTTAAGGAACAATTTACATGTGTCCCCACTATCGTTGTTGTCAAAAATCCATAAGACAAGAAAAATTTAGAGTACAAATTTTCGACTCCTTACTTCGGCTAACATAAGAAATGCAGCATACGTTGAAGCTGGATGCGGACTGACCTACGACGAAACAATCTGCACTTCTGCACTCTGCAGCATAGTTATTAATAATGTCACTTGGCCATGTGGACTGAGAGCACAAAATCTTTTTCTTTAAAACCAAAATATTCTTGATTGCGGTAAAGCTTTCATAATTGCTTAATGTACGGTGTCATCAGGCTATGAGTTGTGTGTTCAAGGCTGTGCATATGAGTTATCTGCCTTATTAAATTCCAAGGTAAACTGATTTCGGTTAATGCATAACCATTACGGCGAAAATTCATTTTCATAATAAAAGTCACAGAATGTATACCCTGTCGAATGGTGCATATGTGAAGTTATAACTGTTTCGCGAACGGTTGATCATTTCCAAAGCAAACTGTTGCGAGCCTTTCGCCATGCCATAAACCATGTTGTCAGGCTCCACAATTAAAACCGACCGATAGGCACCTTGGATCACCTGTGGGACGGCAAAAGGCGACCATTATTACTGACCACACTTATGAATTATGATGATCAGTGGAGTACTGAGCTCAGTATGTGTAAATAATTTGGGGATCATGCTTAACATATGGAGAGAGCTATATACTTAGAACGATGGAAAGTTCAGTATTAAGGCCTAGTAAAACCTTCAGCTAAGCTCAGTACCGCACTGGAGCCCAGGTGAACAAGATTAATTACGAGTTAGGTTTATTACAGAATCCTAGATCGACGTAGTTCCTATCTGTACTAGTAAGACTATGTGAGCATAAACCATGCTAATGTAATACTGGTAATTTTACCTTATCATTGCTGTCACCTTTCTGCCACGATAAGGTGCTCGGTTTCCTGTTGAATCTGAATGGCGTCATGATCATGTAAACCTGCAAAAAAACTGGTACAGCTAAAGAAACCACGCTAAGCATACTTCTTGGCTATTATCACACATATTCCCGCAACGAAAATTAATGCACGATTGTTTAACTGTACACGTCTGACATGAATAGCATTTCTTACAGTTATTTTTTATACTTTGGTATTCATGCTACCAACATTAAACTTACATGGTCTCCTTGAGTGAAGTTTAATTCTGCTGCCACTTTCTGTATGACAACAAAATTGCATGACATTGATGAGACCATTATTCTGCGACAGGTATATGAAAATATACAATCTGAAATTATGCACATTAATCTTTTATGTTGATCGGTGAATAACACATACCAATAAGTTGCGGAATTCATCAGGAGAACCAAAATACAGATATACTGCAACATACAGATACGTACGGTAATTAAATTTTTCCAATCTAACCGACCTACTTTTAATGGAGGACCATGTAGGTTTTTACCAAATGAAACAGTAAAGCGTCGTGTCTAAATGTCACGAAAGTACTTACTTCGAGAAACAGAATTCAATCTTAAAAGCATCTTATGATAATCTACAGTTTTTGCGTTGTGTATTTCTGGGTATATCTGAAACTTCCGCTCCTCCATGAAAGCCGAAATCAGTGTATTAGCGAAGAACGGAAAGAACGGATTAGCGTCTTGATCCGTTAATACGGCCAATGATTTCCATTTAAAAGTTCGCGCCAGCTTAATGAACACTTGAATATAAGGATCGTGCGAATTTGACGTGGTTGTAATCCAAGTTGGATACCTTTTCTTTTCCCGTATGTTAGGTAAACTGCCAACACTGAAAATTCAATGTTAATGTAAAGGTCAAGCTACTCAATCGGTCAGTACGCGCATGCGTACGGGTATTCGTGTATAAGAATGGAAGTAATCCCAAAAACAGCTTATCTAATCACGTTAAATTTGAAAAGTACATCCAAAACATATGTAAACATGTACTCGTAGATACAAGATGCAAGCAGACGTTCTTAAAATAGATAATACGCCGCCACAAGATAACACCCAGTGTTGTTGTACGCAATTACTTGAAATGTCCATTAGCTCGGAAACTTTAGCAATGACAAAATTCAAAAAAATTTTTGCAATGTTATGCACAGAAACAGGAAACGTTATTGTAGAGCGCTCTCGTATACTTCTACTGTATAGTACGAGTTAGCCATGCAGGTTGCGCATCCATACACATTTTACCTGGTAAGCATTAAAATATCCAGTTCGGTTGCAAGATTCAACACTTCCTGCATTTCGTTACATCCTGGAAAATATCAGTACGTAAATGCTCTTTATAGTTCAAATTTTAGCGCTGGGAACTGCCGGGTCACATCAACTTTTATATGTATTATAATATAAGTAAATGTGCAGGTCAGCAGCGAAAAGTTCAAATTAAAACAAATTCCATGTTTCCAGATTGGAGGTTCAGGCTGAGATACAACGCTACTGTTTTCACAAAGGTCAATACACACAAAATGCAATTGAAATTTTGCCGTACCAGGAAAAATTAAAGCGGTTAATGCACATGGATCTTCCGCATATTTAATTGATTTCTTGTATAGATGTGCCGTAAGCATGTCCACCGCATCGGCCGTGAAGCTATCACAATCACGATATTTTTCGTCCATTAAAAAGTTTTGCTCCACATGCAGATGTTCGTATAAAGTTCCAATTTTTTCCAGTGCCATGTCATAAGCTGGTCCCAAATACGGAAGCGATCCAAGTATAAACGGATGCATTAGTGATAAAGTCAGAATCTCAATATGAACATCAGAACAATTAAGCGGTTGCCGATGATTTAAGTGGTGATGACCGTGTGAAGACGAAACCGCCATATTGAGAACTATGTAAAACATAAGAGAAGTCTCTTACCACGAATTACAGATTTTCCTATGACTCCTTATTAAAAAAAAGAAGCACAAAAAAGCTCATTTAGAACATTTAGAAATAAGAAGCTCATTTAGAACAAAATATAAACATTATTATAATAAATACCAGGTAGATTAAGTAATAAATATAACTGTAACGTGAGCAGTGTACAAAATTTCGCTACGGTGGCGCTAGTTAATAGTAGATCTTGCAGAAAATAATCCCCGTGTCTTTAAGGACAACTTCCTGTGGCTTCTTATCGGATGTGGACCACAAAAATAAAGAAATATGTCGATCAGACACATTAAGCTGCTAACTCAGAAGGAATTCCGGTTCTTTGCAAACGGGGGTTAGCTTCCTTAATAGAATGCAAACGGAAGGGCAAATAATTTCCTGAAGGACTTCTGAACGGATTCGGTAGCAGGTGGACAAAAGATGTCACATTGAGCGCAGTAACAGCAACGGATATCCAGTTCGTGTATTATTATTTCAACTATACATGCACTTCTACGACTTCAAGCTGGATCTCACCTGGTACCTGTGGTACAAGAAATATATGGTCACTGAGAAGAAACTTAAATCTTAGTGGGAAAAATCGGGCCGTATACCGCCGACGCTACTGGCCAGAAACACACGAAAGAGTTTTTCTTACACCGATTATCCGTTATAATCCAGAGAGAAAATGCGCATCGCATGATGTGAACGATTCAAGGTTAAGCCAAAAGGATTTTCCTGCTGCAGCTGAATTCTACATTGTAATCTAAGCCTACATTGTACATGCCGCCGCAGCGGCAGTGTTTTCACTTTTGTTGATAATTTTAACCAGATCCCCGTTCTCATTTGCCTCTCTTTTGTGATAAGGGCAACAAAACGTCTTGTAGCGGCTGTGGTGAAAAATCGGATACCAACGTATTGGCGCAAAAATGCCATTGCAAAGTATTTCCATATAAGGTTATTATGATGCCCTGGCAAGGTATGCAGATATTATGGGTTAACCTAAACCTGGAACAAAGAACTGTTTTCAGTACAGCATCAAACAGCGCACGCGAAACGTCCAGTTTCATGCAGTTTCTGATATCTGAGTACGTCCGGTACGCTACGATACGATAATTATTCTGTGCGTTGTTGAAGAGATACTGATTCAGTCTGATTTCAAAACATGAAAATACAACAGACATTCAAAACGTAATTTACTGCAGCCACTTCCATTTTATTTTACAAATGCCTTATTCCACCTAACAAAATAATGATAAATACTATGTATAATAAAGGACAATAAGGTATTGAATCGCAAAGAGAGTACCTGATCGAAGCACAGCTATACTGAAAGTTTTCAAAGCGAGAAAATTCAACAATAACAAAAAGTAGTGCCGCTACGCATGCTCAAACGAAGGATATCTCACACAGCCAGTAAGTCTAACCTGCCCAACCGCATCTCCATAACAGAACAAAAAGGGGATTGTCAATCATCCCGTCCGCGTTACACCACGAATTCTTACTGGCTGGCCGGCTCTTCCGCTTCTTCCTCCGGCCCTTTAGCATCGTCCTCTTCCACCGTCCCACTGTCATCCTGTTTATCCACAATTTCTTCCTCGCCTTCCGCTCCCACATCTTCCTCCTTAGCAGTATCCACTCCGTTAACGGGAGCGCTGATCGCTGCCGCGGTCGGCTTGGCTGCCGTCACACCACCGCTGGATTCCGCCTCCGTTCCGCTTCGTGGTGCGCCAGCCGCGGCCGCTGACTTCAGCTTCTTGGCGCGATTATCCTCGTCGGTTTCACGCTGGCAGCGGTACATGATAAAGTGAGTTTTAAATAAGTCCATGGCGAACGAAGCCATATGAGTTACACTGGAATGGTTGTCCAGGACGCCGTCTTGTACTGGATGCGCCAGGTGAACAGCATCACGTAGACCACGATATTGTTCGCGCATCAGATTTCCCGTCACGTTCTGTGGATCTTCCGGCAACTTTAAGATACGAGCGACGCGCTCATCTGTTCAGAACCGAAATTAGTCACCACTTAGCATTTCATCAATGTTAAGAATCAGAAGTAATGAAAAAATCGCGTCTGCAGCTTTATTCAACAAAAAACTCCTGTCTGGAACTGGAAGTGATGCAGGATCGAATAAATACAGATGTAAGTACATAACTCATCTAATTCAGAAACTGCAAACTGCTGTTTGAAATAGCCTATAACAGGTAGTGGAGCAGTGAGGTTTAAAAAAAACTTTTCTTGTTATAGAACTTATTATTACTATTAAAACTTTTCTTATTAAATTCATACCAAACTATCACAGGTCACAGGTAACACGCTGTTAATTTTATTTAAATAAAAACAACAAGCAACACCGATGGCATACGAACGTACCTGGCTTAAACGACAACAGCGGCTGGACCAAACTGACGTCCAGTCCAGTGCTTTGCGCCAGAAATCCCGCTTCAACGAGGCCAGCCAGGTGAACACCCTCCACAATACTCAGATACGACTTAGCTGCCAAAGCGGTTCCGAAATCATGCCCCAGGAAAACGCTCTGTCCGCAGACAATGTCCAGTACGGGCTTACAGTGCTTGTACAGTTCTTCACTGCGACAGCAAATCAGACTGGGACGTTCTGCGTGTCCAGCCCAGGCACATTCCAAATACTTAATGTTCTTCGCTTCCAACTTGTGCGCAGTCAACTCGCTAGAAATACAAACCAAATTGTTGAATCAATAAGTTCACGGACGAATACCAAATCGCGATTGTGCCACCGCTGTCGCTATGCAAACGACGAATCTTTACCCGATTTAGCAACTGAGAAAACCTTAATATTTTGGATCTTCAAAATCTGCGCGATTTACGCAATCCAACTTATTCAGTACAATAGAAAAAACGATAGATAGCAAACATATCAAATATTTACTATTATTGTTATAAAGTTTATAGCGAATATAATGAACGCAAATACCTGTCCTGCTTGGACATACTGCTAAACACGCAGACACCCTTCACTTTATTCTTTCCCTGGGGGCGAATCTTGCGAATCAAATGATCCGCACCACTCAGCAGATCATTCAGGTCGTAACTGCTGCCCGCCGATACAAATACAACATCTGTTTCTTCGAAGATCTTCTCAGCTTCACTGATCCTTTCCGCGCCTGAATACTCCAAATCCTTCGACAGAAGCTGTGTTTTCGCCCACACCCGAACAGCCACTCCAATGTTCAGCAGACGCTTGGCAGCCTGCACGGCCCGCACATCCTCCAGCCCGATAAATCCCACGGAAATGGCTCGTGCCTGATTCAGCGTAGCTTTTGGCACTTCAGTTGTCTGCATGGGCAAACCAACAGTACCGTAATCTTCCTTCACCTACATGTAAAACCAGATCACCTTCCTAGTACTTTAAAGTTTAAATGTACATTATTTGGAGAAAAAACAGAGAACATAGCTTCCCGCAGATGTTAACGGACAGTTTCAGGACAATACAACCTAGTGAACCTACCATTAGGGTTTTACCAGGAGTAAGTATCCCATAATTTCCTCTGACTCATCGTACCTCTGATTTAACCGCGGATTTGCGGGGCTCCGTCAGTGACGCAGTTTTACCAGCGGTGCCAGCAGTCTTCCGCTTCGTTCCGGAAGCCGGTGTGGAAAAGCCATTATGTCCGTATTCGTCGTCGGGATGAGTCCGCTTTTTCGGGACTCGCTTGGAGGGCGTTGCTTCCGCTGCGGGCGCTGGCTCCGGTGTGGCTTTAGCAGGCGGTTTGCTGGGGCGCGTGCGCTTGCCCGTGGCAGGGGTCTGCGGCTGCGCAGCGCTCTCAACGTCGGGGGCCTGCTGTTTCGATGTGGCAGTGGCTGGGGAGCGAGCTGTTTCTTTTTTCGGTCGACCACGTGGTGTGGACGTTCCCGCAGCCTCTCCACCCGCGGCAAAAGTCGGTGCTATGGCCAACTGCAAGGCTGCATCCGGGTCGAGCTCCAATTTCTGAAATGAAAAAATTTAATAATACGTTACTTAAAAGATCTGAAAATGGGCATTTCACATTAAATGTTCACATCGTGCAAATGCACATTAAATCGTGCTCCAGAGTCTTATATTAACAAAATGAATTATTTAAAATATTTCAAAAAATCAAAAAGGAGATGTTACGCTAAAAATTTCTTCTTAAAAGTGCTTAATCCTGGAATTGCCTTGCAGTTTATTCTCAGGTTTCAATTGTATCGTTTCCGATTTCTGCTGTATTTTCTGATAATTATTTGCACGGCGAATTTGCAGACTGAATCCCAGCAAATCTTGTTAATGTAATTACAATCAAACTGCAGCAGAAGGCAAAATTTTTACGTGAATAGGTCAACCGAAAAAACGCCTACCTCCATGAACTCAGTGTGAGCCTGGTTGGCGCTGGTGATGCATTTACGCAGATCCAGGTATGTTTTGCCACCTTTCATCTCCGATGCAGTTTTCATTTCACTTAGAATCAATGGGAAAGTAACCAAATCTGCAACAATATAATAATTTCCACTGCACAAAGAGCTTCTGCCTTGGCAACCCACCTTCATCTGCCATCCAGGAGACCTGCACTCGGTCGTCCGCGCTGAAGAAGCGCACAAAATACGAGTTCTTCTTGCGTGAGTTCTTGACATCCACGCCCTCTCGCGGATCCAGCACAAGAGCAGGCCATTGTGGATAGCCTGCAAAAAATTCAGATGAACATGAAATATGCATGCTAATCGTAAATGAGACAGCAAACTAAAAGCGTACATGACGGTGAAATAAAAACTGAAAACAACAATGGTTTTTCCGTGGTTTCTAGCATGTTATGCAAGCACTGAGCCCGCTTTTTACACCCTTTCTGATTCTCTGTGGAATGATCACACAAAATTAAATCATGTACAACGTAAATCTACACTCATAAGGTCCAAAAGAAATAATAGTAATCACAGTTTCTCGTTTTTCTTTTTACGGACAGGTAAATTCACAAAACAACGCAAACTCCATTACTGCAAGAACTACATCTTGTCTGATAAGTTTTTAAGCATTTATGCAGCTCAGGAGCTAGGAGACGCAAGAGAAAGCAGAAACCCATCGTGCTTGAAAACTGGGAGAGCTGCACTCCTCGCACATGACGGCTCCAAGGGGCCACAAACGGCAAGACCTAGGGAGCTGCAAGACTATTTTAGTGTGGTACTCACCCTTCACTTTGGCCCAGACGATCTCTCCGATGCGGAATGGCCCCGGATTCATTCTGATTCCTCGAAAAGACAGTTGGCTGCCACGAAAACACAGAGTTTCTGTTTACGGTCGATGCGTAAATAAATTATCCAGCAAAATTGCACACAGCAGAGCTTAGAAAGTGCAGATTTTCGAAAGCCTGCTAAATCTTTATCAGACTTAATGAACGCGGTCGTAGAAGCTGCAGAGTGCAGAGTCTGCAGACCGTGGGGATAACGCCTGTTCAGTGTTCACGTAACGGCAGCAAACGAGCCGCCGGGCGGTCTGCTGCCACACGTTCCCCCACTTAGTTTATAGCTCGCAGTGGCACTTCCGCTTTCATAGGGGGTGTTTATTGTGCACAGTGTGCACTGTGCAGTGAACACAGTGCACAGTAAGTACTTACTTGTACAATACTTACTGTTAGTCTGTTAATTACTGTCTGTTCACTGCACAGTTAAGTCACCGCTTTATGTTTCAAAACATCCCAGCATGTTTCTTTATTAACGTGTGTGTTTGCCGGAATCTGCAGATGTTACGGGTTGATCGAGTGTACTAACAGCAATTCTAAAACCGAGGGTAAAAAAATGTATGCTGACGTATCAATCTTTTTGATTTTTTTTTGCGTTTAACGACATTTCATGATTATTGCATTTAATGCAAAACGATGTCAAAAACCTGATACGAAAAGATAGCATTTAACTGGGCTACTGGAAACACTGAAAAATCAAAAATGAAAATAGACAGTTATAGTACTGTACCAACCAAATCAAACTCGACAGAATAATAAATATTATTTGTTTGCGATGGCGACAAAAAGCGGTTTTCGGCGATTTTCGGTTTGCGAAATTGGGCTTTAAAGTCAGCTCTATACTTGTATTGCACATGTATGTATACTACACTATAATAATAGGGTAGTACTAATAATTATTGGGCTCTCTAAATACTTATAATTGTATCATAACTGGCTGATACGAAATTCTGTTAACCATTTTTTATTCATATTGTACTTATATTTCGGTTATTTTTCGTCATGATTCGAGTTGGCGACGGGACCGGCTCACAGATATACAGTATTTATGTATACATTATATTGTTTTAACAGCAAACTTAAATGACTTTCTAATGACAAATAGTAGTAACATTTGCAGCAACGACTGTTAATGTATTTTGAGCATTTTGATGGTTGCATGCGGCAGCCGCTTTACTATGGAGGAGGAGCTCATGCATAATGACCACACAGGAGAACAGAAAGGTTATTGTCTGAAAGAAAATCCCAAAAGCATAATTACTTTAATTTCAAATAGTTCATTTTTTTCTCCTCATCTCACCGCTGCTATTAAGTTGCGCGTGATATGCAACAGCTCGGCTCCATGAAATATGAGGATTTGGTCTTTACTTATACCGAGAAAGGTTTTCATGGCCAGACGCAACTGTTGTCCCTGAAAAAAAGCGATAACGCATGTCGCTTAACAGCACTAGCACCAGATTCATAGTTATCTGGAACATAATATTGCATACAAGCGGCGTAGATGTACTGCAATAAGTAGGCACAGTACCTCGGGACGTTCGATCAGCGGCGAAGTGGCATCCATGAGCCGGTAGAGATTTAAAGTGGTATATGAGCCCTGAAACCAATAATTCCTTTCAGCAAGACTAGTTGGAAAATTCCTGTTGTTTCTCACTCGACAGACATGCAGACTGTCTGAGTACATACGCAGTTACAGTACACGGTTGAATAAAATTTTGGGATAATCACTGCATCCAGGTCGAAGTTACCAGTTACCAGAAACTGCCTGTGCAATATTAACAATTTGTCTACCATCAGTACGACCGCTTTAGTTTGATTTGATGTTAATCGATTTGTGCTGTCTGGTCGATTTTTAGTTTTACATTAAGCAGACAAATGACAGAGTATACCTTATTAAAGAATACCTTAAAAAACTGCGATAGGTACAGAATTACTGAAACGATGAGAAGATATATACAACATTACAAACAATATGTACCTTTTCGTATACAAGTACCATGGGCACCATGAAAACAGTCGCATACATTCCATACAAGGCCAAGCTCAGAAAATTCAGCGTGTATGCGGTCAGAAACTTTTCCGTGTCGGCTACAATAGCCGCCACAAAACCGCACACCGTGAAGACGTCCAAACCATATATCGCAAATAAAATGAGTCCGTACGTTTTAGTGACTTCCTCGCAAAATGTCACCATTTTTAGTCGGCGATGTCGCAAGGCGGTTATCCGCACGTGCATCTTTTCAGCCAATACCAACAACGCTTTACTATCTGACCATAGCTGATCCGAATGACTGCTGACGACACCGCGAAAATACGCTCGCTCTTCCAGAATAGCCGCGTTGAGTTTGTTAATGCAGCCATTCAGTATCCAGGCCAGCATGATGACGGTGATGAAGATTTGCTGCGACAGACAGAACGGCAGCGTGGACCACAGTGTCCACGTGATCACATACTGCCACACGGTCATTTTCATTGGAAGCGGCGCGACCGCGTCGTTGAATTGCAGATTGTACCGCTGTGGATCTTGATCTTGATAGTGGATCCAACTGTTGGTCTCCCACATGCAGACTAACAGGATACTGATGAAACCGACTACTACCGCAGTGTTTTTCCATTTCCTGACCAGCACCGCCCGTTTATGAGGGCCAGCAAACGTGGCATGGATCAATTCGTCGGCGCGGTGCTTTATGTGACTCCAGTGTTTTCCATGGAACCAGAACAAAGAACACACGATGAAGCCGCGCAAATTTGTAAAACAATAAGGAATATACGTGAGCCATTCAATTAGCGGGTTGCCAATGGTGCTGGCCACGGCGCCCGGCCCAAAGAGACCCCAAAACACAGTCGCAATGTACAAGGTCACGGAAAACAGTGTGCCCAGTAAGATGGATACACCAATGCAATGAAAGGCAGATGCGGCAATTTTCTTGACCACTGAGCAGTTGCTGTCCATTGGCATAAAACCAGTGACTTTCAACACAGTCTCCTGGAAATGGAAAATCGAAGCAGTAGTTTGAGCTGACTTAAAATGCATTTCCTTGATGATGAAATTTGTATCGCGACGATAGTTTGATGATTGCATTATGTAATACCAGTTTAAGTGATAGCACACGTTATTACTGTTAGGCGAGTTTTCGAAGTCACCGATGCATGCAATGGGAGCTCTGATGACTTTTTTTCGAGGCAAGCCTAAATTGTCAGCAATGCATAAAACAATTGATTTCTGTCAACTGCAACATTATTTACATCGATAAAAAGTAGTCATTTCCCACTGGGAATTAGCCATAGCCTTATGACCTTGGACACTATAAGTTTATTGATACACCTTTCGCATCGACTGGCGCAGTGAAAAATTGATAATTGGTTAATGTGTCTTGATCACATGCATGAGAAGAATAAAGAAATCCCGCAGGCGTCAGCAACACCAGGATGCCAGACCGCTTATGGATGCTGCGTGGAAAGATCGTATTCACTATTCAGGATACCCCAGCTGACCTTAATTGCCCGCGCGGTTAAGCGGATACGTTCAAGTATTCTTGTAAAAAATTAATATCGACAAGTGGGCATGCAGCACGTTATAGTTAACCTGACCTCGAGTCCGAGCAATACTGAACTCATCCAAAAATGGCGATGGAAAGCAAAAAGGCGGTGCAGTCTTTGTTTAATTTACGATTGCTGTGCTTCAGTTGCATATAGATCTACCGGTACTTCTACAGTAGCGGTAGGTACAGTAGCTATGTACAGATACACTACGTAATGGCCCAGATATATATTTGTAGTGTGGTTCTGGCAGAATGTACTACTTAGTCTAAATTAATGAGCACAAAATTTTGTTTAAGTGTAAAACATCCACTTATTTATTCAACTAATTACAAACAATTTTAATTTTTTGTATGGATATCAGTTTGATTGTATTGATTTCAAACTTATCATCCGAATGACACTACGCGGTTTCAAAATTTTGTTTCGCTATAGATTTACCTTCGGTCATTTGTAAGTGTACGTTCTCGGTAATTCAATCTCAAATATTGATTTCACGATCTTTGGTATACACACTGGGATGGTGAAGTTGTAATTGTAAGCGCATCTAAAAGTTTTCAATAATTATATTAAATCTTTTGCAGCGTAAAATCATTTAAGTAGGTTGGTTCTACGTTTGCATGATTATATATGCTGCTGGTGTTGATATGCGTCGATTTAAAGTACACCTTTTCGCTAGGGAATCCCGTTCCGCGGCAAACAAAAATGTTACTGCTTGAAGTCCTCATAAGTTTGCATTGCATCACATGGTTTAGCTGACTAACGCACGCACTGATGTGTCGAGCGTAGGTATTTACATGTAGTTTGATTTCAAAACTTCACTTGGATATTTGGTAATACAGGATCAAAACCTTGGCCTTACGCAACGTTTAATAGCAAATGCCAGTAAATTTCTAAGCTCAAAAGTATAAACTTGTTTTACACTGGCCATATACTGTCAGATTCAGAGATCGAGGGACAAATTGTTTTTAAAAATTTGCAACCCACATGTCACTTTTGTAGTCAGCTATGAAGTTGAGATAGCTGATATGTACATCGCTGATCGCAATACGTTCGGTTGGAAATTTACTATTATGTCTTTTCCTAATAACTGTTATTTGCTATGCTGTATTTTGGAAAGTATTTCACTAGGAATATTGCTGCAATATCACAGCGCACGCGGTAATGACGCATACAATTACTTTGTGAACACCTCATCGCAGAGAGTAAAGGTCGCCGTTCTTTCGACGATTTCGGCGAGAAATTTTGTTGTCATACCGGCATTTGACCTTGCCTGGCAGGAAATTGAGTATACATATCCAGACATTGAGTTCATGAGGATGACGGTTGATAGTCCACCCGAGCATCAAGGGGATTGCGATTATTTTGTTGATGGGATTGGTGATAATGTTGGCAAATTCTGGACGGAAGACTCTGGCGCGGAGTACTGGGTCATGCTTTCTTCCGGTAGATTCATGCAGTCACAATTTTAAAGGGTCAATTGCCAAGAAAAATCAAAACTTAAAAAAGCTTACCGAAAAACAAGTTCCAAGACAGTAACGATTAGCCTTGAGAATTTTCTTTTTTTAGCTTGTACACCGGGTATCACCGAACAAGCAGCATTTGCGAGAGGTTGGTACTGGTGGAATATTTTCTATATTCCCCAAGATTTATTCTGCAGTATGTACTCGTATATAACTAGCATAATGAAGGGTTAGCGATGGACGAGATCAGTAAAGCTATGGAATGTTAACTGTTAACCTTTGAGCACGGCATATAAAATCCTTTATACCGTGCTTTGAGCTTTCATAGCGCGCGTTGTGATTCTACACTGTCTTATCATTATGCATCTCTTTATGAGCCTTAATTTTGTGTATGTTGTTGTAGAGTGGAACTGTTTGTTCCTGTCCAGGTAACTGGTCATCAAATTTCATACCTGCTTGGAAATATCATTATTATGCGACTTGTTCACATTCTTGACACTAATTTTGTACGTTATGCAATACTTAGTGCCGGAGCGGGAAGTGATTTGGGGAACAAGGCACTATTTCCTACACTGATTAGATTCTCTCCGAATTTGTCAAAGGAATACGCAATGTGCCTAAAGTAAGCCTAAGTCAACCTGAACCCCATATGTCTTAGACCGCTTATAAAATTTCTAAAAAGCCATATCTACTTCTTGCTTTAAAATGGAGCGCAAAAACTCCAGATGCATTAAAGTTGCTTACTTCTCATTTAACAAAGCACTCTAACTGTAGGCAGTTATTGGCATATTACAATTGGAATCACGTAACCATGCTCTGTGATTCGGACGACGTAGCCGATATCGCTTTGGAGGATGCCACATTACAAGCGTGCAATGATTTTCGCACGATAATGGCTGACCTACGAACCCAGTCTGGCTACTCCATGTACGACCTTCTAGTCAATTTAACTGATTCGGCATCCCGTGTGGCAGCACTGAAAACCGCGCGAGGATATAGTAAAAGTAAGTGTCAAAAAGACCTGAAAATACTTTTACCACTTACAGAACATTTCATTAGTAATTTCTCTGGATCATTATAAATTTCATATTAATTGCAGTTATTTTAATAATTGCACGGATGGAAAAAGTCCGGATGACCATGGTAAACCGCAGCCCATTTATTCCACTGAAGATGAGAAAAATTATTTAACAGTGTGGCTCTGATAATTACTAGATAAGCGCATGGGATCTTGGTATGATCAGCGAGGATTTTGTAAGTGCATAATAAATAATTAATTATATAGTCCACTACTAATACATCATTAACTACAGTTGATAAATCTATATTATATATACATATTAATTAATATATATAGTTCACTACGAACACTCCAGTAAACATGACATTTGACAAAGTAGAGAAAGATTCGGATCACTATTTAACTAATATTCCTTACATTAATTAAAGCAAAACGCGAGCGTTTGTGCTTGTTCTAACGCCTATAAACTGGACGCGAATCCGCCAAAAGCACACAAAAATATTTGCTTTAGGCTTACATCACTTTCGTACCGTTCCCCGGTGACTCTACAACCCGAGGACATTGGGGATGGCAAAGAAATGACTCCAGTGACGAGGTAAACTGATCCTTCTAGAGTTCATGATCATACAGTACTGCGTATTTGGTAGTACTGTACCAAGGTGGTAGTAAGTACAGTACTTTAACGTTTCATTGCAAAAATGCTGCAATCTGCATGTTATTATATACCCGAACTTGATCTGGTTTTTTAGGTCGCACGTCAAGCCTACGAATCGTTGCTCTTCGTGTCGTTAAGTGGTCTGAAGATTACCCCGTTATTGCGAAGCCTGTTTCTTTATGTCGAGCAGCAAGCCAGCGAAAAGTACAATAAGAGCCAGGTCATGAAATACCAGCAGGTGCTATAACGAAATACAAAATCGTGATCTTTTAAGTTACTTCCTTAAGAATTACACCAAATTATTCGCAGCTAAGCAAACACAATCAGCTAACAACGTGGTCTCATTTTTTTTAGAATCAAAGGCTTGCCATGGCCAGTTTCTTGATTGCCCGAGCAGCGGCGCAGGTTAAATAAGCAGAACTTATCGAAAGTGTCGCGAGTTGTTCCAGTCCACGAAAGCGTGTACGAAATCACAGCTGTTCAGTCCAGAAAGAGATGACTGTCGTTTCAGATGATGAACGAAACGATACAGCTGGGATGGAACCATAGCGATGGGAGAGAAATCTATCGTCGTATGCTAGATCGTCAGTTCTTGTCATTTGACGAATCACCGGTGTACATCAACCCCAATGGAGACAGAAGTGAGCTGTATGCAGTATGGGGATACACCAATTACACCGAGGATTTGGAGGTATTAATCCAGCTGTCACCGTTCAAGAAACGGTATCAATTCTAAAAAAACAACCGCCAACCCTCGCATAAAGTGGCTAATTAATCTGTGCAGGAAGTTTTGTTTTACGATGTTTATCGTAATCGTATTTTCCCGGCGCACAACGATAGCCGATGGATTCGTGAGGACACCATTCCAGACAGTCGACCATTGTGCGAATTTGCTGTGACCAGTACAGACTGTCAGGAAAGTGACGGTATATCTCATACATTCCGCATCTTTCACTTGATCAAAATTTTTAATTTTTTGATGCCCATTTTGGTAGGCGCGATCACTTTGCGAATTTGCCTATCTGTATTAATACCCAGTATTGCTGTCTTGGCGGCGCTTATAATCGGGTGTTTGAGGTCTCTTGCGCCATTAACAGGAAGGTCGGTGAAACAGTATAAAAATGATAAGCTACTGATGAATTTAGATATCGATATGTGCAATCCGCCAAGGCGCAGCTGTGGATTCTTTCGTGCTCCCAAATGGAATATCCATCTCGGCGATCACCGGTAGTGCCGCCTCTAGCACCAACTATGTCACGGTCAAAAGTCAGCTTTATGCGGCTCGCTTCAGTAACTCCTTCGGTAAGTCAGAGCTCAGGAGAATCTTGAGGCACTGCATTCTCCGAGCATCTTTGCCATGGTACTCTGTATTTGCGACAGGAAATTAATTACAAGGGTTAACACGGAATCGCAAAGAAATGGATGCCAAAATTAATTTTAGCTTCTATTGCAGCGAAGCTACCAAGCTGGCTTTACCGATACGAATGTGTCAATGTGATTAGTCAGTGTAAGACTGCAAGTATAGGTCAGCTAGGGTAGAGCTCAAAGCTGCTGCTTTATGGGAGGACTGGTATGTACTTGGTAAAAAGCCGGTACTGCACTGCACAGAAAATTATGATTTCTGTTCTGTACTCCGCCTCGTAGCGATTTAAAGATTTTAGGAGACATTATAACAAACAAGGGTGCTATGACGGTGCAAACTGTAAAGAACTGTTAGCTTCAGTTTCAAAAAAGAGTTTCCCTTGCAGGCCCATGCTAGCGTGCAACAGTCGGAATTCCGAGCACGAAACCGAGTGTTTTACAAAGGTGACGCTGTATGGATAAAGACATACGAATACACACAAGGCCAGTACTCTAAACTAGTCGGAACGGAGCATGAGCGTTTGTGCACGGTATATACGATGAAATAAAATTTTAAGCGTGTCGAAGTTCACGTTGTGCTGCGTCAAGTAATATAGATTTTACAGAGGAAACTCATGCTGCATCAAAATATCATTCAGTTTTATGGAGTTGTTTTTCATTCGGACCATTTGGAAATTGTTACGGAGTTTGCTCCGAAAGGATCCCTGGAGGAAATCTTGGACGCTGAAGCTTTTAGTTCGCAAATTGACTTGAAATATTCATTTATTCATGACCTGGTGTCGGTAAGACTTTTCTTAAATGCAGTGAACTAATGCCAAATATGCTGGATTTTTTCTTAACAAAAATTTGCTGCAAACTAAGAAGATGCGTGGTAGCATACTTCTATACAAAGCGCAGGTTAAAAGCCCATGCATATGTATGATTGATAAGTATGTACAGTGTAAGCAATTCTGTAATGATAAGTACAAATGAAGCTTGCCATTTTTTTTACGGAACATAACGTAAACATTCGGAATTTTTCTGTAGAAAGCGTAATAGTAAAATGTCAGCGTAGTAGTAAAATATTGCGCGCAAGAGCTTGACGAGACGTCAATTAACAAAGATTTGGACGACGATATACGAGTACGTTTACACTTTGCAGGGTTTGGGCTATATTCAAGCATCGCCATTGGGCATTCACGGAAATCTGAAAGCTACGAACTGCCTGATTGACCGGTTTCTTACACTGAAATTAACAGATTTCGGATTAGAGATAATAACCAATAATGCAAAAAAACTGCTACCTGAAGAATCTGGTGAATGGAATTCCCTCTACCTTGCACCAGAAATTTTAAAGCAACTTAGCACAAAGGTCACCGACAAATCCGAAATCTACAGCTTTGGAATTCTACTGCACCAAATTTTGTTTGAATGTTTACCATTTGGCATCAAAAATGCATTGTATAAACGAGGAAAAGAAGAAATGAGCTCTATGGTTGTTCAAGGTATGTCAAATGGAAGTAAGTTTTGCAGATACATGTAATGATTATTGCACCTGTACCGTATGTGCATAGCGATTCTTGAAAAAGTGCGAATTAACCAAGATCCTCCGTTTCGCCCAACTGTTCTGCTTGACACATACGACAAGAATCTCATTCAAATGATGAAGTCCTGTTGGCAAGATGACCCCGAAAAACGGCCTTCGATGCACAGAATCAGCAAGTTTATTGTAACTATACCGGGGCTGGATAAACAGATATCGTACACAGAAGCCGTGATGCATCGTCTGCAGTCCTTCGCTGACGAACTGATGAGGGAGGTCAATCTGCGTACCAAAGAGTACAAACAGCAGAAACGGAATGCCGACCACATTTTGTACCAAATCATCCCAAAGTATCTTGCTTTACACTATTGAGTTTTCTTCTATGGAATATTAAAATTGTTCTCTAGGTACATTGTGGAGAAGCTGCAACAGGGCGAGGACGTCCCACCGGAAATGTTCGATGAAGTCACTGTTTGCTTTACGGCCGTGGCAAACTTTGCCCACATCGTGTCGATTAGCCATCCCCTTGAAGTGGGGACATTCCTCAACGCGACCTTCCATCTGCTGGACAGCATTATTCGCACATTCAATGTGTACAAAGTGGAAACAGTTTCCGATACCTATATGGTGAGGTACTTTGCAGAAAAGCAACCTGTAGGCCAAAGCTTGTTGTTGACAGTGTACGACCAGATTGAACTGTTAAACGAAATGTCTAAATCGTAAAGACTGGTACATTATCTAATACGCGGTCCGGAATACGGACAGTTGCTTGTTTTGGCTTACGACTGCCCGTCATGAGCTTCAAACTTTATTAAGCAGAGAACTATGCGAATGAGTAACCGGAAAATGTTATGTTTCGTAATAGGTAGTAAGTGGTCTTCCCGAGCGAAATGGTCAACGACATTCAGCTGAAATAGCCAAAATGGCTTTGTGTATACTGGGACGCTGCGAGCAACCCCAGCTACGGCTGGGAAGACATCAGGGACCGCTGCTACTAAAATTCGGCATGCATACCGGTAAAATGCAGTTTTAATTTGGCAAGCCGTCAGTAAGATATGACAGAAAAGATCTATAATATTAATATCTATTTTTGTAATGTCTTACTGAAGGTTTGATCACATGAAACTGATGTAGATTTTATTGCAAGAAATACATAGCTTTATAACCAACAATAATCGCATACTCTAAATTTTTTTCAAAGGTTCTTGCGCTGCAGCCGTTATTGGAACAAAAATGCCACGATACTGCTTGTAAGATGTTTTTAACATTGGCTGTAGTGATTGTAGTAATCTTTTACTGCCGTGTGTTGGGTTCTTTCAACTATAACCGAGCGATTCGAAACAGATTTGGTGACACCGTTAATACTGCCTCCCGCATGACCTCGTTTGGCCAAGGTATGAAATACCGTACTTTTGCTTACGGCTTATAGTCAGTCTCATCCAGGTGGAACTCTTAATCGCTTGTCAAAACTCGACCGAGAGCTGGCTGGTATTTCGTGTGTACATAGATACCTGGACGTAAACATATAATATGGTGACACCAAATTATGTGCATGCTCATGAACATTTATACGTAAATGAATTTTTATTCACAACCTTGGATCAATAGCGGCGACAGTAATAATTTTATTTAGTTGGCTTATTGCAGGCTTGAAAATACACGTTTCAGTGGATGCAGCAGAGCATTTGAGCAATCATCACGCAAATCAGTTTATTCTTCTTAAACGAGGTTTGATTGATGTCAAGGTAACCTTTCACTTCTTTCTGCAGATATTTTAAAGCAGATGAACTTCCGACTACAGCTGACGTACTAAAACTGATTTACATTTTCCGTTTGGCAGGGCAAAGGTCAAATGTCTACATATTGGTTGGTCGCTCACAATCCATTGCCAGCTGAATAACACATTAATTTTCAGTTTAAGATATTAATAATTTTGTTTTTCTCAGTGCGATGACGTTCTGCGGCATTTAAAAGTTTTTAATTCGCACCGCTTAATTCTCACCGCACAGTTATCAAACATGGTCACAGTAAAAAAAATAACTGCACTTCTGAGTAGTGAAGAGGACCAGAACTTCTTTCAGGAATCTCCGCAACGGAAGGGAAAAAACTTACTCTGGCGGAGACTAAGCAGAAACATTAGAGGATCGAGCATAATTTGAACGGAATACAAAATCGCACAAATATCCATCACCACATTAGGCATAGCAATCTTAACCACGTATTTGATAAAATAATAAACGTCATACGGCAGCCAGCACACGATAACGCAAATAGAGGTTAATGTCAATATAACAAACGGTCTAACAATATCGCGCTGGGATTTTCGGTGAATGCGAAATGTGTGTGCAGCAGGCGTTCCTTCACTTGGGATGGCTCGTACAGCCCCAGAACTGGACTCTCGCGGCCGTACTTGTGGAGAACGTTGATATAACCTCTGGATGACCAAGTATACATACAAAGAAAGGATGATTATCAGCGGGCCATAGCGGCTAATGGTGTTTTCCAATCCCGTCCATACCGGCATCGCTCCTTTGGTGCTCAGCCAAGAAACACATCCGCGAAATATCTCGGGATGATATCGAAGAACATCAATCAGAAAGCCTGACAGGGTTATCGTGTGCACGTAGCCAACGGCTGCCAAGCAGATACAAATGGCAGTTGTCTTGTTGGCATGACGATTTCGGTATGAAATCGGAAATTTGTATGCCCAAAAGCGGTTCACCGATATCAGTACATGATACAGTACGGGCAGAACGCTGATGACCCTTGTCGCATACAGATAGAAAAAACAAGTGGAATTGTTCATATGCCAGTATGGGTTAACTTGAGCAGAAATTGCTAACGATTTCGATACGCAGAGGTAGATCAAATTGGACACGAACAGCGATATTAAATATACACCAAAGGAAGTTATAGCAGCTGGTTTTACAATGTAAAACAAAAACACGGCCGCATTCAACACTATCGATATGATTAAGATAAGCGTCTCGATACCGCTCACAACCGTCCAGTGAGTTGTCTGGTTAAAGTTTAACAAAAGGGTCACGTTGGTATAATTAAAACTTGCAGCAGCATGATTCATTGCCACTTTTGCATCCAACAACTAGGTACATTTAACAAAAATTATTTAATATCTGAACCGGGTTGTAACAATCTACCAGGCATACTAAAAAAAACTTGCTAAATATAATTTTTATTTAACAGTCCGGTACCGATAGGATTAAAGAAACTGGAATTTCCTGTATGCCTGTTAAATGTATCGTGTTGTTCGACTATATATATATAGCTCAGCAGCACGTGCGCTTATACAGAATATCTATATAGATGACGTCAAAACTTTGCAAATTAATCTGTCGGCACTGTGGCAATAAGCGATACTAAAGAACAATGTACAGGCAGTGAGCACCTCTATTACAATTTCGGTTATCCCTAGAAATTCTCTTTTCGTTTGGCTCTCGCCTTCGCGCAGCTTATTATTCTGTAATCTTCCTCACGCCAGAGTTGTGAAAAGGGTTGCGCTGCTGTACTAGATCGTCTTTTCGAATACGCTTTACCTTTTCACTGCCTGTGCAACACAATTAATCAGCTACTGACCAGGCGTACTGACTCCCGTCTGTCAGGAACCAACGACCCCTCCCAACGACGGTATTAATATTGCGCAAATGCATGCACTTATCATGGTACCAAGGCACGTACGTACGCGGCTAGTACGGTCGATTTTCGGTTTTCGACTCCGTCTTAACTGGACGAGAAAAAGAGCCTTCTCCTCCTTGACGGGCAGCACTGCAGCTCCCACAAAACGTTAAAAACGCCGACCATCAGCGGCGCCAACATACAGAAAAAATTGTGTCATACCTATATGTACTATACTTACTCGTATTCTACGTGCGCGAATGATTCCGCATGCATCATGCATGGAATATTCTTCATGGGCAGGTCGAAGGCGGAGGACAAAAAGTCTTCGAGTTTAATCAACCCTTCACCACTTTTTAAAAATTAGTGAGACATTTTGACGTCAATGCTTTACAAATGCTGCAGAGTGCCGATAGCGGTGGAGACAAAATTATACAGTCCAAACTTTATCGTACGAGTTAGCTCTATGGGAATAGGTGTGCCGCCAAAGGGAATAAAACAAAAAACAACGTCGACTAGTAGCGTGACCAGCAAGCAACTGGTATTGTTGAACTAAAATTATTAAGTATAGAAAGTACCCTTCTGGATCTGTGCGCTTGCATGATGGAACCGTAGAACTTACGAAAGTATTAAACCCGATCAGCTTATTGTCCTTCAAATCACGTATAATACGACGGCGCTGTAATTTTGAAGCTGGGGTTTTGCAGCGTTTTGCTTTTATAAACACAAAATTAATAAATGAATGTACGGTGGCGCACTTTCATAATAATTGATTCTCTAAAGACTGTAACGACTGTTTTAACAAACACTATCCATTCAAATACCTATTCAAAAGGAAGGCCTAAAGAGTAGAGAGTATAGGCTCGTTCGCACTACTTGATGATTTAAAACTTAAATGGTAAGAATAACCAAAGCTCTATCTTAAAATTTAATCATTTTAAAGGCGTTATAAAATACAGTACGTATACATCTAGTCCAGAATCAGATTTCTTCAATCAGCAACCAATACGTTCTGACCGCTCCTTTTCCTTTGACTTCTAGTTCCCCTCGTTGTAGAAGTTTGAACTCGGAATAGTGCAGCATCAGTAGCCGAGCAGTATTTTCGCTGATATGGACGCGCGAATCAAAGCTGTACATCAGCATTCTCGACGCAGTATTTACCGTGTCACCAAAACTGACAAAACCAGAAAACTGTTACCGTTGACAAGATGAGTGACCTTAGTTAAACAGGATAGCTGGCGAATCGGCTCCTTACAGACAGTATCGTGGCACTTTATTTCCCACAACCCCTGCAGCACAGGAACCGGTATGGACACCGGCTCTGAGTGCCGTTTGTCCGTCGTGAAGGGCCTCGAAACCGGAATACGACTTGACAAGAGCGATGGCTAGGCTGCAGATTTCTTTTGCATGACAATTGCCGTTTCTGGTTGGGATACCGCTCACAACCTGACAACCGTGGAAAGCACATTAGTGACAAATTTACAACATCATCAAATTTTAATTATTAACCATGTACGAATCTTTTATGGTTTCCACTTTGTAAACGTCAAAGCACGAAACGATGGTATCGAACGCTGTGTATACCTGCAGAACCATAAACGAGTTTTCACTGAGAAGTTTCGATTGCATGGTTGTGTTTAATGGTGATCATGGTATACAATTAATAAAAAGTCAGTGATGCAGTCTTTATTAACGACAGCATGTACTTCACAATCGACGTACATCGTTTAGAAATGTCATCACTGACACAGGTTTGCAACTTCTTACAATTCCTTGAAATCCCCCGATTTCGCTGTAAAGTATGGATGGCCGTCATCATGGCTTCACTGTGATGATTAGATGCAATACGTAAAAATAAAAGCAAGCCTTGAAAAATATTTACGTGAACATAATCGTTGCAGAGTCAAACGCTTCTGGCGCAGGCGTAATTCCTTTCCGTAGCAATTCAATGACCTTACTGCAAGCGCCAGATTATAACCGTATCATTTATAATCGGCTTATTACGAGTACTGTTGTACTCGTATCAGAGCTGCATCAGTCTTACCTGGGCAACATTTCTCGCAAGAGAGCGTCGCATTTTCGTCGCTCATTTAACAACGCGGTAGTCCTTGCACCGACTTGCCGATCCAGCTCCGCCGTATAATCTTCCAATCGATTTAGAATCCGTTCAAAAAGATGACTTTCTTCTGCGTAATTATGTTTCACACCAAGGGCTTGTGTAGCGCTTTGTATTACTGTCGCTATTTCCGGTGGATCATCTGTGCACGTCCTTATTACCGGCAACAGTTCCAAAAGTTTTGTGGAAATTGTACTGGTTTTTATTTTTTCTGGATTCAGTTTGGGGCTATTTTCTAAAAATTTATGATAATGAGAAATGCTTCAAGAAATTGTTAGCAAAAGAGACAGCTGCCTGTTACCTGCGGTATACGCGAAAGGGTCATCAAGCGTTATTATATGCAGCAACACCATTCCTACTGCTTTCACATCGGACCCTTTGCGATTAGTTTCCACAGTTCTGCTGGTTTGACTGTCGACTGGTCTTTTTGTACTTTTTAAAGGTCGCATCCGTTTGCGTAGTTTAATAAATCCCGCTTCTCCAATTTTTAATGTAAAATGTTCATCAACGAAGCAGCAACAACTTGTTAGAGCTCCGTGGTATTTCACTTGCGACCGGTGAATGGCTTTTACTCCCTGCGGCATTTGAACTGGTTGAAGTTGCAACAACTTAAAATAATAATTTTTTATTTAATTTAGACAAATGAAGTACTCGCACTTACCCGCAGTACATCAAAAATAAGTGCTATTTGCAGGTCATAGTCCAAAGTAATTTGGTGTGTTAGATCTGTCAAAGAACCCCGACTGACGTAGTTGTAAACAAAGTGCACCACGTTGTTCAACCAGCATAAGCCGATGAATCTGTTGATGTTTGGATGGTCAAGCCGTAGGATCTAAAGACACACCAATAATCTGTATTAATCCAAAACAATTCTGTCTGCTGTGTTGCATAAAGGTGCCTCTAATGAACCGTAATCATTATGAAACAACATGCAGTCCACCGGCAACAGCAATGCAGTTTTACATAATTGTGGTTACTGTAGAAAGAAAATTGAATGTGTTCATAAAAAAATTGAGGCATTACGTGGGAAAGGTAAGTTATGGCAGCCTCGCAAAGATATCCCCGCGTCCGTGCCATCGGCGATTCCAAAGTGCTTCCATACGACATCCAGACAAGCTGGTCATCGCTATATTTTAGGAGTTTCCGGGATTTTGTATCTGATGGTAACTGTATAAAAATGTTCAGTGTCATGCAGTTACAACAACAGTAATCCAATATACAAAAATTCGCTTCGGTATTACCGGGGAACTGAAAGGTTGGTTGGTGTCCGCATATCTCAGCAGACACGGATCGACTATCCATAAAGTATCCTTGAGTAATTTATCGTATGCTAAGCGCCTATAGATTAACAACTTCCAGTCAGGAATTTTGGAAAGAGGTTTGCACACATGCGAACACCATGACGATGTTCAGAGGAAACATAATGCGTGCCTCGACGAAAACGATTACAATTTTCGTAAAGTCAATATTGCTGATGCTAATTCAAAACGTATCAGCTAATTTTACCTAGATATGACTATACCCAAACTGACTGCCAAAAGGATTACGACTGCGATGCCCGCAATCGATCCGGCATAAAGGTCAGTGTGTCCTGCAAAGGGTAAATGCAAATGTGCTCAGAGTTATGAAAAAACCGTGATTCGTTAAAAATTCGTTTTTGTGCAGCATGTCGCAGAATACCACCTTTAAATGCACAAGCCAATGAGTCTCCTCGAAATCCACAGACTGGTACGTTTCTGGGCGGCCAAACGCCCGGCCACTGTGGCTCGTTAATTATTTCCAGAGTTAACGTAGCAGAATTTTGTATAAAGACAGTCTAAAAAATAATTCGTGAATTAAATTCTTAAAGTTGTATTATATAAAGTTGTATTATATACTTGAGCTTTGTTCATACTCGCATTTTCGTAATACATGGAACTAGATTATACCCGGATCTGAGATGTATTCCAGTCCAGTTGGTTCACCATTACCGTGGGTATACGTTCCCCAACCTGATCGATATAAAAAGTTCCGACATCTGTATAAAAAGCCCGGCTCCAGAAGCGCTTGGCAATTTCCCTTCCAGACTCCAGCGATTTGAAAGACTTGGAGACGAGCAATTCGTTGATCACCTAACAAAAATAATTACCGGTATATAACAAACCTCTTTAAATTACGCAAATCACTTGATGTTCTGCAGATCGCAACGTCATACATATTTCCTAATCCAGAGACTAGATAGTCGATACACACCTGAGCGATCATAAGTATGCCAGCATATGCAGACGCCGGATGGGGGCTTATCTAAAAAACATTTTTCCCAGATGCCTCCGGTCTTAACTGAGCACTCGGCCTACCTACCAGCTCGAAAGGCTTATATGTATAATTGTATTCCCGTTTCGTCAAATCTTTCATCTCGAGTGAAAATTTGTCGGATCCATTCGTGCTGCCATAAACCGTATTATGAGGCTCAATAATGAACACTGAACGGTATGCAAGACGCACAGTCTGGATTAGAAACAGAAACGGTTATCGATTCGAATCTCTTGTAGTCAGTCGAATGTAGCATATGCATCCGTATTAATTTCGCTAGGAGTTTTGGATATCTCACTTGGTCATCCAAATCTCCTTTCTGCCACGTTAAATAACCGGGGTCAGTATTGAACCTAAAGGGCGTTGTAATGATGTAGATCTAAATAACGAAAGTTGCCATAAATGCGAGAGCGCCAACCAATATATCTGTACGAGGTATTTAACTAAAGAGAAAATCCTTGCAGACAGGTTATGTGCATATTACTCTGCAGTCTGCATATTCGCAATACATCAAGTTATTTGGTTATCATCAGGTTCAGGCATGGAATAACTGTAGTTGTACGAGTGTCGTAGTAATGTAGCTGAATTTCTATCCACGCAAAATTTAATTTAGAATACTTACCGGCACTATCGAATTCAAAAATGTTAATGTGAACGCAGCTTTTGCCGACCCAATATCAGTCTTATTATGATAATTATTTGCACTCACGTGTTCCCCTTTCATCATATCTAGTTCAACCGCTTTAATCTGAAAGAATAATCGGAGTAAGGTCGTAATGACATCAAATATACGAAAAGTTAAAACGGATGAAAAGTATCAAGAACGACAAGTCGACAACCCAGTTATTGAATCATATTCGCATAACTGATATATGATAGCTGAATTATCACTTTTGAAAAAGTAGTGAAGAAGTTCTGGGTTTTCCGGTTAATTCCACTTACCAAAAATTTTCTGAATATAAGAGGGTCCCCAAAAAACAAGAACACTACAAAAAACGTGCTTCTTTAGCAGCAAAATGGTGAGACGATCAAGAAGGCAGCAAAAACCGTGAACGATAACAAGATGTGTATGAGAAAAGAGGAAAACATTCGACTTGCTTTATGCGTTTATCCTTCTTTGAATGCATTATACAAGCGCAAATTAAAGCATGTATTGGAAATCATTTTGTATAGGTAAATATGGGGTACCTCGGGTCATCGCATTTAAACGCGTCAGTATTCCACCATAATTAACAACTTCTTTAGTGGAATTAAACTTCTCCAGATAGATTTGCATTCCAGATTCAGATGCAGCTAACTGGGAGTACAATATGTCGGACAGCTTTGGAAAATATGAATTGGCTCCATAATCGGTGATCATGCCAAAACGATTCCAACCGTATCTTCGGGCCAGGTTAAAGTACACGGTTGTGTACGTTAAGTAAGAATTCGTCGTGATTACAATCCAGGTAGGGGTCAGGGTTTTGTCTCGAATTGCCGGTAAGCTACCTACGCTGCAATATGCTACAGCATCTGTACAATATGCACGGCTGTACTTAATAAGTGAAATGCTCGAGTGACCTTTGGTCACAAATTTTGTATCCATGTGGTAACAAAAAGTCAAACGTTAACAGGCTAAGTTGTAGCACTAACTTTGTCATCATTAATATGTCCATCTCCCTTGCAACTGGATAAATTTCATTGACTTCCATGCCACATCCTGAAGTTCGTGATCAAAAGTTCAATGATGTCAGCTTTTATCGGTTTATAGTGGCGGCATACAGAATATAAGAAAATTTATTAATACTCGTACCTATAGTACGGGTTTGAGAATAAAAATTCCTGAAGCACTAGAACCCGTAGCTAAAAGTGATTGCACCCAGTGCGGTGTATCTGTATAAGCTGTATCTGTATTGTTATTGCTATAAGTAGCGTCCAGCTTACCGGCCCACATTAAAGTTATTATGGAACAATTGCGCGGTTTTCCATTTTCATTGCGTCTTGCAATATGCGACGTTACCCGGTAAACACTGTCCGCAGCAATATCCGTACAACCTATGTCGGCGACATCCGCGAGAATCGTTTGCGTTATGTTCAGCAATGGGTACAGATGACGACTTTGGTGCAACGCTTTTTTGTAAGCAGGGCCTAAATATGGCAGTGACCCCAGCATCACGGGATACAACAGTGAAAGAGTGATTATTTCGACGTTTAATATTTTACATTCAGCTAATGCAGTTTCTGCGATCGGATTATTCATTTCTGGAAATACCAGAGGAAAATTCTGTTATACTTCCTGAAACGCACGAAAGAGCGAAAGCTTATAACGTGTTCAAGCGCGCGTAAATTAGAAAATTGGTTGGAACTTTTTTTAATTATACAGGCAAAGGAAACGCTAACTTTTCTTGCTTTCCATGCACATCGCACTGATCGAAGGCAACAAATGCGATGCAGAGCATGCATATTGAAAATGAAACTGAAGATGTTGTCAAGTACTTTCGGATTATTTTAGCGATTAAGCCAATATCCGTGAAGCAAATATTCCGTGGTATTAAGCAAATATTCCGTATTATTTTCAATCGGCTACTTGTAATATTGGAAAGAGATACATGTACCCATTGATCCCTTTTACCTATTAGGTGCTCAATTACATGACTTTGTTCGATTGGTCGGCGATACCGCGTGATACTGTACGTGCTCACATCTGAAAAAAAAATGTACTGCATGACATACATATTTAAATAATTTGAAGTACAATGTCTGCTAATGCAACGTGACATTATCGTGTCATTCTGGATTATTTGCTCTCTAGTCGCACTTTTACAAGCATCACTGACCGTTATATTGGTAACGTCATTCCTTGTTTTTTTTGACCTTTGTTAACCTTGGCGCTTGGTTTTCGATGTGGTTGAAAAAATAATTTTCGTGTTCGACGAGCGTTGTACAATGTTGATATTTGCAAGCACGGAAAAAATAGGGATAGCGAGAGTACTAAGCGATTTCTGAAATAACAAGCAGACCACAGCTGCCCTCTGATCAAAAATATGTACATTACGGTGACCCTCACCACCGAAACTGCTGAAGACCAGCTTTTATGCCGATCATTAGCCACGGTGACGATATACTCGTAGTACCTTCTGCCAAAACGCTAAAAGGCTGCCCTTCAAAGTAAACATTTTAAGCTCTCTAGTCGGCAAGTTCGAAGTGGAAAACTTGCGGTCTTCCATATTGCGGTAATGGTGGAATGATTGCAATCCGGCTCTAGCGCCAAAGTTGAGGATTTTTAAACACTGGATAAGTAGATTTTTACGCTTTTGCATCTGGATAATGTGTGACATCGTTGTGCAAAAGAAAGTTCGATTGTCACTCTTTTTACCAGAGCAAACTCGGCGTTCCAAAATAAAAACTAGAAACCAGAATGTGTTACGTTCGTTAAATTGAAAAAATGCAACAAAGCTTTTGAAAGGACGGATCCAAATTTCAAAGATATATTATCAAGGCCCATGTTTGCAATAATTATCAAAATCAGCCTAATTTTGCAGTAGCATAAAAGATAACTCTATGTCAAGCGTTCATCATCTAATCTCTGATACAGATGTACTCCGTATTGTACAAAAAATATCACAATGTGCATCATTCAGAAAAAGTGTACGGTTGTCGAGTTGAAATGGGTCCGGAGCTGCAAAAAGTGTTCTCCAACAGTGTATAGGTGTTTGGACGTAGACATTGTTCTATTCAGGAATTTCCGGGCATTTTGCGTGGAACAGTGTCTGATGTTTTCTGTGCTGGCAGGAAGCCTAGTAGGATATACGTAAACCGCATAGTTCTTTTGCGGTGCTGACAGCTCCTCGTTAAGCATTATCCAGCCCGGCTTCTTCTTCTAAACCTATAAAGTCACGATCGACACTTCACTCAGAGCTTCCATGATTTGAGATCTTCTTGGATAATAATATCTGATGGATTTTTGGCATTTCTCAAACAGGTTTCGATGGCATCCAGTGCGCCATGAACGCGCCTGTCTACCGCATCCAGATGCTCTTGATTCAGGACAGGATACAGAGGATCGGAGCGCATGGACTCATCTAAAAGATGGCTTAATTTTGGTCCGCGGGTTAGGTCCAGCAAGCGTTTCAGGGTGGATCGCCGGATAAGACAACATTGTGTTAGAGGTGTCAAGATGGATGGATCGTCGGTTTTCCACTTATTGAAACTGCAAGTTAAAAGATTTTTTTACAGTTGCTCAGACATCTGTAAATGTCTGCATATTATCAACAAAAAAGGAATGCCAACCGTTTCGGCAGTGAATTTTTAAAGCAAATATCTGTGTAATTAACACGACCTTATTTGAAAAAAAACTCGTACGTAGGAAAAGTGCAACTCTCTACAAAAACTGTAAAATTGGCTCGGAAAATATTGCTGTCATTATCCTCATAAAAATATTACTTGCACAAATTGGTAAATACACTTTATAATATTAGTATTACAACAATGTTTTACTGTAGCCAGCTAAAATTCATTCCATTATTTTTTTAAATATGAAATTTTCTTTGTTGTGTATCACACTTAAATACGTAGCATCGATTGTGAATTTGTGACAGTTCACCGCACCTCCGACCATGATCCAAATGGATGGGCGAGCTCTCGTTGCCGAACTCGTAAAATGTCTCATAATGATGGCGATCCAGATTATTAGCGATGTAGTCTAATATCGCCATATCCATAATGTCCAACATTCTCCGACCGGCATCGTACGGCTCAATCGTCTTAATTAGCAAACAATACGTGTTGTCCATTTCCCAGGGCGCCAGTTTGAGCCGGCTATATGATCGTCGCCAGGGATGTCGCCAGGTCATGCGCAGTGATGGCCCATCGTCTTCCGGTAAGAAAGCGCTAAAGGAACCCGGTAAGTTCTCCGGTGATCCGCATAATCCGTGGCTGGTGTCGCAGTAATATTTACAGGCGCCTGTCAGGCAGATATTGCCGGCCGGGGAGATGTAGAAGGTGTCGCGAAGATTGTCGTCCGCACGATTACGAACGTCGGTGATCAGATTGACCATGCGACCGGTTACCGGAGGAGCGCGACGGAAACCCAGGACGCTGTAAATCGTTCAAGTGATCAAGAAACTACAGACTCAGGCCATCCTTACGTTTTCTGACGGAAGTAAATCACGAAATAAATTTTCAGTAAAATATAAAATTAGATAAAATTTATATTGCGTTGATTTTAACGCTGTTCTCGAAAAAACTATGTAGACCAGATGCTGCTCACTATTTAAGCATATGCTATCTCGTGGATCGTGAGAGACAGCCATTCTGAATCTAAGAAACAGAAATAAATGCTTCGTAATACTACTATTAATTAACGATTCTATGCAGCAAATCCATTAATACGTACTGGTACAGTTGTATTGTCTAGTATGAGTTTTGTTACAGCCTGTGTATGAACAAATAAATTCCAATACGCACCAGCGTATGCAAATTCTAAAGGTTTGGAGATAAGAAAAAATTAAATAACTACTGCAATCTGTAATTATGTGAATACACAAACACACGGACTGACGCATTTTAATATATAAATACGAGTACAAGAGATTACTGTTATAATACAGCAGTATTACGTAGTACGTACATCCATAGCGAACATGATCCTACGTCAACCTTATTAAAGTACGGTAGAATTATTGGGTATAATGTAAACCGAGATAATATTATGGTTAAATTTAGTAAATTATTTTAATAAACCTTTCCATATCAAATTATCCGCACATGCCGTCAGGGCTCGGCACCACTTTTCCTTACCGGTCGAGATGGTATGCCGCAATCTCACTGTAATGTCGTTCGAAATAATTAAAATAGAAATGATTGGGGTTGTCCTCCTGGGTGTTGTTGAGACGTAATGGTTTGAAAAGAGCTTTTCCAGGACCCTCGAACTCAATAAACAGCTTTAGCTGGGTACCGCCGTCTTTCATTTCTGCAATAAACAGACATATTTTTACGGACGGAATACAATGCGCCTTCCGTGACAAAAATTGTGTCTCAAATTTAATAGAGTGCCTATTATTTTGTAATGAGGCAGTAAGATTTGATTAATAAGCTTGACCTTGTGCAGAAACACAGGCTGCACAGAGGTCATCCGTGACTGTATTAAGCAACGAAGGCATTGCAAGTATGTGTTCGTAATAACCTATAATTATTACTGTTACCAGTCGCTTGAATTAAAATGTTCTTTTATATCCCTTAACGAGTTTAAAAATTATGTATGTAAATCAAATAAATGGATCATCAAGTAGTTTGTGCATGCATAAACAGTGCATGCATTATTATGCTGAAACGCGCGTGTAAATTGTCATGGAAGGCTGAGCCAAAGAGTTTGCTTGATTTGTTTACGGAATTAAAATAAAATAATTAAGGTCGCATTAAAGGTTAACAATTTGTCAGAACCAGTAAATCATGATGCAATGGTGGCATACACCCGCAGTGCGTAAACGTTTAGCCTGAGGTGCGACAGACCGGAAGGCCACATCAGCTAACTGGCGGCACTTCCTGTTGATTTGCATGCATTACATGTGCCCCGTATTGTGGGGGTACTTACCGGCTTTCGTAATGGCGGCCGTTTGTACATCTTTGAGGACAGCATCAACAACTGCCGGATCCTGATAGAGCTGATAGGGCGTGATGCCAGCATGAAATCTGTCCCATACGGTATTTCCAAATTGACTGTGAAATGAGGAAGAAAATGTTATTAGAGTGAAAAAGAATGTTATGACAGAAATGGACCATGGGACCCAGCATTAATATGTCACAGTACATTAAGCAGACAGGTTCAGGATTTCCAGCATATTTATTGAAGATTTTCCTTCGGTCTTCATACGATTTACGAAGTCTGTTTTCTATGTGAAATTTCAATAATTTCTTATTATTATTCTCACCCTGAGATTCAATTACTGTCCACATTTTTTGGATTGATTTACGATCGTACTGTATTAAAAAAAATGGTTGTGGACAGTATTCTAAACTTAACACAAAAATTGAATTACTAATGAATATCAACATGTTCAGATCTGTTAGTGCGCAATCTTCTCACCGAAATTGTTAATCAAAAGCAAACAATTAAGATTCTGTCAAAACGTTTCGTTGTAATCATGAGAAAAAGTTTTATTTCATAACGATAATATGTCTGCTATTAAAGTGGCAAGAATTTTGTCGTGTTGCAAAGTAGCTTATGTCTGCTACGGCGAACTTTTATCAAAACCCCACCATATCGCACCATAACAGAACCGGCTGATGTCCAACCGGGGATGCTATTTAATTAGTTCCCATGATTAACGCCCTTTGGCGGTAATCAGGCAAGTAATCATGCATCAGGCCGATTATATGTCGGAGATAATCGAGTGGAAATTACAAAAACATTGAGCAAATGGCCGATTTTATCGGCATTGAGTGTGTTTTGGGGGGGATTATAGGTGAAGTACATAATGACGCCCAGTGGATCAGTCCAAATGACACCATTAATGTCACCATCAGATATCAACAGCAGCCGCCAGGAAGCTGCGGCGCGCATCGCTGACGGGATCGGAGGAAAAAGGGAAGCGTTGGTCACGGCCATGGCGGTATGGGCTTAATGTACTTGGCGGGGTAAAAGGTCCGGCTTTTACCAATTAAATCCCAACAAACGCGCAAACTGTACCCGAGAGACTGTGTTTTGGCGCTGCCAGTAGTCGCTGGATTATCGTAATCGCTACGCGACATTCTTCCAGTTCCGCATTATGCACTCACTGTGCGGTTATCCTTTTCTGCATGTGTTGTCAGCGAAGGGCTAACATTATGCCTGAATTAAAAATGTTTAAATTTATTCGTTTTGTAACAGAATTAAATTCTCTAATTTTCCGCTTGAGCAGTAGACTTAAATATTAATTTATGTAAGCATAAAAATGTTGGAACATGGTTATCGTTCTCCCAAAGTCCGCAGAGAATTTTTCACAAACAGTTCATCATTTTCAAATTTCAGCTCACGAACACCATGCGGTATAAGCGCTATTGCACGATCACGCTCGTTTTCGAACACTGGCATATCTACAGACTCTGTACATGCTCATACCACATTTAAACATTTCTCTCAAGTACATAGTAAGACTATAGTACATAAAACACTGCTGAATTTAAAAAGAAAACGTTGTTAACTTGGCAGTATGTGCAATATACAATCTCCTATACCTAAAAATGTTAAAAATTCTAGTGCAGTGATCATAATTTTATAAAAAATTATGTTTAGAATTTTGGAGGAATTAAAAAAACTTCACGAAAAAGATATTATCTAGTAAATATTGTCCTAATATTGGATCCCGCTGGGCTGAACTCTGATTGTTATGCATGTATGGCAACATTACAGCATGAATAAATAATCGGTTATGGTCTGCGTGAGTGTGTCGGGAACAACTGCGCCTATTTTGGTTAGAAAATTATACCTTCCGTTGCTCTTATACACATCCGCCATGTTCTTGTGAGGAGGAAGCGGCTGACGCGGTCGGGCATAGGGACTGTCGCTAACGTTGGCAGTCAAGCGGTAATATCGCCATAACGCTTTGTAATCCTTCCTCTTGCCAGCTTTCCCCACGGCATCATCCAGCGGCAGCGCATCAGCCGCCGCTGATATATGTGCTTGACCGGCCGCAGCAGCAGCTGCCGGCTGCTGATCGGCGCCCGCGGCCGGAAGCCGGCCATCAGCCGCCACTGGCCGGCGGCCGCCAGCGGAACCGCGCTCCACTTGCGAATTATGATCGGATGAACTGGACCAGCTGGAGGCCGATGGCGCTGGTTTACTGCGGGGGCCGCTGATGAAGACCGCTGACTGCTGGACGACATCGGGACACCCCATACTACCACCGCCTGCGCCGCCATCCATCAGTGAACTGCGGAACAGCACCAATAAATGTAATCCAACACTCAGGCCCAGTAAGACAATTAGGCTGATTTTCACTGCATCTTGATATTTACGCACACCGCCCGCTGTGCGCCGGTCGAAAATGAAATATTTCGGGCGTGCCATGATGGGAATTCAGTGGAATGCTGAGGATAAATCAACGCGATACAATGCACCGATCCACTGCTGGGCCATGGATAATTGTTTCCATAAAGGGGGGAAAATTACATATATATCCCGGTGGATTCCGACTCAAAGCTTATATATTCAATCGTCCATCCGATCCAGGCCGCATCTCAGCCGAATCGATCCTTAACGAGTATGAGTGAATACATGATTACCGAGTGGTATTAAAATAGACACTTGAACACGGTGTATAAACCCGGGATGAAAATAGCTAAAGCGTTCTTTTTGGAATGATTTTCTAAAGAGAGCGGATAGAAAGCAATATGCGTATATATGATATATGTACGATATATATGCAACACCCGAAGACTGTAGCAAGTGCAGGAGACAGAAAAAGGTTTTGCAACAAGTTGGAGCGGTGGAGAAAAACCGAAGCATAGGGCAACTGTTTTAGCAGAAAGAGAGAGATGGCAACAACGCGATATGATCGTTTCACGGGATAAACGGTGCCAGAGTGGCGTGTATTATAAGCGTATTTAATGTGGCGTATGGTATGCAAAAATACTTTACCATTGCGGCTTAGCGTATGGTCTGTATGCGCCTGTGTGCCCCGCTAGTGAAGTGGCCAATCAGCGGAGTAGTCGTACTCAGCGCGAAAACTGCTTTGCCGTGGAGAAAAATGCTCATAATGAACTCTTGTCATCATTCCCCCGGTAGAAAATGGATGTTAAGTGAATAACCCGCTTGCGTGCCGTGACGTAATTAATATTGCCCTAGTGGCAAATAATAACGCATGTCTTACCGCAAAATTTCCATTTTACCGTTTTTATTCAGATACACCGGTGCATTAATATACAGGCGTGCACGACACGGAATCTCCCATGACAAACATAAATTTGCTACCGAACCTGGAGTCGGTACTCGTATAAAGGTCGCAGAATTATTGCCTGGTTTTCTTAGTAAGTGCCCGAATGAAAAAATGGGTAATTTTGTTCCGAAAATTCCAGACTAGTGTACTATTCGTAATCTATGGCATGTTCCATTAATTAAACAAAACACCATTAAATTTTCTCGACGAATTTTTCAGCCGAAAATAGCGGTGCTTCTTTGTTTACATACCAGATTACCGAGATTACATAGACCAATACATACAGTGTCAATAATAGTATACCATGCGAACACATTTTGCATTTCATGGTCAATGTTGTCGCGGCGGTGTGCTGATTTAGCGGGGTTATTGTTAAATGTTAAGAGAAACATCTGATATTTGACCGGCATTATGCTACACTTTTGATGTCAAAATTCTTCCTAAAGTGCTAGCACCACGAGTGATTTTGTTCTGCTCTGTACAGGACACGCATTATTTATTTTCACACTGATGACATCTGACAACAAACTGCAAAATACTGTGCGCTTCAGTTGGCTGAAAAAATAATCAATACGGCAATGATCTACATCTGACGGGGGAAAACGGCGCAGTATCCGCAGCACTTCTTGAATAATACAAATAATCCCGTCTTTGAGTGTAGACAATAATTCTTAAAATATTAAGGCTCATATTGGGCAAAGGTTAATGCGGAATAATGTTTTATTTAATAATGGAGATCATGTGCCGATCACGTCGGCTCTTCCTCGCCTGTAGCCGGCTTATAACTACCGGTTCGTTGACGCGGTTGGGATATGGTGTGTGTTGATTACAGCGGTTGGTAACATGATCGCCAAGAGAGCTCGCTTGGCCTCTTGAGATAAATCTTGACTTCATCACCTGAGATTTTAATTAAATCAGACAATGCACGAGCACGGAACCTGCTCCAGTCCACACATCCTAATGAGAGTGACGCGATGCTATTGTGAGCGCCGTATTTGTACGTATACATTGTGCGCTCCACTACCGGGTTGTTCTGAACCGGAAATGCCGTGTTCATCGGTTATAATTATCCTCTCTACATGCGAACAATTCGAAACAATCAGCTTTGTATAAACGAACACTTGTGACCTATATTAATCATTATATTTTTAAAACCATGGCCATGTAAAGTGACTGGTAACTAGATTTACTTCGTATGCAGAAAAAAGGAGTTGAATCGCGAATACTAATAGATTTGCGGTAAACTGAATTCCAAGTCGCAAATGAGGATTTTTTAAAGGCATTGTAATTTAATAAATACAAAATACATTACCAATAGATATGCAATTTAGTCTCTAATTTAGTGATAATTAATTTCCACTAAAGTACTGATTTCCAGTTACCGATATTCCCGCTCATATCTGTTAGTTTACCCCCAAAATAATCGGAAGCTCTTTTCATATTACCCGGCATACAGATTTATTATTTTTACAGCGGACTTTCGATTTCTGCAATCATCAGATGTAAGTAGTACTCATATTTTCTAAGTATTTACTCGTGTATGGGAACTTGTAACAATGCAAAAAATTCTAGTAAATCACAGTTCAGAAGTGGTTGCATGCCAGAAATTTTTTAGTTTTACTAAATTAGAAAAAGTACTGTTTATGCGTTGTACAGTTGTACTGTTTATGTTTAAGCTTTGTTTTACGAAAAAAATTAAAAGCCTTGTTTTATGTTTATTTCCATAAAGCCAGGCTCTTTTCGGAAGACGAGTCAGTTTGTTGTTGGCTGCGTTCAGCCGATCCGGAATTTTATGGAACACTCCATATGATCTAGTGCTTGAATGGTTATACTACGCAGTTCGATAGAAACTGCGTGGTTTTTAGCAGGCGCATGTAATAAAGTGGCTACTTCTTTAAGAGCCTCTTGAGATTAGTGGCAGCGGAAAAAATGTTCAGACAACACGCTCCAGTCATGAACAATTCATGCTGACGATGATTTCCGCTTCCGACAGTGCACTCACTGCAGTTTAACCTACCGGCAACTTGTATTTGCCAGAAAAACCGCTACTGCACAGGGAAAAAGTGCATCTGACAACTGATATTTTTGTAAACTCATTCTAATGGTGTATTTCGAAACGTCAGGGGAGTATTGCATAATATCACATGCAAATGAAAAAATGCATTTACCAAATAATACTCAAAGTTTTTAAATTTCCCACTCATTCGGAAGCGCCGTAGCTAAGCAGCCTTTGTTCTACAATTTTTTATTCCATATGTTTGCGCCTGGAGAGTTGCTTCTGTGAATTCATTTGTTCATTTTTATAGAAAACAGGAACATTGTAAAATTAGAAGGCGTCGACTTGTAATTTACTCGTAAAAACAGTTTTACGAATAAATAAAAGATTTTGCCTAAGAAACCTAAGAAACCAACAGAAAACTAAAAAAGATTTTGTCACTCACAACGCATGTGCAATTTATAAAAGGATCCTAAATATCTCGTACAATCACATAAAAACTGCTTAAGATCTACTCTATGGCTTAGTCTTTTTCACCTTCAGCTGCATGGGCCTGATGTTCATATGTAACATACCAGCGATAGTGCCCAAAACTTCCTGTGATTTTTCCAAAGAATGCGCCCTGAAAATTAATTTCCTATCAAATTTTGAAGTATTCCCTATCAAATTTTAAAGTACTTTAGTAATGTTTTGTATTCATACCAAGGCGATTCAGTTAACAAGGTACATATCGTGTCCGCATGTTCTTCCGGGATAATTTCCTCACATGTTACAACACTTTCGTGAAACTTGGTAGCACAAACCACGCGCACCTACAAACAAGTGGCTTTCAAACAAATCAAACGAACAAACTAGTGACATTATAATCAACAACTCAAATACATTTCGTTTCGTGTAAAAAATTTGCCGTTGCCCAGAATTAGGTTAAGTACTAAAATTATTAATAACAGTGCATTTAGTACACCCGAAAATTTTTGGTGAAACAATTTATAAAAATGGCATACGCGAGTCTCTTTACCAAATGCGAGATGGTTCGCAGATGCAATTACCTACAGAGAAAATTCTTTAAATCGCATTTTTCAAAACAATTTCGGGTGTTTTTCAGTGCTTAAATTTAAAGTCTTCAGTAGTGACTCCGCATAAGCGTTGCTGTTATCCAACGGAAACTTTTGTTACTGTTTTTGATTTGCAATATATCCGTGTCTAATGAAAATGGCTACTGGTTAAAATAAAGAGACCTCAGACTACAAACCGATCAAAAAATACAGATGGTATTCTCAATTTCTGCAGAAATGAGTTGACTCACCCGAGGGTAAACATGAGATAAAAACGGAAGCAGTCGCTCCAGAGCGAATTTCCTAATCGGATCAGCAAATTGCAGTGCTTCAGCATATCTAAAACAAGACTAATCAGAGAAGTTTCGCACAAAAATAAAACGTTGGAATCCTTACACTTCGACCAGTGCCACCACTTTCACTGTGCTCTGCGATAAGCGTAAGTGCTGAACGACGTTCAGGAGGTCTATCAGCAATTGTGGCTCTTTTTCATCCACATTCTGATAAAATACACCACCGGCAAAGATTTGTTTCAATGTATTCAAAGCGGGCAAAACCAGTCTGAAACGCATACAACACACTGATCCGCACGAAAAAATCAACCCCAAAATGCTGTGCCGAGGAACATAGTAAAATAAAGATACAGCAAAATGCAAAAATTAGTATCGCGCGCACAACAAGTAAAAATCAAAATTAACTGCACAATAAGGAAGAAAAAAAATTTTCTTCAGAATAATCGCTAAAAATGAGAAGCCTAACTGTATGTAATGCTACAGAAAAACAGCACCATAAATATTTAAAAAATCTTAATATTTATTACACAGTTGAATGCAGTGTAAAAGTGGGTAATTCCAGTTGATGTTTATTTTCACCTGTCTTCCTTCATGGCTTGCTTTACAGCTTGCTTCAGTGTGTCGACCAACGCCACCATGACTGACAAATCCTGGGAATGCTCCCGAGCGTAGGTCCGAAACGCCGCACTCGATTCCCTAACCGTCGACTCGGTTAGACTGCCCAAACTGGATATCAGTCCCAGCATCACGGCAGAGCGAATTTCGGCTGCCGGCACGGAGAGCAGACTAACAGCTAACGGATAGGTACGCGATCCCATCGTCCATACCGCAGTGCGTGCATGCGACCGGCATAATAACTCCCGCATGGCTACTTTGCCAGAGAAATCGGGAATATCATCCCTGTCAACCAAAACATAATGATCATGCCTTCGGCCTTACGACCATTACCGCGCATCAATGAAAACAGAACGCCTATTGCCTAACAATATAAACTCAGAACATAAATCAAAAGAAAACTATCATAACATTAAAAAGAAACATATTAACATAATATTTTCTTGCCTAAACTTTCAAAACATTTTGCAAAAAGCTTGTACTGTCATATAATAAAAACGTACATCAAGTAAAAACCAAAAAAGTCTCCCAGTCGGGGAATCGAACCCCGGTCTTCCACGTGACAGGCGGAGATACTCACCACTATACTAACTGGGACATTTCATAACAGAGATATCAAACCCATCGAAGAAGAGACACGATCACTTTGCCGACACTCTGCTTTTCAACTAGATCTGCTTGCTATCGACCCACCTTATCGGATTATTATCGTACCGCAAGTGGTGCATAATAAATTCAGACGGTATACTTACGATTTCACTAAATACAGGAGAAGCTGCCCAGCACGCGCCCGCAAGTCTGGGATGCCCTCGGCAAATAGCCGTAGTAAGTTTATCACGACCGTATTAAGCCTAAAAATTCCAAAAGGTTAATCATGCTTAAACTGCCTGTCGAGCCAGAACTGCGTGAACGGCGAAGAGAAGCATCGTACACCACTAAAATTGCATAAACGCAGCAATAAAACTGCAATGCAACTAACGACGAGTCGCCGGCATTGTAGAAAACTAAAACTACATTTAGCGAAATCTTACCGAAGTTGTCAAAAACAACAAAAACTTCGTAGCTCATACTAATATTAAAACGACGCTACGAACCTTTCCGGAGTAAGTACCAGAGGGTCCGTCCGGGCGATACGCGTCATAATGGATCGTGTTGTATCGATAGCAGCCAACCGCACTCTGTAAGGAAATTCATAAAATAGGGTACTAACCGTACTTCAGACTTTTCTGCGAGACTGGAAACGATTTCTATGTATTCACATATGCGAACATAATATTTAATAGCATTAAACCATTGACCACATTACGCAACCAACGCAACATTTCTTATAATTTTATTGTAAGAACCAATAAAAGATCATGGAATTATCGAATAAATTTTACAATTTACGCTTATGATCCACGGTGTACATGTCCAGCATAAAACTAATAACCCATACTTTACGAACGAACTTACATTCTGCCAATGTTACCACGCTTGTCTTCAGTGTAGTCCGACAAGCAATCACCCAGAAAATCTACAACTTCGGAAAATGCTTCACTGCTGAAAGCCCTGGCAGGAACAGCTCCTAGTAACCTGGAAGACGAGATGGTTCCGATCAGGCATATGCAACATTAAGGAACAAAAACCACTGAACTCCAAAAACCAGCATAATCGAAACAAATGTAAAAAAATGTCAAATAAGGCACCAAATAAAACTGAAGAAGCGAGGTTATATTAAAATTTATAACACCGACATAGCGACGATGTTTCAAAGATGCCAAAGATTGCCTGCGGCTTACCTATCGAGTGACCGGCAGCAGTTTCGCCGGCAATCCACCCACTGCGGCTCCGGACACGATGACCGTGGACAAATGGACGCAATCGTATTGGTAATCACGCTAAGATTTTTTGTAGCGAATTCGGCGGAGAACACGGACAGGACCAACACCGAGTATCGTCTACAAACATAAAAGTTCTCACAAAACGGTTGTCTTGACTGCTCAATAAAATTACATGGAATGCGGCTGCAGTGCATTCAGGTGCGACTTATGGCCAGCATTGCGAGCAATTAATTCACGTCACGAGATTTACCTCATAAGCTCTGATGAAGATTTCACATTATGCAGCACTTGATCCAGACAGGCTTCTTGCAAGGTGCGGTTCTGATCAGACGGAGACATACAAGTGCCGTATGTCTTCAGTAACGACTGCAGTGTGTTAACTGCAATTTCCTGGAAACTGAAGGTGTTAAAATTCTCCTAAACGTGTTTGAAAAACAGTCTTCACCTGGATTTTTGGATTGTCCGCAACGACACTCGACTGAACCAGTTCGACCATTTGGCCTGAGCATGACACAGCATTAGTATTCAGTGCGACAAATATCCGTAATACGAAGAATCTTACCTAATAAATGGGGTTTGTTATGAAGCGGCAGTTCAGCATTGCTTACTCGGGAGATTAAACTCATCACTAAAACGGAAAACACATTTTTATTATAAATTCTGGTAAATAAAACTAACTTTATCTCTTCATACCAGCCTGGCGGATTAATTCATGACCAAAACCGCGAAACACATCTTTTGGATTGATCTACAAAAAAGCGTGTATAACATTTGCTAAACACAACACCGGTGACCACAGCCTGATGCACACACATGTATTTGTATTGCTGTACATCCACATAAAAATAAGCACAAGGGAAATGCATCTCAGATTTCTTATTAGGGTTTCTCAGACAGCGAAGAACATTCATGACATTACGGAGCAACAATCTTTATGTTTTCAATTAGCCAACTTATTTAACTCTCCTTTATTTAGTATTGTCAGTCATGAAAACTCAATTCAACTTATTTAAATTAAGCAGCTGCGCGTAAAATTTCGGATGAAGTGTGCATTGGTACGAGCACTTTCAAAAAATTACCTGAAGTATCACAGATTCAACCTGACTAGCAAGGTAATCATCAAACTGCCCACAATTATGCAGTCCTTCACAGATGTATCCTAAGCCAATCATTGCTCCGTGCCGAGTAAATATATGGTTACTTCCGATTCGTTTCAGTAACTCAGGTGCAACTGTGGAAAGCGCAAACAATGTTAAAGAGTTCCGCTCAGATAGAATAGATGCACAATACCATGGTGCAATATACAGTAATAGCACAATACAATGGCGCAATATACACCATACAGTAATATACTTAATTTTATGTAGTCCCTTTTCGCAAACTTTACTATGTGCAACACGTGTGATGCTGTGGCAAAGCTTCCACAAAACACTTTGCCCCAGCGGTTATGAGAAGGACAATCCATAGCATACAGGGCAGTTTAACCTTTTTGGTTAAGTACTTTTTAACGTTATAATTTGACAATAAAGTCAAAAATTGCACAATAAAGTCAAAAAACGTAAATGCAAACTTCAATCAATAAGGAAGGAACATATTACAAATTCTTAGTACTGACCGCAATGTTTCATGTAGTCCGGTGCAACAGGTGTCAATGAGAACAGTGTTTGGGCAGCTAATTCGCGAACAGCACTATCCGTAGATCATAATTAGAATAATAAAATTCCACATAGTAATGATAATAAATGCCAAGGAAAAATACGTACACGTCCCAGTGAGCAAGACGATGAGAAAGCAAGAAGTCCAGTATAACGGAAGTATACTCCTGATACTTTGCTATGATGGGGCTGCAAAAAAGGAATACATTTATTTCGATTTTAGCGGCAACCTTTATTGTTTCACCTTAGCTTCATGTACGTATTCGAACGCCGGCCTAGCGATTCAAAATCCAAGATCGGAATTATATCTAATCCACGAGGAAAATTGCCCTAAAGTAAATATTTATTATTAATTGTTTACGTTCATGGTAAATAATTAATATGACACATGTAGCATCTACAGTAATACCGTACCTGTCTACCAACATGTTCCTGAAAAGCAGCGGATGCCGCACGACGGCAGTTGACACTGCGGTCAAACAGTGCAGTTAGAACCAAATGCCTGCAATCAATGGCGATAATTCAGAAGAACCAACAAAAACCGAAAAAACAGCTTGTTTGGTTACTTTGCAACATCCATAACAAACTCTTCTAAATCCTTTGGTTCGTAAGCTCGCGCAAAAGCCCAACAGACATAACAAGCGGCATCACGCACGGTGCTTCCAACCGCATATGTCCCACGCAGTTCTTCGTATAACAGGGCTTTCAAAACCACCGGCATCACTAAAATCAAACATCAAATTTGTCAGTCATAAACTCTTAAACATAAACATAACATAAAATCACGGTAAACCAATCGAAAACATCTAAAAAGCGAAAATCTCCACACCATCACTAAATCTCAAAGGAAGCAATGCGCCGCGTCGACTTAGCTCCGCCAACGCCAGACATCCTCCATGCCAGGCGTTTTCCGATCGTTCATACGAAAACAGATTCAGCACACCGTTCAGAACATCTTCGGCAAATCCCTGTGGTAGGCGCTCCGAAATTCGCCCAATTCTGCCAACAACAAGACTAAACAATGTACGAGAACGTGCACACAATCTCTGGACTTTACAAGACCATGTCGGCCGTTCGCATATGACTTGAATCGCTTCCGTCTCCTCTACGTGGTATATGTCTTCAGCTCATACCAAAATGGTATGGAACTTCCCCTACCACGCACAATAACGAGCGTTTGTAGTACTTTCTTACCCTTTTGCAGCCGACCACCGTATAATTCCATCAGCATCATTTAAACTTTGCAGCAATAAACCTAAAATAAAGTTTGAACAATTTAACGCTTTTTATCCCAACCGGCAACTTTCTTAGCATATTTATAACATTTTATTCAACAAACGAGCACATGCCGAAAAATATATATATATATATATATATCAGCCCATAAAAACTTATACATCAGCACATGCCGAAAAATTAATTATTAAAGCCAAAAAAAAGCAGAAAACTTGATAAATGTTGACTTGATAAACAGAAAACGTGATAAACGTACGTTGATAAACTTCGGAATAATAAACGAAACAGTCTTTTGAGCAAATCTTCGTTTCTGGCTAGTTCCAATTACACATTACTCTACAGGCTGTGCATACCAATAACTTGTTCCACATATGCCGACACTTCCGTTTCACTTTCCTCAAATGGCGAATGTACGCCGTTTCCCATAGGATTCGGACGAACATCACCCGCTCCAAGATTGCCAGGAGCCATATTATCCTCCAGGCTGCGAAATCCGCGTTTATATCGCCATGTAGGAAGTTTCGTAGGCAGGAAGGTCAATGCTAGCCGCTGAAATGCCTTGGTGCAGTACTTCCGCACCATGCTGAACTGGGAATCCAGTAAGCCCAGCTCGATCAATCTTGGCAGGCAATCTTCAGCTGCAACAAAACATTTAAGTGAAAATTCTCGCACTTTTAAGGGAGGTAGAATCCAGAAGGCGCTGCTGTTTAATACTGCATTTTCATACGAAGCACGACCGTACCTAAACTGCAAAGATGAGATCGTGTGCCCGATTTGAAGATCATGGCGATTCCCGCCAAACCACCACACAAAATGTGCGGCTGCTTCACCACATCAGCGCCTATTTAAGAAGAATTTTAAACAAACTGTGCATAAAGCATTGCAAACTAATTAAATAAACTACACTGAAAATTAATTAAATTAATGGCATACTTTTCGCAGATTCTAACGTCTTCAACAGGTAATCAATCATCTGTTTTCCATAGGTCGGCAGCATATCAGGTCGGGTTACGAAGCGAGACAGCAAGTACGCCGCAGCGTCGCGAGTCTTTTCCGAAACCGTAATAAAAACCTTAAAACATAACATTTTGATAAATGAACAAAAAGGATTTATAAACCGGCGAATTTCGTGATTAGTATTCCGTTGATGTACAGTTACCTGACAGATATGGAAGATCCTGGCTTCGATGCTTCTAGGTGTACCAATATCGTCGAGATCGGTTAATTTCTTTAAGTCGAAGGGAATCTGCACGGCAATCGACAGCCACAGCAACAACATGTACTGCTGCTCCCAGTCTTCAAACATCTGCAAAAGTCAAAAGTACGTAATCACAACAAAACGACCACCTTGTATATTTACTGATGCAATCATAAATACTTTTGCGCATTAAAAACATGCAGTCAGGTCAACGATTTTCTCGCGCACTTCTAAGTTTTGATTTTTTTTAATACTGCGGTTTATTGCCTTCAGTTCAAATTAAAAACTAGAACAAGGTTAATGATTTATTATGAAAGTTATGAAAACATCCAGTAACGGATAAACGAAATGCTCGGCAGTAAAAAAAAATAAAACATATCCAATAAACCGGACTTTTAAACATTGATCCAATTTTATCGATAATTTTGCTATCCACAAAAATTGAAATCTAATTTAAGATTTGATTTAATTTCCATTTTTGAAAATTAGATTTTGGTAAGAAAGGTCTAGCGTTATAAAAAAATTCCTTAAAATTGTTTAAAACTGTTTTGCTTAAAAATTTTGAATTTTCTTTTCTGCTTACACTGTTAACTGGCTTCATAAATTCTTCAACCAATCCGAGCGATTGTTCGACATCCGCAACACTGTGCGGCAGGAATTTTATGATGACTTTGTATCCACGCAGCTGCAACAGCGCTCAGTTATTATGAATTCCCCAAAATCAATCACCCCTCGTAACGGACCTTGGTCAGTAAGCGCAGAACCGTCAGGCTGAGGTTCGCAGTTTTCTTGCTGGACTCCGACGGTTCGTCTGCATAGGCTTTCACATAAACGATCAGCTCCTGTACCCATCTTCCTGTAGAAGTGATCTTCGATTTAAATGAATGCCAGCTCGCACAATATATATATACCGAAATGCATTACCCAGGAAAGGATCCACGAGTTGTGGCTGTTCCTGGTAGCGATCCAGAATGTCCTTCAGGCGATACGTTTGACGCTCCACGTCGCTCGGATTCAATGCGATGGACGGAATGCTCTTAATCAGACTGTCGATGAAGCCGTCATCGTGGAATTGGCGCAGGGAGAATGACATATTCTCGTTGTCTGTTTCGCCCGCTTCGCGATCGCCATCATCCGCCGCAGTCGACGGCTCAGCTGCGGGATTAGTCGGTGGATCTCCAAAATACTGCAACATTTCCTGCTGATAATCAGAGTTCGCCATTTTTATGCTGTAAACCCAGATCACAGTACAATTTTCAGGCTCTCAAATAGGTTTTACACCATCTTCACAGAAACTGAAACTGGAAACGATACGAGTCGGCTCGTAGAAAATCTAAAGACAGCTCACAACTACGGTACAAATTACACTGACAAAAAATTTCTTTGCAAGAATTTTTCGTTGCACTTTCTGTGTGACTTTCAGTTTCTGTTTGTTTATGTTTTTGACGCAGCACAAAAAGTCGAAGCATTCTGTGAACATGGCTGCCTCCTCGAGGTGCCATTTTCGTTGTCGCACCAGCTATGGGTTATTTCCTGTCTGGCGAGTAGCGTTGGTTTTGCGAAGTATCGCACACACGCTTGTTGTTTTGCTTTTCTTGTTCTTAAATAAGTTAAATCTTGCGGATTTCTCATTGGATTTGCATTTGCTGAAAATTTGGTAGAGTTTTGAATTTTCTGTTCATGCTTCATAATTTTCGATGTAGGTTTCGTCAACGGGTATAGACTTTTGCGATCATGAATTTATCTCCTTTCGCACGCGCGTTGTTCCCGCTTGTCTTTATTGACTACGCGTTGTTTCTGGCTTCATGTGCTAAAGTTAGCGACATCCCAAAGCCTGACGCCAATGATCCGGAATGGAGTGGTTTTTCGGATGAACCAGATATGTCCAACTGGGTGGATCCTCAGCAGATGTATGCAGTGAAACCGAAGAAACCTGTAGCGCAGGCTGGCAACGAAGGAGCATCGTCGCTTGCGGAGAAATGCCAACCGCTACTGCGTGCTACCACTGCGCAGCAGCAGATCACTTTCCTGCGCCACATCTTCCGACCCTTCGTATCTACTATCCATGCAGCGGTACTTTATATTCTTCTTTAAGGCATTAAAAATGTCTTATATTTTCGGAAATTAATTTTGGGTAATGCTATGGCTTTTGCGTTGTAACGATTGTGATTATTTTCGGAAATTAGTGTTTTGCTTGTCGTTAACTTTAAGCGATGTTTTGCGCTGTAAATTTGCAATTTTTTTTTCGAAATTGATTTTTGCAGTGTTTTGTGATACAGATTAGATTTTGGAAATTGGTGGTTTGAGTAATTAATGTGTACGATTGTAATTTTTTTCGGAAATTGATATTTTGTTTTGTGCACCATGCAGCAGCCCAACGCGCAGGTGGTGGATGTGATGATGCGCATTCGCAGGGATGAGATGCTGGCGTTTGAAAGGCTGTTTGAGGCGGAGACGATGTCGGATACCACCAGAGTGCTGGACGCATGGAAGGCCATGATCCGTACCGTTATTGTCGCTAAAGAGCCCACATCGGTGGAAACGATTGAGAAGTTTATCGGGGTGGAACTGCGATTGATATTGCTGGTATGGAACACGATAACAGTGTAATGGATCTTCTATTACTTTTGCGCTTTATGTTCATAAGAGTTGATACTGGAATGCTCTTTTTGACCGAATTCAGTTTTCATTAAACCGTAATGTTTTGGCTTAAAAATTTGTAAGCAAGCGTAGAATCTTCGAATGCTGCAGCCTGTAAAATGTTTACTAAAAACTTTTTAATTTCAGTTACCGGTATTAGCTGTATTTTTAGTGAATGTCAATACTTTGTCTACAGTAGGCGTTTTGGTTTCAGGCCTTACTCATATCGGTTATTCCCGTCTTCATAATTTACGTGGAAGTGAAGTTGCGTTTATCATTGGTCATGTTTCTGATGCGGATGCTAAAGTATGGGCTGATTGTCGGCTTTCTTATCAGCGTTCCTTGGACATGGCTGAGATTGTACCAGGTTCATGAATATTTCATAATTAATAGTTTAGGCTGTGCGCATTGTGTCTTGACTTATACTTTGGGTTTCGTTGGATTCAGGAAAAAGTAGCGGAACAGCAGGCGCGCTTGATGCAGAATGATCAAATGCACTGCAAAAAGCTGAACGTGTGGCAGACGCTAGGACGGTTTGTTGCCAGTAAATTATCCATGGCACAGGAAAGTACTCCTTGTGAGAAATATTATCGCGCCATCAGTGTCCATCCGTATTTGGATGTGCCTTTCACGTCGGTAAGTTCACTAGCTGTTCCCAACTGTCGTCGAATCAGCTCCTACTCCGTGCTACTCTGTTTAATATGATTCCGGAATGGCACAACGCAAAACGCAATCCATAATATGAGTATCGAATTTACTACCCGTATGGAAAACTGTTGCTTTTACTTTTTCCACTCATGCTTTATAAGCCTTACATTAGTTGATTTATTCTGTAGGCTATCGCTATAACGTTTACCCAGTTTATAATGGAACCTTTGAAACTGATTGGAAAAGGCATCGGAGAGTTCTTTCAAGGATTGCTGGCGCCTCTTCCGTTCTACATGTGGCCAGTGATGATATTGTGTTCCCTTTTAATAATTTTCCTTGTCATTCTCGTTCGATCCAATTACAAAATTCATCTACCATACTTTTTTGCCCGGATCGAGCCAGGGAATCCACCGCCGTCGGCTCCTGCAATTGTCGATAGAGCGACGGATGAGTTCTCGCGGATGGCTCTGGAGGAAGATATTGACCGTCCCAGACGTACGAAATCAGCTTTAGCGTCGCACAGTGGACATCGAAAAATTGTATACAGGACAGCGATGCGCCCAGCGGCTCTCGGATATGGAGCGGCTACGAAACGGTCAAAGAGTGACCAGACCGTCCGGAGACGAGATAACAGTGGCGATTGGGAAACTATATCTTGATTGTGTAAGTGTTGAAAATTTTATTCCACTATTTAAGCTAACCAAGTTCGGATACAAGTAGTTTGTAAGCCATGCTCTTTCGTACTACGTACTACTACATTTGTAATGATAAGACTTATCTTGCTAGTATGGTGCAGACAAGTACAAAAAAAGCAGGAGCATGGCTAGTATCGATACTTACCAGTTAGTATAAAATTTCGTTCAGATAGCATTCCTGAAACTTTTCTGTTATTTTATTTCTGTTATTCAGTAGACTAGCAGAAAGAACTGTGAAATGCTGCGTCGAGGGATTAGCAGAGTAAAAAATTTGTAAAGGTGACATTTTCTTTTCGGTTTTCGTGCATTTTGTGAGCTTAACGAAACAAAATTAATGTACATGTATCGCCTTGTTCCTGCCCTGTAGAAACTGCATACCTGGATTTCGAGCAGGCAGTTCTCTACCACAAAGCGCATTATGTGATGGTGTACGAAAGATTTCAATTTTGATGGTTTTATTGATTATTGGGGTTTTTTGTTAATTTTTGTGCTTTGCTTCTTGCATTTTAACGTAACAACTTAAACAACGGACGATTCAAAGAAGAAAAGGTTCGGTTCTCCGAAGAAGTAGATTTAGTTAAACGAAAACCAGTGTACACAGTTATGTTAAGTTTAAGCTAAATTTAATTCGTTGTGTTCTCATAATTTGTTGTGCTTGCAAAAAGTCATAAAGAAGCAGAATTTACCGATCGGCCACGCCGGTGGTGTGTTTTCGGTCAGTACAACCATCTCATCAGAAAAACAGGAAAACACTTTCTACTATTGAAATTAGCTTTAGCAAGCTGAAAACACATTAAGTAAGCGTTGGAGAAGAGAATCAACGCAATGGAACCCATACCTCATTTATAAAAAATTTTAATTGGAGATTGTCAGGCTTTTATAATGCTATACGGTGCAAGCGGCGAAATTTTTTTCATTAATATCTGGAACCTTTAGGTGTTGGAACGGAATGAACCGCGTTTACCTGGTCGGTAGCAGTCATTAAACTGATGCCACATATGCCCGTGATCATATTTTGTCAAAGATGATTAAGGATGACATTCCTAGATTATGTAGGGATCGCTAGAAGGACGTCGTTCCCCATTTTGACAGTGCTAATTTCTAAGTCGCAGTTCTGACCATCCAGGGGTTTGGAGAGAACCGCATGATACGCATCCCGATTCAGTATTGGATGTTGAAAAGTTTTGACTTGTCACCGATTAGCTAAGAGATGACCTCGATTTTTAAACAAATTTTGTGCGCACGGAAGGAGACCACGGTAGACGGGTCGGGATGTATTGTGAAGCAGGTGGCGTTCGAGTTTTCTGGTGTAACTTGTCGAAAAACGCTTACTTGTTCGCAATCTTGGGCTCAAATGATGCAGGAAAGAAATTATAATCATAGTAAAGCTAAATAAAAATTCTAGAGTCATTCGGAAATTTTTAATAAATAAAAAAATTTTTGGTGACAACTTGGCGTGGCCGACCTGTAGTATTTTACTCTAACAAAGTCTTTGAAATCATACGTTTTAAAAGTTTATTTAAGAGACTAACAGTGTGAAAAATAATAGGAACTCTATGTACGTTGGACAGATATACTCAAAAATGTTGTAAAATGTTTTCCGTTGTGTTTTGGGATAAATTTTATACAAAAGCAACATGTCATTATGTATGCCGTTTTCGAGTGTTACATATACTGACTAAATTCCTCTATTGTCCACAGAGTCGTCCAAATATTATGCTTTATTACCCGCACGTTCGTGACGTCACGACAATGGCTCCAGCAGTTTTGTGGCCAAAATAAACCAAAGAACAAGAAGTAGCGTGGGTAGCCGCATGTGTGAATATTATGTCTTTCGCCAAGTCATCCGGTTTCCGGTCCTGACCACTTGTCACTCTCTCTTTCCTAACTGTGATTGCGCCTTTCAACATGATTTTGTATTGACTTGACAAGTAGCGGGGTGATTGTGTAAAACGCTGTTTTTTTCTTCTATTTTTCGCTCAGCGTTGCACCTGGGCATACAATGGCATCACTTGACTGACAACATTTTTTTACCACTTGTAACCGCCATCAGAGAGAAACGCTCTCTAATGGACAAACAAATCGTTTGCAACGCTTTCTCACACGTTATTTTGCCGTACCGTTGTGTGCGTGTGTGTCCTGAAACCGGACGGCGACGAGCGAGGCGGCTACTGTTAGACTAACCGACGGGGCATGTTTTAATGTTTGATTAGTTGTGTTTTAAATTAAAGCACATGTCTGTTGATTATTCGTTTGTCCTGGGTAAATAGTTTGTGTAATTTTTCGGGGTGCTTTTACCGTGAAGGCCGGCTTTGGCGCGCTAACCGTTTGGGTTTACACAAACTTTGCCGTTTGACGAGAGGAGGGCAGACTAATTTATACGCCGCACTGGTTATGCTCACATAACCACGGGATCGGAAATTATCAAACTGATGAGGCATGCGAAGAGAAATAATTGGTCGAGCGTTATGTTGTTTTGTACGATTTCGACTGCCGGAATGAACAATTAATTCGGATTGGATTTCACTGCACGCTGGATTTGGTACGGCGCCAGTTTAGTGTGTCGGAAGTTAGTATTGTAGTTGGATTGTTTTGAAATAATTGTAATGCTGTCGCAGCTGTATGGCTAAATGTTTTGTAGTTACCGGTTCACACCCAATGAAGTAAGGTGTTAGATAATTCTGTTTCTAAACTAATACCGAAATCTAGCTCCAGCCACTTTTAGGTATACGAGTCTGCCCGTTGCAACAGCCGGCAAATTTCGAATGTTTGCTGAATTGTTAGCAACTCAAGATCTGAATTAATTTTTTATATTATTATTATTTGCAAAACTATTTCTTTACATTTGGAGAAACATGATCCCTTTCAGGTTTCAGGATGCAGCTTTCAGATAACTTGGACGAAATGAAGCACTCTGTATATCTATGAGTTATAGCTGCAGTTTATTGTTAATGAATAATTTACTCGTAAGTTTTCGGATATTGGTAAGACGCTTCTTTTTCTTCCGGTGAGGAATTAATTAAAGAGAAATACTTTACTGTAAATACGGTAAATGTCATAACAGTTTTGATTTTGTTCAAAATTAATGACTGGGAAAATTTTTTGTACATTGGTGATTGGAGGTTAATCCACAGTGATTTTCTTTTCGTGTACCGTATGATTCTGTCGTAGTGTATGTAATATGTATCTACATCGCATCTAGTATTACTGGTCAGCTTAGTCCAGTAGTTGGATGATCCATTTAATGCCATTGTTATCGCAAGACGCAAACCGCTTTCCTTTTGTAACACTTACAGACCCATTGTGAGACTTCATCACTCCAGCCGGAAATGGCGTTCAAGCGGTGTTCCGAGCACTCTACGACCAGCGTATGTGACTGACACATGATGACTCCTAATTTATGCTCATTGTTTTCAATTCGCCTTCCCGAGTCATCGTCGTTGTACTGCAGCCCTGACAGCAATTGACCTTGCCGGCAACGTAATCAGTTTGATGATCGAGTTAAAATGTCCCAGTGAAACCGATCGACAACAGTAACATTTAGCGCCTATCCCTGAACGTCTGTGTTTGTACTGTGAACGCCGGACGGCGTGTGCTGGAATTAATTATACGCGTTGCGTGTATGTATCGCGGTGATGGACTGTAGTGCTAGTGTTATTTCGGACTATCATGGCCAGGACAGTACACCGGGACCGGATCAGTTGCAGGAGTATTATGAGATTTGCAGTTCTAAATCGCACATCTTTGAGCCCAATCCGTTGCGGGATTTCGCCAGTGATCCCGACGGGAACGGATGTGCTGAGTCCACACGGCGCGGTCCGGCGTCGGAAATGTAAGTTTGGCATGGCCGAAAGCTGTCTGATGTTATGCATAGTTAATCCGTTTCAAATGTTTTCTTGAGTTCTGTGTACTGAAAATCCTGCTTTCGTTTTTGAATGTGTTCTTGGAATTTCTCGGACGGTCTTCAGAAAACACATTCAAAAATGAAAGCACGGTTTTTCAACATTTTCGATGCCATGTACAGGTACATACTACCTCTGTACAGCTCAAGATTGTAACAATAGATTCGTAGAATAAAGGCTCTGATAAAAACTGTCCTATCTGGTTAGGGGCTACTAGACCGCACTAATATAAATATGCAGAACAGAAAGTGCACGTTATGATTTTTTATTTTTTTATACATTTTCACTTTAGAGTTTCGGAATTTGTAATTTCTTGTATGCTCTTCGTAATTCTAAAATCCAAGTGTAAAACTGTCTGGAAAAAATCTTGACGTACGCTTTTTTGTATTACTTTCTACTTTCTAGTTTCTGCACTTAGCTGTAGTACTTGACAGAGGGCACATTTTGCAGAGCCATTATTCTACAAATGTTGTTACGTAGATGCAGTATGTATACGTATTTGTACATGGTATACAGTACTCACTCATCTCACCTTTATTAAGTATATCACATGCAAGTACAAACTGAGTACTAAAACAATCCAAAGTTCGTAATAAAAACAAACATAGCAGATTTATAACAAAAGCGTCTTCAATGCCGTCGTACATGGTGCCATTATTGAACGGTATAATTTTTAACTGTAAGAGTACATGAGCTCTGATTTTCTTGGATAAATTTCAGATTTGCTGTTTATCGGTTAACAGTTTCAGCTTGATCTGAGCTTGCTGGAACCGAGAATATTGAAAGAAGAGATTCTATAATAATTATTGATTAGACTTTTGTTCACAGTTTCGCCAGCACTGGAATACGACGTTAGTTGTCTCGCCGCAACAGAGAAGGACTTTAGTACAATACGAGTGAGAAGCTGCGTATAAAAGTTTGCAGATCAATCCTTTTGGTTAAAATGATGTACGAGTAGAACCAGTATACGACCTTTTAGCTTTGATGATATAGTATGATATAGTATATTTGATGATATAGTCTTTGTTTTGGTACATTGTGTCACCGAGCGGTATGAAGATTAAAATCGTATAAATTTAAAATTTATTCTTAAAAGAAAACCCTCATTTTTTCGGCAAAAGCTATTAATATAATAAAAGACACACTCGCTTGATGCTGCTTAAAATGATTCGGATTTAAGCGTTAAAAACACTTTTAGACTTAACATAGCTCGAATTAAAACATTAATTTAATTTTTTGGTTGTACCTAATTTCTTACTAGTAACCCTGTCGCCAGAAAATTGGTTTCTGGCCGGTTGCACTTGGTTCAACAGTTATCTGGAGTGCGGTTGTCAAGATGCAGTGTTTACTGTTTAGCGTTGAGGATGCGCGAGAGACTACCGCTCAGCCGATAGATAAGCACCGGCAACCGGTATGATTAATGCACTGGACATGTTGATTAGCGGCTGTTTGAGGATCTTGTCCGCATTTGACCATTAGCTAAGAACCGGCAAGCACGTACCGTAAGAGTGTCGATGCTTTGTGGTAACCGGAAAACAACCGGAAAGCTAATGAGTTACGACAAAAGGAGCGCTGCATTTTCTTACCGTTGCTGGTGCCGATGGTGGTAGTTTACTCGTTACACGGCTTTTAGTCGAGATATTCAGCGAAGATGTATTTATGAAATATCATGTGAGTTTTCGGTTAATTTTTGCAGCAGCACCATGGAATATTCCAGTCCGCGGACGGACGGATGGGATGCGTTCAAACTGCAGACGGTGGAAGTGCCCACACGCTGTGATAAGATATTCTTCGATGCATTTCTCCAGATCTCCAAAGTCATTGCGTACTGTTTGACATTTCTCCTGATACTCATCGCCGGCGTGATATCCAAGTTTTGTGTCTTGCTGCTGACGACGAATTTGCAGTCGGCGGATGATAAAGCGAATTGTTATAGTAAACCGACAAATAGAACCGGGACTACTGTGCCGACTGTCACTGGTAAGTTTTTAGTTTTAATGTTATAAAAATATTTTCCGAATAAGTTATTGTCACAGAAACCATCGAGATTATTTTTCGCGTGACCCGTTCTACTTCTCTGTAATTTTCGCTGCAGTTGATGTATGGTGGGCGATGTGGAGCATGAATTAATGTTTGCAGTTTGTACCGCATAGTAAAACACCCTTTCCGTTTAAAAGAATTGCGCTAGTGTAATGTTTTGTTGCAACTGTTTATCCTGGTAAAATCTACAAATAAATTGTAAACTTCTCCCTTGTGCTTCTAAAATAAAAAAACTCTCTTTGCATTTTAATTTCCATTTTGTTGCAACTTTTCGGACGTTTCAACACGAAACGGGAAACGTATGTTTTGAGCCCGAACTCTACAATTTTCTCCGCTGATGATGTGCAATGCTTTTGTTGGCCGATGTATGTTATTTAATTTAAAGCGAAATGGGTATCTTTGTTCTCTAAAATACATTTGCGATTGTATTCTGAAAGAAATTGTATGTTTCTCCTATAAACTTAGGCCACATCGCCTTCAAACCTTTATATTTTTTTCTGATATTGATATTCTTGTTGTGTATTTCTACCGTATATTATTTGCTAATTGGTACATGTTGCTCAGTGCCAGAAATATAGCGTACCCTTCTTTGCAGGGTCTGCCGACAAGGGAGAGAGATACCTGGCTGTAGTATGGTCGATTTGTTTTTGTCTCTTACTGCCGGAAATTATCACATGGATATCGTGTTTTCGAAAAGTAATGCTCCGTCAAATCCAAGGACCACGCTCGGCTGTAACATGGATCCTGGTAATGTGCTATGCTGTACATACCCGCTTATTTTAGCTCAGAATATTTTCAGTAGACAATATGAATGTGATACAGCCACAGAACGCCAGTTGAACCACATACCGCTAACAAAAACCTCTTTTCACAGGCTTTTATAACAGAAACTTTGTACGTGTTCGGACTGCTGCTTTTTCTCTACGATGTAACCACCCACACGGACATCCTCTCCGCTCTGATGCTGACCAGCGCGTTCTGTTTCTTTCCCTCCCTCCTCGCCCTCCTCACCCGGCACGGATCCGAATCCTTTTTCTGTGTCCGCGTCATCGTCGATCTGGTCGTTCTGCTCTTCCAGATCACCTCCCTGATCTTCTGGCCCTTAATCGCGCCGGTGACCTTTCGCTGGACACTGCCCGTCGCGCTGATCCTCATCTCCATCCGTTGGTGGGAGAACTACGTCTCCCCTGACTCCGCCTTCCGGCTCATCCGCTGGTTATCCGAGCACCGCACTAACATTGGTCAAGCGCAGTGTAAAGTGTACGTCTTCCTCAGTTTGTGGAAGATTCTCTTGATACTGGCGTGGATTGCGGCCTGGCATAGTATTGCCGGTGCGGCGAGTAGTGTCAACGTTTTTGATCTGCGGAATGTCTTTACCGGCACGTCGACACTGGATTTGGGCGGGAAGGTGGTGAACGGGACGTGGGTGGAGCGCCGGCAGCGGATATGGTTTTGGAAGCCGAATGCGGTGTTCCTGTTGGTGGCGGTGGTTGGGAGTATGGCGGCGGTGTTGGGCAATGTGTGCGGGAAATATGCGTGCCGGATTCGGATACATTTGTTCAGCTTCGCCATTCCCGTCTGCTTGATTTCTCCGGTTACGGGTATGGTCAACTCAACTAAAGTGCATACAATGTATGAGTACTCGTATTATTAAATTTATTAACTCAAGTTATCAAAGAGTTTTTAAGTTAAATAAAAAAACTTTTCAATTATTGTCAGTTAAATTGTAAAATTATTATCGTATTATCGAGTTTGAATTTGACGAATGAGATGCTGGACAAAGCGTAGTAATTAGAAAATTAAAAAGAATAAAAAGCAAAATTAAATGTTTGTGGAAATAAGGAATTCGAGCAACGGTACTGCTTTCTACTCCAAACTGCATACTCAGGTAATTACGCTACAGCATATTCTGCAAGCGAACTTAATTACGTGCTACAAGTTGTAACCATACATAATGTAAATATCTTGAAAGGTAATTTGACAAATTTGTTTAGCAGTACTTGAATTACAAGAAATTAATGAGTTTTTTTACCTCATTGTTCGTGAAATTGTAAATTATGTTTGCCAACGGTAAGCAATATTCAACCATTGTAGTGTCACTGACCGCATCAGTTTGCGAAACGGTGCGCAATAATGGCTGTGTGATGAGCGGTATTCTGCCGGAAATGCTGCAGGTCAAATGTCCTGAGTACGGTTCGTTCTGGGCAATGTTGGACACCCAGTACGCATGGCTGTGGTTTTTATGGCTGCTTAGCCAGTGGTATATCACCATGCACATATGGAAACCTATGCCGGAACGACGGAAGATCAATCAGTAAGAATTATTACGTACCTGTTAATTGGCTTGGAATCAGCAAATTTATCCTACTCTACTCGTAGTTTTAGTAGACAGGTACCATTCAATACTGTATGAGCTGTGATAATCTGATATTCATCCATTTATATTAACTGGTCCGTGGCGCTACTGGTTATGGAATAATCACAGTATTTGTAGTGTTACGCTTTCTGGACGGACATCGTCAAATTGAAATGGAGAAATGCTTCACAAAATGTACACTGTATCTCTACTCGTATCAGACTTTCGTTGCGTCATTTCGCTTTTCATACGAATTTTTACCTTTCTTTGCTTTTTTGTTTCATTTTTTCAGTTTAAACCTGTTTGATAGAAATGTGCTTATAGTTCGAAAGTACGTGCTTATAGTGAATGATTGTATGTAAAATACTTGATGTACTCGTACGTAATTACGTTTCGAAAGTTCGAGTATTTCCATATACACAATAATTTTATTTGTTGATTCGCCAATGCTGTTTCAGGCAGAAGCAAGCCCTACACTGCTAAAACAAACATTTTATACCTGTTAAGATAATTTAAGTAAAATCTGGAAACTAAGGAGATGTGGGTTGCCTTTGATATTTGTTCTAGGTACTGAATTGTGGGTTCAATATTTTCATTATTATTGCGATTCTTGATTAGTTTTTAGTGTGGATTGTTTGTTCTTTCGTGAATTCAAGTATCGGATGAGTAACTCCTTATGTTTGTTACCGATTAGCTTGACCAGGGAGTTAAATGCCGAAGTGCTTGTTGGTTAAATACATCAGTCGTTTTGCTCTCCAGTTTGTTCGCCTTACCGGAATTCGGTTCCTTTCCGCTGGACATCAGCTCCAGTCTCAACCGGATGCGTGTCTGGACCGAATCGCTGCATCCCTCTCACCTGCCTACCCGGCTCGAAACTACACAGTCCCACGGACCGCGTTCTCGGGAGAAAAAGAAGCATAACGTGGCGCATCTGTGTATCTGTTCGTTCTTTGATCGGCAGACCGAAACCGATGTTGTGGAGACGATCAAGTCGATTCTCCGGGTGGATGAAGAGCAGTGTGCGCGCAGGAATGCGCTCCGCTTCCTTATCGAATCTGATCCAGATTATTTTGAATTTGAAAGTAAGATCAAAATATTTCTAAAGTTTCAAAATTTGAGGCTTCTGAGCACTGCCTTTTTTTAATGCTGATCACTTAAAAGTTAAAATCAACCAAAAAACTCGGCATGGGTGCGCTTGTGTAAACGGGTTGACCCGATACCCGTTTTGTAATTTAAACTGTAATGAGATATTTATGTAATAATAATAACGTAAGCATTTTTTCTTCATTATCGTCCGTCACCAAAAACTAAAACAGTCAAGATCAAGACTAACAGTTATGTAAAATTAAATAATTTGAAGCATGAAGTTTGGTTCCTTTTGCACATTTTTTAAGTGGTTAGAGTTTTGTGTTTAACATGTGATGTAGTGCGATGGCTTTGTGTTCTCGGACCTGGTAATCCTTGTTTCCACTTCTGTGAACGAGTCGCTAAAATTAGCAGTACTCTAAGGCGGCTAACAATTTTGTACGTTTTCTGTTTTAGTTGGTTTCTTTGGCAGATTGCCGGGATTAATATATTTTTATTATTTTTAGGTCACATGTTTTTTGAGAAAGCCTTTGTAATGGATTCCCTCCGTGGTGATCGAACCCTGGATAAGCAGTTAGCCCGGCTAATCACAACCTTCCAAGAGGCCGCCGCAAATGTGCACGAATTTCCGGTTACCCTACGTCCGCCCCGGAAGGTGACCACGCCGTACGGTGGCCAGCTGCAGTGGGTGTTGCCGGGTGGGAATCGCTGTACGATCCACTTCAAGGATACCAACCTGATCCGGGCCGGTGAGCGGTGGAGTGAGGTCATGGCGCTGTATTACGTGCTGGGGCATAAGATTATGCAAACACCCGCTGACACCAATAAAAAGGAACAGTTTGCCGATAGTTCGTACGTGCTCTTCACCTCTGGAACGGTCCGATTCAAGCCGCATGCGGTGACGAAATTATTGGATATTCTGAAGCAGGGCAACCATATTGGAGCCGCTACCTGCAGGTAAAACTTTGTTAGTTATTTATAAGTTTCGTTAATTTATTGATTATTATTAATTAATTAATTTTTTTTTAATTATTTTTTATTTCTTTATTTTTTAATTTATTGATTATTCTGTATGTGCAATTCGTGACTACGGCATAATTTGGAAAAATTGCGTATTTTAAGTTATTATATGGTTGACTCGGAAGGATATCAAGGGTACTGTAAATTCCAAATAATCATGTAAACTGTAGTAGACTGGCTGATAAACAGGTAAGCCTCGAACAATGCTATATTAATAAAGATCATGAAATTATGGCTGTAACTGCATTTAAATAAGTTTTTTGTTTTGTTTTTCATTTTTAGTTTGGATAAAAAACTGTATGCTCTTTTAAAAAAAATTTGCCATACTCGTTTTGTTACTCTTGGCGACCTCTTTATAGAATTCGGCCAGTAGGAACCGGTCCACTGGTTTGGTATCAAATGTTCGAATATGCCATGCGTTACTGGATGGACCGCTCCACCGAACATATGTTGGGATCACTTTTGCGCATTCGCACCGGCTTCACCATGTTCCGCGCGGCTGCCCTAATGGACGATAACGTTATCAAGAAATTCGCCATGATTCCCGACGATTCGAAGGAGTTTATTCAGTTCCGGCTGGGCAACGAACAGTGGTTATGCTCGCTGCTGTTAAAACAAGGTTTGCAGTTTGATTTCAATAAATCTACAAAACACTACTTTATACGGATACAAAAATGTTTTTTTAAATCGGATTGTACGGATTTTAATTCTGATTATTATTTTAAAGAATAGTACAATCCGTGTTCGTTTTAATTATTTATTTTTCAGGGTATAAAGTGGAATACTGTGCGGCAGTGGATATCGCCATCCATGTACCGGAAACGTACTCTGACTATCTGCGCGAAAGCCAACGCGGTTTCCCGTTGGATTTGGCGGCAACGGCGGATATCACCAGCAACTATTCGGCAATATTAGAGCGTAATGAGAACATCACCATTATGTACGTCGGCTACTTGATGATGGCGCTGGTGTCGACGATCTTCGCACCCGGCACAGTGATGCTGGTCATTGTAACGTCGTTGGTCAACTTATTCCAACTGAATATCTTTCTGGCGCTGCTCTGCAATGTCGGTCCCGTGCTGGTGTTGATGGTTGTCTGCGTGTTTGGATCGCCACGACTACAGGTTTGCTCTTTTTGATTCCTTTCCGTTTACACTTACCTTCCGCTTTCTTAATTACTGTACGACTGGTGAAGGAGTCGATTCTATGTTGCCTGTAACAGCCTGTTTTCCGATAACCATTGCGTTATAAATAACTTCATAAACGTCCACGAAAAAAAACTTGAGCTAAAAGTGAAAATCTGAAACTTTCCAACGCGTGGCAGAAAAATGCTTGAAATGACTTTTATACTGTGGTTTCTGTAAAAAAAATCAGCATATGGGCATAATAATGCGGTTACTGTTAGTATAACGATGAATGGAACTTGTACTTGGGAAACTACGTGCTGTTGCCATTGAATACCGGCAAGTCTTGTTGTGTGCCAATATCAAGCAGCTTTTCTCGTTGACAAAAAACTTTCGCGCTCTGATATTTTGCCGGTGTCGCTGCTCAAAAGCTGAACTTTTTAGGATTTAGTTATCAAGATTTTGAGCGCTGCCTATGGACTGATCATGTTGGCCGTGCTGATCAGCGCTGCCGTTCAGCTGCATAAATCCTGGCTATCGGCATCACCGGTGTCCATCTTCATGATTGCCTTCATCTTGTCCACACTGCTCCCGGCTATTTTTCATCCGCAGGAAATGTGGAATATTGTCTTTGCACCGGTGTATTTTATTGCGATTCCTACAACCTACTTACTGACCGTTATTCATGCCTTGTGCACGTTTCATTTGGGTAATGCGCCACGAAAATCGGCCAGTGATGAGGAAGATGATCTCGTGCAGCAGATTGAAAAGTGGGAACAGCTGGCTAAGGAAGCACAAAACGATCCCACCAAACAAGTTCCCGCCAAAATTCCTAGCGTGGATGTCATTGAGGTATCAGAAGTGTTCACTGTGCAATTAATCGTTGTTTGTTAATCGTTGTTTGCAATTAATCGTGTTCACTGTGCAATTAATCGTAATGGTGTAATGAAAGTGTTGATAGGCGTAGTGCAGTGGATGACTAGCTGGTAGCTGAAAGTTGGCTGTGCTGGACAGTGGACACGATAACGATCGGAGTAATAACTGTACATTAATACGATTTACGATCATGGCATGTTAAATAAAATTTTCCAGAAAATGGATTTGTAGCGCATGCCGAAACAGTTATCCATGTTTGTTGTTTTTTAGAAGCATATATTTTTCTGCATATAATAAATTCATTTGTTACGCGAATAATTTTTACGATGAGATAAAATTTTAGAATGTGACTGCTTCAGTAAAAAATATACCCATATCGCCAGATTCCATATGTTTAAATTTGGCAGCAACATAAAAATGTCTGCTTATCGGATTACCAAATTTGATGTGTTCAAAATTTTGCAGCAACTGAAAAAATATCTGCCCAACGGAAAGAAAACCGTGAGCTTCGCGTGTGGTCAGTTTTGTGGGATTGTCTGCTGTCCGCCGCCGGATGAAAGCCCGTTGGAAGGTCCGTTTGGCGATATTATCGGGCGGGAGCTGTTCATGCTGGGGCGGAAGTTGCAGACCATAGAGCATCGACTGCGAGCGCGCCGGCTAGGTTTGCCTGGTTTCCGACCGCGCGTTCTGCCGCCCGATGGTCTGACTGTGCCTATTAATTTGCCGTCGCAGCAAGATATGGATCAGATCTCCGAAGCATCCGCCAATTTTTCGGTGTCTACGGTGCGAACGGCGGTAAAGTCAGCGGAGGAGTTTTATGAGAAATTTGGCGGTCGTACGCTGAACAACGACAAACTAACGGAATGGCTCATGTGTAAGTGATCGGTACTATAAGTCGGATTTTCCGCTGCTATAGTGGTTGTGATTGAGATGGTTACAATGCCTTAATTAGAGTGAAGTACACGTTTCTGATTTTTTTAAAACCGATTATATGCCCTATGTAAACCAGATTTAATTTGATAAATTTTAATGGTAGTTTCGTATTGATTCGCGGATTCAAAGTGTAGTCTAATTTGCTTAAATCACGAAATATAATTGTGTTTAGTTTATTAGTATTAAGAAAAATATAACTTCTCTCGCAGTATTGTTACTACAATATAACCGATAGTTGCGATGACTTTCATTGGAATGGGGTTAACAGCCATTGCTCTACGAATTAGCTGCATCAAGAACAGCCGACTTAATCGCACCGATCGCACGCAGATCTAATCTACCGTTGTTGTCATTTACAGCTCTGACCGATCCCACTGGCCCGGTGATTCTGGAAAATGACCACTGGATGGACGATGAGAATCTGTCCAGCGCCGAACCGGATGTCCTCGATCCCATCGAACAGGGATTTTGGCGGGAACTGATTTCCACGTACTTAGTTCCGCTGGCCGGCAGTAGTGCCGGTTTGGAAGAGGCCATGGTGGAGCAGATGAAGAAGCTGCGCAATAAAGTCGGACTGGGATTTCTCATGGTTAACAGCCTGTTTATTCTGATGGTATTCCTCCTGGAGTTGCGCCGGGAGGATTTGTTCATTCTCCTTCCCAGCCCCTTTGCCAGCAGCCAGAAACGGACGGCCATTCAAATTGAGCCGACGGGCATCGCCTTTTTGCTGTTCTTCTTCGCTCTGATGTTGGTGCAGTTCATCGCTATGTTGATGCACCGATGGGGGACATTTTCGCACCTGCTTGCCAGGTAAATCTTGATGAGAAAATTGAACATTGTCAAATTTATCGTGCGGAAGAGTTATTTGAACCAAGCTAAACTTAATTTTATGACGAACATTTGCACAGCTTTATTTCCTGAGCATCACAGGAAATGTGTGCATATTGCAATCGCTGATATGTGTATTGTGTAGTGCAGCGGTTGGTGACAAGGTAGCTTTAGCCAAGACGTACACACATTCTGATGTACAGATTTACCATCATGTCCTGTTATTAGTAAGTGTACAATAATTCACCAAATTTTTTCCCCGTTTTTTGCAACTGGTTACTTGTGTCAAAAAGTTTCAGCTGCTTGTCTAACCTCCTTGCAACAAACGGTGTCGGCAACAGTTCTGAAATTTCTACCCGCTGTTGCAGTTTACAGTTTAATATTTCTACAGCTGCTACAAGTGTTTAACAGTGTGTACACGCTAGCTGAACCGATACCATAAATTTATAAAATCATCCAGTCTATATCTTCCTTTAATGTGTAAAAACCGATTAAGGTATGTTTTCAATTTTGTTGTTCGTTTATTCCAGTACATCGTTGACATGCTGCTCCGGTAAGAAACGTATCGGCTTCGAATATCTTCGCGATAACGCCGTGCAGATCGCCCGGGAACTGCAGTCCCTAAAGAACACCCGGGATTTTGAGGGCGATCACCACGTCATCTCCATGGACCCGCGTCGCAAAGGGACTGTGTCCACGCTGGACGTCGTCTTCCGCAAACGTTTCGCCGCTATCCAGAAGACCAGCGGTGCCGCGGCTGAGCCGGGAACAGCCGTTACAACCCTGCGCGGTGCACCGTCCACCACCCGCATTAATCATCGGTTCAGCAAACGCACGCTGGACTCGAAGCGAGGCAGTTTCCGGGAGACCGGCGAACGACCGCATGTTATTCAGGTCTTCCAGATCGCGCGGAATGATCCCATGCCGGAGGGGGATACGGCGTCCACCGCGCAGAGTACGACGTCGTTTTAGACTGGGATTGCTGAAAGTGTCTGTCTTTCGCATATAAACGAATGCGTCAGGTATTAACTGAAGGTGCAATCAAAATTCTGTTCTGTGTACCATAATTATTGGCTTTTTATTGGCGTGGAATTTTTGTACATTTTTTGGCGATTTACTTACGGTGCGGAAATTTTCTAAGCAGGTTATATGAGCGCATTTCGCATTAAAACAATAAATTGGTGGCACTGGTTTATTGTCATTAGGTGCGTTTTAAATGTGCAGTATACTTTTTTTATGGTTGTCGGCCATCAGAAGTATAGTTGCTGTGTATAGACGTTTTAGGAAAATTCAGCCTCAAAGTGAAATTTGGTAGTACTCGTATTATGCAGAGTACATTTATTGTGAAAATGCACAAGAATTCACTTTAAATCTGGCTGTCATGTAAACTGCTGAGTCATTACGGAGTCTACACTATACTACGGAGTCATTAAATTCAAATAAAGTGCAGTTGCAAGTGGAATTAAAGGAAATCTCTTGGACTTTATAATTCTCCGCTCGGTCGATGAGGAAACAAGTGAAGCCAGCGAAACCAAGAAGTAACTGAAACGAATCAAGCGTATATATTTATTATAAAAAATATTAGATCACAAGCAAGTTTTTATGTTGTGCGTGTTTGACATACCGTCACTCCAAACGACCGAGTGAGATTGGCCATACCGGCCACCGTCAAGGAGTGCTGCCGAAAGGTCGTGCGCTGTAGTAGAGTTATCAGCACTTCACCTTCTTCCGGGCTGTAATCCTATTTGTAAAACAGCAAGAATACCAACGCAATGAATTTACGACATATTTGGTCGAAAAGCTTACTTTTTGTCGCTTTTCCTGGCGCACCGCTATTAATTTTTGCCAAAGAGTGTTGGACCGGTTGCTCTAGAAAGAAGCAACATCTGGTACATCATGACAAACCAATGCAGATCAGTATCTTTTTTATAATCGAAACGTATTTTTAAGTATGTTTGATAATTCCAGAATTAATGTTCCAAACGACAGCCAAAATATTTTTACCATTTTGGTCTTCTCGTCAACCAGAATGTTTTACCATTTTGGTCTCTGTTAGGCCGAGATGTAACCGACATGACGTAGTGCAGTGGTTTGCATACACATAATCGTAACTATTCATTTGTGCTGATGCACTAGCATGCACTGATGCATGCAAACGCTTAGAGGACATGTCGAAGTAGAGCTGACTGCTGAGCATTAATTTAACTAACAACTTTTTTTGCATTCGAAGAATCTAAACGACTTTTCCTAAATGAAATTAAATTTTGATTGTCGTTTTTTTTACTTTCGTTCTCGAGAAACAATCCCAAATAAAATGGAGTCCAGGTTTTAAAAACAGACTTTCCATTAAAACTTTAACACGTTAAACGCGTATAAGAACTACGTTACGATATAACTACGTTTTTTTATGTGATTGCTTACGCTTTCATGCAGCATTGCCGGAAAGACAATAATAATGGCCAATCCCAGTACATACATCGACGACTTCATCACAAACTTGACATAATCAATCCAGTTGATAAAAGCCGACGCAATGAAACACTTGGCAATCTTACTAAATACTCCCAGAGAATTGTTGACCACAAAGAACAGCACCTGAACCGCGAAACAATCATCCAAATCTATCACAGACTGCGCTAAGGTCACCTCCTTTAGTGACAACTCCTTGAGCTGCTCCACAAACGGCTGCTTAAACTCCTGCCGTTCTACCCGCTCAATCAACTCCCCGATACCCTTATTCAGTTTCTGGAAACACCGGGTGAATTTGGCGCAGACATACGTGAAGACCACATAAATCGGCAGCGCCGACAATTCGCTTAGGAGGAAGAACGTCTTGAGCACCGCGGCAATAATTCCCTTGGGCACCAACCATAAAAAATAAATTCGCGGTTCATAGAGAAACGTGGGATCGATGGCTTCCCACACACCGTAAATCCCGCGAAATAAACTAAACGCACTGAGCACCGACAAGATCACCCAGGCGACCTTTAAACCGAAAGGTCGTTTCGGGCCGCTTTCCGGAAACGGCAACATATCCAGTAATTTCATCGTCATTCCTAAAGATTCCGCGCAATGTAATAGCCGGTCGCCTTTATACATGAAGATAAAGGTCGTGGCGGTGCCGAGCCACAGTCCGAACTGGCTGTCTAAATAGGTTAACATGGAGATGATGCGGGTTTGTTGGAACTTCATAGCGGCTTCGCCATTAATCAGCCAATCACCGAAATCCGTGGCGAACATCATTAGGAGTAGCGTGGGAACGAAAAACCGCACTAACTTAATTAAGCGGAGGAGATTCTTTTTCGGGAGTTGTACATAAGGGCGCCCACCGAGAAGAAACTGGATGTAGTGAAAACAAGGGCAGTGATATAAGACTTCGAAGGCGGTGGGCGTGGCCGGAATAGTGGCCGGTATGGTTATGCTGTTGGTCCATTTGCGTTCCATCGAGGGCGTTATTTCTCCCATTGTTGGGTTGTATTCAAGCTGTAATGCAAGAGTTGTATAATTGGTTACCGAATGGAATTAATAGACTTTTTCTCCGTCGCAATAATCACCGCATTAAAAATCAGTGTTCGAACGCAAAACAAAATCTTCGCAGAATTTCGTCTACATTGTGCACGAAGAGTATAGAAGTACCGAATTGGAAATGTGATGGCGGCTGATAAATGACCAATGGTCGAGCGGCGGTTCGTATAGAACACAAATCTGGTATCCCGCTGACTGCACGTATAATCGGCATTACGAAATGGCAGACGGTGAACTATATCTGTGATGACCACCTACTGTTTCGCCAGCAAAAAACGCTATGTAATCATCCGAGTGTTTTACATTATCATAAAATTGGAAATAATTTCCAGTGCGAGGACAGATTTTACAATTTTTCCGGTAGAGACCGATTGTGGCATGTAAAGTACAGTCGTACATGCTCGTACTTATGGTATCTCATAAGTGTCTTTTGCGGAACTGATGACGATAACGTAGCATCTTCCTCTGCGATGTTTTGTCGCATTGTGTACAATCAGTATACCGCGTTTCCTGTTTGTTGCGGTTAGGTTTAAGTGCTTTTTAAAGTGTCCGGTTAATAGTATTAACTGTTAGTCACGTCGCATAGTACTTATTAATTTCCAATATTGTTTGATATATTATTCTCTTACATGTACGTTGATCTCCTGTGCATAAATTTATTTACTTGCAATTTCTCAGGAATATATAAAATATTCGGCACTGTCACAATAAACATGAACTGTGCGTTCCCTTTATCTAAATCGATGCAAATTTAAGCATTACCAAATAGCCAAAGTTGGCTATTTGGTAATGTTCAGAGTACTAGTAACTTAATTTATAGTAGTAACTTACTACTATAAAAGCATATGCTAATAACAATGTAATCCAGTTCTGAACCCACAGCGATTTAACCTCCGACTCTTAATATTCCAGATGCATAATGAAATTATTTTCAAACGTTCACTTACTTACCTGACGGGGTATGTAGACAGTCGTTTATTCCAGAAATACAGACGAGTGCAGTAATAATACTAAACTGGCGAAAGACAATTTATGTATCACAGTTACGTATACAGCCGGCGTATAGTTAAGTAAAAACCTACATTGTTCTATTTCCTTATGTTATATAAAACCCGATTAAATGATATTAAAATTTTGTAGGGCTGAGAGCCGTGTACAGTACAGTAAACGATCATCAGCATGGCCCTGGAAGTTTTAATTTCGAACTTGGAACATTTTTTATACATGTATGTACTCAATAAAATTTTCTAGCATCTGTATGGCTCTGTTCTGTGAGAATTCTGCTGACATGTGCAGAGACAGGCTTCTTCGACTAATCTTATCCCGACAAATGTAGCAGATTTTTGACAGGTAGTTTTTTGTCTGGAACCCCATGGCCAACGGCTGCAACAAGGATCCTTGTCAAAACTTGCAGCATATGCAGTCCTATCCCGGCACTTGAACCAAGGAGTTACCTGCTACCTGAACCGGCACGTGCCGATCAGGTCGGTATCTAGCAAGATTTTAAACAAAGAAATGTGTGGGTTTTTGTTCTTTTCACCGGTTGCACCGTATCCGTATACAATTCCGACTGGTTTGCCAGCGGGAAAGATGTGGAGAAGCCGCCAGCACAGCATTTTGCATTGAATCCGATCGGAAGTGGCTAATATGCTTGCGTATGTACAACCCGCCTTTTAGTTAACTGCTTGTAATTATAAAAAATACAGTACTACATATACTGTCGTACTTCTCTGCATTCACATTCAACATCTGCGCTTATTAATGAAAAAACTGGAAACAAACCAAGAAAAGAACGCTTCGTACTGCGATAGTTTACGTGTCCACATTGCAGAAAAAAACACAATGTCGCTAGAGCTTAGATGTACTCGAAAGATCCGCTCTGCCAAAGGTCATGATCCAAAAGCTATGCGGAGCACAAGAAACTGGATTTGTTTTCATGCTGGCAACATGTGCAAACGGAAGCACTGTCACTGTTCGTCGTAATTTCGCGCGCCAAAACAAGGTATGTAACGAGTAGACCAATGACCTTTATAAATAACAATAAACGTATTATAATTTACGTAAGTATTACAGACGCTATGGTCTGCAGTTTATCATGTAGTTAGCATTGGTTTTCGATTACTGACCGTGACAACGAAGTTTGTGTCCAGTCCAAAGATTTTCCATGCGGTAAAGTTGACGGGGTCCTGCTGTAGCCTCTTGATTACATCTTGTATTTGCCAGCAATCATAATCAGACTGCGAGGTGCGTGATTGGAGAATAGCGAAAAGAGGTCGAATGATGGAGTGTGCCTTGAAAGAAAAAATAACAATAATTGGTGTGCTTATTCTGTTTCTCACAACTGATGGGTTTAATTGCAAAGGTCACAACACATATACACGGACAATGTAAATCTGTTGTTTTTTTTTTAACAGAGCTGCCTTTTAACTATATGCGTTATATAAAATAATTTTCTCGATATGTTTTTGAAAAAGAATAAAGAAGTGAATTGCACAAACCTGACTTTAGGAAGCAACGACCAGTAAGCATAAACACATTAAAAAACTACCGGTAGCTGTTAGCATACACGACATCAAATTGGTTACATCGTTAGCAAAAATTGGACCAAATTTTTCGGGTGCTCCGCCCATTAGAATATTAGCCACTATGACCATGTTCGCCACATTGCTGCATAATGCCACTAAAAACGGCGGCGCGAATATGTCATCCAACCGCGCTACGATTTCCGATAACTGAAAATGCCGCTCCCGACAACTTTGCAAATCCGCCATAAATTCCTTCATCGACAGTAAGCCGTTCTTATGTTGCTTGAATGAATTTTCTATTTCTGTTCTAAGGTCACGGAACCCAAGCCCGATTGCCGCTCCGTAGAAAGAAAACGCCTGACAAAACTGTGCAAAAATATTTGTCGCAATGTTTAATGGAATAGTGGCCAATACGATGATGGTCACAGGTGCCGGAATGGCCAAACCAAAAATACTATCCTGATTATTCCACGAGCGCTGACAGCGTAGTACCAGTAAGAACAGAAACGATGCACATATTAGGAAGATAAAGGTCAAAACAACACAGTACGGGATTTTCACGTTTTTATTGGAGATTTTATATTCAATAAAATACAATTCAATTTCGACGTTGAGCTGCGTGAGCGGTTGCGACAATGTGCGGAATATAGCATTGATCATGAAACTGGACAACAGGTATATAATGAAGGTCGATGCGGCCAAGATAAGCGAAGAATTGGTTGACCGATTTGCCGCCGCTTCTTGGAAGTAGAAATAAAAGCAGACAAAAATTCCTATCGAGATATAAGCCGAGGAAAAGCAGAAACTTAAACGAGAAAACCATGAAAATTGGTGCCAGTTGTTCTCCGTATGATATCTGCACAGTCCACTGCGTCGTAGCCATGTCATTACAAATTTCATGAATAGGCTCAGCCAATAATTTTCTGCACCAGCCGTTTTATTAAAAACCTGCATAGTCTCCATGATTTGTGAATTTTTTAAATGCGAAATGCCACAGATATGATTTACTGATATATGTTCGGAGTTTGAGCACAGAATGTTGCATAGTATTATTATAATAATGCTTGTATGGAAAGGGGAGTATTGATGTATATGTCTTGACGGTTTCCTCTGGGATGATACTTGCTCGTGACAAACGCTGAACCGACAAAAAGCAGCGTTACCGGTGGTTCCAATTTTTCAAGGGCGAAACTGCCTCATATGTTACAGTGGGTAGTACCCACTGGGTACGGACGAAAACGGTTCCCGGCCCTTCATCTGGTCGTACAATAATAAGGGAGAAAACTGGTCACCCACTACATGTTTCTCAATAATACTCGTACAAATGTCGTTGTACCTACGTACTCATGTATGTTATTGTAGTAGATTTCTAACAACTGACGAAATAAAGTATTTTAAAACAGCAGGTAGCAAAGACACATGACATAATCGGTAAGAATATATACAGTAGTACGAGTATACGAACATCTATTATGCTTTTTATTTCTTATTCTCATAACTGATCATTGCATAACTTAGCATCCTAACAAACTCTTAGCTATGAATTTATTCGGGACAAATTTATTCGGTAGAAAAGGATGAATTCATTGACAAGTACTTATTTAGTGCCCTAGCTCATTCTTAGCGTCAATTAAGACAAATTTGTTATTAATGTTGAGTGTTGACACTGGGTTTGCGCAGCTATCAATGCTGAACAAATTATACAGAAAAAATAACTATTTCGCTATATCCATATTTCGCAATTAACTTGCCTCACATTTATCGAAATTAAAAAATATACATAACCATCAGAAATATTTTATTTGGCCATGGTTTAAATACGATTTTTGTTTACAGTTTACAGTGTAACTGGTTGTGAGCGCCCAAATGATCATAAACGTATTATCCACATTTTTACAGCCTCTTTAGTTTTGCTTAGAACTAAAATTAATCATGGAGAGCAAATCGCATTAGCGCGAATGTAATCAGAACCTCTTTGCACGGTATGCGCATTGTGTACATTTTTCCCTTGTCCGCAACACGTACTACGACAGATTTTACAGAAAATAAGCCATTATTACATAATGCATTTCAGCCTCGAAATTCGCTCTAAAATTTGCTTAAAATACTCGTACACACCTAATACCCGGGAAACATGACTTTGTTCCGGTTTTTAAAATTTTGCTTTCTAAGCAACAACCGAAGTGGATTGCAAACGTGCATAAAATGTCGTTGCCGACGCGTGACCAATACTCAAACCAACTTATTTTATGATATATTTTTCAGTGTTTTCAGGCTTAATTACACTTGCACTAATACTGCTTCGAAATGTTTGGAACGGTAATTCCCAGCTTAATCAAACTATCCTTGGTTTCACTTATTTTGTGTACTACGGTGACTGACAGTCAGCCCAATGCCGCCGGCATGTCTCAGCAAGTGCCTGCCGACAATAATGCCAGAGCGGTCGCCAGTCAGGTATTGAAAAAATGACATTAAAATGTAAAGTAAATATTTTGCTTAATTTTATTGTATAGTTTGACGCTGTATGCGACCGATGCGTTCAACATCTGATGGTTTTTTAAGCTGTTAAATGGAACCATTGAAAATTTTGCTTAAAGTGTCTCCGTATTCGAAGCTTTTACCTAAGAGCTTTTACTTACAAGAAAATCTTTACACGTTGTCTTAGAAATAACGGCTTCCTTTAACCATCGTTTATACTGTACACGATGAAATCTACAGGTGTACGTCGCACATTTGTGCGTGTTGATAGAATGATATCAGGAACTAAAAACAAATTTTTTAGCAAGCAACCAAGATTTTTTATACTCTGTTTACGTACGTTAGAATCTGTAAAAACAAGATGCCGAAACGGACATGACGGTAATAAATCAAGCTGGAACCACGTCATTACGGTGCACATTACGGGTGTACGATTTCGTTGTTATATTTTTGCAGGTAACGGGACTGGTGCAAACTGCCTTAGGCGGCACACTGCAACAGTTCGTTCCAGTGTCTTATCGCGCACAAGCCATACAAGGTGGAGTAAATTATTTCATTAAGGTAAGAAGATATTTGTATTGTACGTCGTGTGTTGTTAGTGGTTATATAACAATTGTTGTTTACCGGCAAATAAACAATTTTTATGGCATTATAACTTTCAAGACTTCTTTGAAATGTGGAACTCTTTTATCAGGCGTACGTGCAAACGACAACTCTGGGAGGACAGTATGTGCATATGCGCGTGCAAAACAAAAACGGTCAGACCACATTAGCGGGAATGGAGCTGAATCGGCGAGCAGAAGATGCTATTACATACATCTACATGCGAATATGTCCTACAGATACAACGACTGGCTGAAAAGTAAAAAACATGCCGATAGAGAAGTAATTATGTTGCACGCCAGCTGACAACATCGGGTGCTAAAGTTGTCTATTAACCGTTAATGTGAACTTATTAAGGAAGCGCTTTTTTAGGCGATCGCTACGAAACACGAATCGACAGCGTACACTGACAGCACGGAAGTTGTGCGCAGCAAGATGTACACTGCGATAATTTATTCACTCATGTTTACAAAATAGTTTTTAAATCACGCATTAAATACCTAGTTCTTGTTTACGTCGTTATTGAGAAAATCATGATGTCGAAACACGATAGTCATATTTAACACTGCTAACCTGGTAAATTTGGCATTTGAGCGCGTTAACACGAGCAACTGCAGAGCGCTGCAAAATCTTCAAAATACGTATAAGTGATGCCGCTATTGCATATCAGCAGAGATATACCGCTTTGAATCTGTCAAGACTAAACTATAGTAAATATAAAGTGCTATGTAAAAACAAATTGCTAAAAATAAAGCGAATCTTTAATCGTGTTCTCATATGTACGGTTGACAAGAGACTTATTGAACTGAGAAAATGTTCGGAGATTATCACTGACTGGATTTTATTTTAATTCAGTATATTGTGCAACCGTCAATTCAGGACAAAAGTGGCGTAAAAGAATCTTGCCGGTAATTGAATACAAGTTCAATAATTTATCACGATCATTATTAGTCATGACTATGCTTCGCGAACCACAAGAAAACAATAAAATATAATATATAAAGAGGAACATCGGTATTGTTGTGGAGGTCAAGGGAAAATACATGCCTGCCACAATATCTTAAAATCCGTTGGAGAACGAACTAGAACTGGCGGCATTCCACGCATTGGATCCTGGTCCATCGGCACCGGCATTGCCGAATGCCGACCCACTGGCACCCCACGGATTGCTATTGGTGAAGGCATTATTATTAGTGAAAGCATTCCCGAACATGGTATTGGCCCCGCCCAGTGCGCCAGCTTGTGACCCGGCGGAGTTGAATCCGTTAAACCCGTTGAATCCCGAATTAAAATCAAAAGCCTGGCGTTTCTTGCGGCCGGTGAAGGAATTCGATGTCGCCGCGTTCCAGATATTCACACCGTAACCGCTACCCCGGGCGTTGCCCATCCCCATCCCGCTGGCGCCCCACGGGCTGCTGAAGGTGTTGGCCAAATTGTTGGTCTCCACGTTGCCGAACATAGCACTGCCACCGCCCAGGGAGTTGGCTTGGGCGCCCGATCCGAAACCGAACCCACCAGGAAATCCCCAGGCCTGGCGTTTGCGGCGGAAGAATCCCTGGTTGCGCTCAAACATGGAGCCGCCTCGGCGTCCGGAACTGGTCTGACCGCCGGCCTGGGCGGCACCGCTAGCGCTGGGCCCGATGCCGGATGCGGTGTTGGCGCTGAGGGCGTTGGAGCTGGTCCGGCCGCGACCGGCTTGGTGGTTGGCCGTGTTGATGCTGGTAGCCGTTCCCTGGAGGGCGGACGCCTGTCCGGCGCCCGCTGCATTACCGCCGGCATTGTCGAAGCGCTCGTGGAATTTCTGCGAGCGCATATTGTTAAATCCACCACCACCTCCGAAGTTCCCAAAATTATTGCCGAAGCCGAACTGCGCGTTACAAACGGCAACTAACGATAGGGATAACAACGCTGTCCAGGAATGCATTGTGATGATTGCTGAGTAACACTTTACAAACGACTAATAAAAGTTGCACAAAGGTTACTAACTTGTTAGTGTAATTAAAGTGAGGAAATGAGGAATGATATCTCAATGACGTTTTCCGATGCGTATATATATGCCTACTGATATTCTGTTGCATTAAGCCCTGCAGTTTTTTTAGCGGTGCATGCACGTGTAGCACTTCCGTGACTAATTTGCCGCGGGAGTTACGGATACCTGATAAATATGTCATTATCAATGCACGAACGCATAGCGTAATGCCAGTACACGGTATTTTCATGTAACGATGAAGAGAAATTACACCGCAGTTTTTCTGTATTCGTTCCACACCGCTTCGGAGTGTATGGTCGATCATAATTCAGTCTAATGGTATTCGGCTTTCACTGAAAGCCGGTACGTTTACCATCCCAAACGCACTTCGTATCCGTTTGCATTTGTCTGTAGACTGTAGTCTGCCATCGTAAATCATTACAATGAAATTTTGATTCATTTATTTCGGGCTGTTCACATTTCCAGAAAGTAATAATATTATGGTACACATCAAATTCAATTGTGTCCGTATCAAAATACATTCCTTTAGAATGCCCATAGGAATTCTACATGCCTCCTCATAGCGATCAGGTATGGACCGTATGGACAAAACCACTTCTTATTTTTGCGGAAAATTGCTTTAAGTGCTGCGTGGGAGTCTGTTTCAACCATCGTCATTTTAGCGTCCAGAGTCAGAAGACCATTGGTGGACACTGAGCCAATATGTCACCATATCACCTTTGCCCTACAACAAACATCACCGGGAGTTTCATTTGTTACTGCTAAATATTCTGGAATTGAATATTACTTGTACGTCCATATGTGTACTTAGTGCTATCCTGGTTGGTATTAAACTTAATACTAGTATAAGTGTGCACTGTGCAATATATTCTGGGGCAACACTAGCTATATCGTACTTATAAATAATACAACTGCTGTACCTTGATTTGTAATACACCTCGTTCAGTTAAGACAAATTTCCCGGCGTGATGCGCAGATATATGCTGCATCGAGTCGGCGGAGACATGAACTTTTAGGGCTATTAAAATACATACATGCACCATTACTTAAAGATTAATCCACGTAAACATCACGTATAAATAGCCAAAACAAAAAAATTTACCATATTCTGAATATAGTTTGACTGAATGATAACTTAATTAAGGCATAGTAGTACACTCGACGAAGAAAATAAAGCCGGTACAGTTAGCAAATCATTTGATAGTTAAAATTTAAGCGTTAAAACATGACCCAGAATCTTTTTCTCTCGGCTGAAAAGTCAATGGCCAATCTTATAATTACTTACGTTTAGAATATAATCATAATTCATACCTTCACCAAACGATACCATGCGAGAGGCTGTGTTTACGGTATCGCCAAATCTACGTCCATTGAAAAAATAAAATGTGGTCCTTGTCAACAGTCTGTTACTTTCAGAATTTACGTACAGGCAATAACGAGGCATTTTTGTTCCAATTATCGCCGCAGCACAAGATCCTGCAGTTTTTAGTTGATTGTATTTGCAGCGTACAGAAAAATATCAAAGGCAAAGAAATACTGTACCGGAATGCATGCCGATCTTGAGCAGTAAAGAGCCATGTTGTTTTCCTGCCCGCAGACAAAGTTGCTCGCATCGCTCCAGCATGCACAAAGCCATTCTGGATATCTCGGCCGAATGCTGGTGCCCATTCCGGTCCGGAAGACCGCTGACCACCTACGCAGTAGTGAAAAAATATAAAATTTTTAATTTTACCTAACATAATACGTTTAATTATTTATATGTGTCTATTTATATTTAAGTTGTATAACTGTGAAATGCTGGTATACAAGACTCCAATGTAAATTTGAGTGCTCGATGTACATAAAGTATACGAAAGACAGGTTACCATATAAGTATCCGCTATAGTTTCCACTTTATAAACATTAAACATCCGAATAATACTGTCCAGTAAGTTAAATGCGGCATTGAGAAAAGCTCCCACTTCCAGTGGCTGGCTTGTTGACAGAATGACGGGGAAATTCGTGATGGCGGTAAAACCAATAGTAACTTCGTCGAACACTTCCGGTGGGACATCTTCGCCCCGGTGGAGTTTATCCACGATTGACCTTAGTATTTACACAGCAGATACTGCACGAGAAATATTGGAAGACGGCTACCGGTATCATCATACACATAATACTTTGGCAATAAATCATTAAAATAAAGTTTTATCTATGCAGTAGCAGATACATATTTTGATTAATGGTAATTTAATATTAGTACTCACTTCGGAATAATTTCGTGCAAAATATCGTCTGCCTTTTTCTTCTCATCGATGTACTCTTGTGTTCGATGGTGCACCTCATGGGCCAGCTCGTCAGCAAACGACTCAAGGCGGTCCATTATAGCTTGGGTGTACGATATCGGCTTTTGTAATCCAGGAATCGTCAGGATAATTTTGTTTATCGTTAGCATAGACGGGCGCGTTTGTGGTGCGTCGGTCCAGCAGCTATCCATTAGCGCTTTGAGACCTTTAGGGCAGCCATCGGGGATGAAAGGACGGCAAGGCGGGACGTGAAATGATTTTATCTTTTCCACTGTCACTATAAAGATATGTGTTCTACAAGCATTAGCGCATTTTACAGCAGTTTTCTTGTAATACAAAAACAGTTACCGTTGACTAAGGTAGAAACAGAAAATTCATCCATATGTTCATCGTCGCTAGCGGTGCTATCGTGATATGGAAAGGTCAGTCCAAACGGACGGCACTCAAAAAGGATTTGATGTAATAAAATGGCGAATGTGTAAATCTCAGCGGCTTTTGTGGTGACCTTTGTGCTGCCCGATCGCAAAATTTCCGGAGCAAGGTATAACAACCTCGCCACATGGGATTCTTCTGCGTTCATCTTTTTAGCATTGTTCGTAATGCAATCCAAGCCAAAATCGCTTAGCTTTAGAGTCAAATATTTATCAATAAGGCAATTTCTGGAGCTGAGATGTCCATGGATATTAAAGGTCGAAGAATGGATGAAACTTAACCCCTATAAAAATAAAACGAGTTTTTAGTATTTGCAAGAGAAGCTTATTACCATAAAAATAACAAGCGCTTTACACATCTTGAAAATTACCTTGACCAAATCGTTAATAAAGGAGTATTTGATTTCTATTTTGGCGTGAGTTGTTTCCATGTGGTAGAAATCTTGCAGTGACCCTTTAACAGCTAGTTCCATAACAATCTCGAAATGGCTGGCATGCATCACGACACCATAAAACTGCACAATGTTTTGATGGGCTATATGCTTCCTCTGAAAAATCACATTTAAATTCGGGCATTCATCATCCGTCAAAAACAAAAAATTCTAACCAGATATGCATGATACAGCTTGCGCTAGTTATTATTACATGGTATAATTGCTGTTGTTCGTGTTTGGAAGGATTTAATTTGCTTCCCGTTTGCGAGTAATTGTAGCTTTTAATCCAGACCGGGTTGCCTTTAAATATGACCAAATGTTCTTTCCGTCTCTCTGATTCCGCCACAGTCCTAGAAGTCTACCGCCCAGAAATGAGGATTAATACTCGTAGTGCTTTACGATATTTTTGCGATTTAAAATTAGGTAGGTTATATATTTACCGAATACTTTCTTGATTGTAACCGTACTACTGCGGGTTTTGTGTTGTCTTTTCCGACGGAGCTGCGTCTGAAGTGAGAGTCTGATGGTGAACGGTAATTTATTTCCGTATGCGGTAGCAGCCATGCTTGAGACGCTTTGGATTTCACGTGCCGGTATCTGTAGTAAACATTGTACGACATAAACGCATCGAAGATTTTAAATATTTTAGCAACTGTGCAACATTTTAACATACCGTATTTATCGAATTAGAAGCCCAGGGTTACAAATATTTCAAATGACCCACGGGGTGGGCTCCAATTACGGGCATGGGCTTGTATTTAGGGGGGGGGGGGCTTCAATTTTTCAAACCAGCTTTTTGGCATTTTTTAATATGGGCTTTATGGTATTTAATTAAGCCCATGGGCTTCTATTTCGGGGGGGGGGGGCTTATAACTTTCAAACGACTTTAGGGGTGGGCTCTAATTACGGGGGGCTTGTATTTTGGGGGGGCTTCAAATTCGATAATTACGGTATATAAGCAGTTCAGCACAGTAATTTTTATTGGTTTTTAATTTTACCTTAAAAAACCTCCAGTAGCAGCGGCTGTTACGGCGATTAGTGGAATTACCACGTACAAACAAATTTGTAGAACATTTGGTGCTAAATATAAATTAACATATCAAATAAGTCAGGTAACATTGGTGCAGCTAACTTTGAACATGTGATATTAAATATCAAAAGCAATTTTTACTGAAGTGTTGACTTTTGTATGTGCCGGCCTACTTTTATTTGCGGCAATAGGGAGCTTAAAAAGAATACGCACCACCGCGGTTCTGCTGGCAGTTCGCGCTTCCTGCTGCATATTCGCAAAGTGGCTGACTGCTGGGAATAGAACCGCTGCGAATCCACTGAACGTCATTCACCGGGAAAATACTGTTGTTATATGAGTCGTAGAGGAAAATTTCCTGAAGAAAAATATTTCATCTGAAGTGCAATATTATAAATTTCAAGTGAGCGAAAAATTCCTTTACCTCCAAATTGTCCGATCCATTGACATACCCCCAAATAGCGTACACATCGTTTTTATCTCCGTTAGAATTAATATGCACCAACGTATTATCAAAAGAACGATAACTGCCATTGACCATGCGTTGGTATAATGCCAATCCATCTTCACAATCTCTCCTTGAACGAATTGCTTCATCTACAATCTGCATAACCCATCAAATGTCTCAGATTTAAAAGAGCGAAATAGTATTGTAGTATTTTTGTACTTTAACGAAATACAAAGTAGTGCAAAAAATATTAAAAGCTCACATTTACGGTAATTTTTTTCTTGTGCACCTCTGGGCACTGCTAGAACAGCATTTGTCACTTTACCTGAGCAGTGGTTTGGGCATTGAGAAAACAGTTCACAGCGCTGCGCTGATCCTGAAATAGAATTATAGCAAAAGAAAGTGTTTATCACACAGCGGCTTGGAAATGTTTTCCCGATAACCAAAGTGGATTTGCTGAGATGCAAAACAAATACCAGATTATACTAAAATTGGTAATTAATTAAGAGCAATATATAACAATCACAGAAAACAAAAAATTGTAAGTGTACATATCAAGATTTGCAGGCAACTAAAAACAGTGTGAGTACCTGTTGATTGTTCAAGTTAGCAGTTATGTTGTACATTTGGCGGGATACGTTTTCAATCTCGGCAAAGAAGCTGTGCGTCTCCGGCGTTGCTCGTAGTCGGCTCAGTGATACGAACAACAGCGACTGGTAAGCCAACCTTGCAGTCTTAAACATAGCATCTTTGTATTTTTTTACAGTTTTCGTAGTTGACACAACGATACTGTTTACCAAAACAAACATATAGCAAACATATGTAGAAATTACAACCGATCTACGGGAAAATGAAAACAGATTGTATGTAATATATACAGTAGTGTACCTCGTCGTGAGAATCGTTTCTTTGCCAACCCCATTTTCCTCTGCTAAGCGCATCATCGGGAAACGGAGCAAAACTGATATACACCTAGATGCAATTTCAAGAGGAAAAAATGTAATTTCAAGTTGTGTCCCTACTCGTTTAACAGCTGCATATGCTTGTTCATAGTTCCCAATTGAATAGCAACTGAAAAATGCATGAGTGGAGTTTTAAAATCATGCGATACTTACAAAATTATTATTGATCATACCCAGATCCCATGCAGTCAGCTGCAAGAAAACCAATACTTGCACATACAAATCGGCATAATTGTAAGCGAATGTGTTTCCTGAAACTTACTAAGGTAGCACGCACTTTGTCCATGTGTGCCATGATGACAATTACTGAAAGAATATTTGGAATTTTGAATATACTTTGCATTTACTTCCGCTCATTTAAAGCAGATAAAGGTCACCCAAATCGTGTACCTCTAAGACGAAAACGTACCTGAACTGTATCCTCTGGCTTTTATCAGCGACTGTACGCGCGAGTCAGGATCGGTGAGATTTACCACAAGATCAGTCACATGATAACCTGACTCGGCTTTTAAAATATACATTGCCGTCCGAAAATCGGGACATTCTTGGGGAATCCATACGTCGACGGCGGTATTGATCTGATCATCCGCATCACACAGCATTGTCACATGAGTCCATTTGTAATATTCCAAAAGTTTTCTGGGAAAAACAAAACTCACGACACAGTACCGAGACAAAAAACACCACAATCATGGTTAAAAAATCTTTACTTGTAACATATTGCATATTCTTCCGTTAAAGCTGCCGTGAATCGGATCAGGGTCGGATATATGGTTTTATCTGACAACGCGCTGCCCATTCCACCGCTGTTATGGATAACTGCTGCATGGATATGTGCTGTTGTGCTTCAAGTTTGGATATAGGTTTACTCACCTGGACACCATCAGTGAAGACCACTCTAATAACAAAATATTCATAGATTCTCCAACAATATGTTCGATATCAAATACAGTAGATATACACTATACAGCGCATATTTTGTGTTGGAAATTTGAAAGTCGTAGACGTAGACGCAGTAATTAGTAGCAACAGGATTACCTCTCGCAAAAGCTGCCTGTTCCTTCACCCCAGCTGTGCAACCTATGCATTATATAATATATAGAAACAAATTGTTGTGATTGCAAAAAAATTGCATATTTGGTATACAGTGTTGTATTACGGTACTTTAATTAAGGACACACTACAAAACGGCTGTGCAATTGAGGGAGTTCGCAAGTACAGATAATACTCGTACTAGTGTTCTATATTTATTTCGCGAAACCAAAATTACCTTCGCTATCTTGAGTGACACAGTTACAAGCGTTAGTTATTAATTAGGCCCTCAACATATAATTTGTAGTACATCTATTTCTAGTAAATTTATTTTGGTTATTGGGTTTAAAATTAGCATGTACTAAAATACCAACCATAGGTCATCATGAGGAAGCACAAATATTGGTCCTCTTCCGTCTTGCTCATGCCAAAGTATTGCCCTAGACGATCCCCGATTTGACTGACAAAATAGTCGCAGTCGCCCGCGTGCTCCAACGGACTCTCAATCGTCATCCGAACGAAATCAATATACGGGTACAATTCAGCATTTTTCCTCCAAGCAATATCAAATGCCGGCATCACTACTTGATTCCTCCCCGAAACGGATATCATAACCGCCACTTTGACTTTTTGGGATGAATTTGTAAAATCACCCAGATGAATTTTACAAATGCTAAACTTTATAAGCGCTGTACAGATCACCCAGAAAACTGTCCAGAGGATACGCACTGATCCACAGGAACGACTGCAGACTTGTGTACGCTTAATATGGAGTATCATCATTATCCCCTACGTACGTTAGAGTGGTTAACGTGCAACCTCTGTACACGAATTCAATATTCAAAATTTTGCAGGCAACATAGTATCATGTATTTTTTAAAAACTTTATATAAGACATACAATAATTACGCTACATTAGGCTAATGGTGGTTACGACACACCAAAGCAACATACAAATATACTGATTGCGGCCGATTTCATGATGTCGAATCTCCCACCATTTACATACAGCAGGTACGGCAATTCTGGTTTTCAAATGCTTGCTCGTCACTTTTTATGCTCGTTACGTGCCCACAAGGGCCACCTGGTTCTGAAGTTGGCCTCATAGGTGTCACATAATATGCAGATGGCTGTGATCGCGATCAGAGAGTTCCCTAGAGTCAGCTAGGATGATTACTTTCATGATTATTTTATTTATATTATTTAGGCAATATCAATACAGTAAAATATGTACATGGATCAATCATAAAATATGTTATGAGAAAGATTTAAGGTCGTCGCCGGTTTGTGTATTTTTTAACGTGGGCAATGGTTTTCGCAGGTCAAAGTATAGGGTCAGTATTTGCCTATTTGCTACCCTCATGTTTTAAAACAATTTCTTAAAGATATGATAACTGCATCGCTTCCATTGTTTTAAATTAATTAAAACTTTAATCATTCAGTTTAACAGTTTTAAAATTGCAGATACCGCGGGAAAAAGATTAGAAGTGTTATTTGCAATATGACCGGCAAATGAATATACGGTTATTACTATTACTCGTGTCTGTATGTCAATATGTACTGATTGTTATAGCCACGAGAGTCGATTTTTATACGGCTCGTGAATGTCTGCTGAACGGAAGATGTTTTATACTTCTTCTGCCAACCGTCGGAATGTTTTATTTCATGTTTAGGAAATAAATACAACTGTAAGCTGCACGCAGTGCAAAAGGCAATCACAGTATAAAATATGGAATAATCCAGCAATAAATTACGGTATCGAGTATAACCGTAGTCAATAGCCATTGCTTTTTAAAAAAATCTACCACCATTTGAGTTAGAGTTCGACATAGCCGCATTCCATGCATTCGAATTCGGCCCAAACGCACCAGCACTACCATACCCCGCTCCCGTCGCACCAAATGGATTGCTGCTGGTGAGGGCGTTATTTCTTGTATAAGCACTACCGAAATCGGTGTTAGCACCGCCCAGTGAATTAGCACCGGCTCCAGATTGGCCGAAACCACTGAACCCATTAAAGCCATTACCATTGAAACCATTACTGAAACCATTATAGTTGCCGAAGTAACTTGGAGCATAGCGCTTCCTGCGGAAGAATCCTCCGGATTGGAATCCGTTACTTGTCTGAAAGCTTTGTCCACGAGAGCGCCCGGAACTGGTCTGACCGCCAGCCTGGGCGGCACCGCTAGCCATCGGGCCCAGACCGAAAGCGGTGTTGGCGCTTAATCCGCTCGACCGTGTAAATCCATCGCCGGCAAAATGGTCAGCCGTATTAATGCTGTTTGCTCCGCCCTCGAAGGCGGACGCCTGTCCGGCTCCCGCTGCATTTCCCCCGGCATTGTTAAAACTGTTATCAAACTGTTGGAAATTGGTGTTCTGAAATCCGCTGCTTCCAAATCCTGATGGCCCAAAACCGCCAAAGCCTGCGTCAGCCCAGCCTACTGCGGCGAGCAATAATAAAAGTGCTCTGGAAATCATGCTGGCAAAGTAAAGGTCAAGGAATAAAAAAACTGATCGTATAAAATACTTAACCGTCGTGTAAAGATTATATGCAGTTATGCTAATGTCGGATGCTTTTGCACTGAATGCGAACTGACTGACTTAAGCTCCAATGTAAAAGCTTTGCTTTATATATATTCGCTGATAGCTCATGCGCATATTAAACATGAGTTTTTTCGGAATGCAATGCTTCGGGTTATCAGTGTGCTGAACTAATGACACAGACCGGTTTTTTCTTGTAAATCGTTAAGCAGCGTAGTGGCTCGCCGGAAGTCCGCTCGGTACTGCTATTACTCTGTCTGTTTCTTCCGCTAATAAAACTTCGGCTTTGTGCATGTACTCTGTACTGCAATAATTAACCGCCTTTGTTCGCAGAATTTTGCCACAATGACACAGCTTTCAATGGATAGGAGCGTTTCCCCGGGATGAGTAAAGAAACCTGGTAATATTCTAAAGATCGCCGACTTACTGCAGTACGTGTGCCAATGCAAAACGTCTAATTGATTTTTATTGATTTCACAAAAAGCGGTAAGATCGCTGTTTCAAAACAATAAATCAAATAAAAAATAATTCGTTTAATGCTGCCGCTCCCTCCATTGTCCCGAGCACGGAAGCAGCGTTGCCTCGCTGAATTTCCAGCGACAGTCGCTGACGGAGGTACTCATGGGAGCGCGGCTCACCCGTATGCTGTTGAAGTCGCTTGCCAATTTCTTTCACTGAACGGCTAGCTGACTTTCTCCATGGTCCAAGAGTTTCAAAAGCCAGCGGTGCGAAGATGTATCTGCCCTGTAGGTACAAGTACAATCCCGCTTTTCTATCCTACGCCTGTGCGGCGGCGGATCCCGCAGTGACTGATGTGGCCGCAGGGACTTATTTACTTTTAAGGTCATATGGGTGATTCAACGATAATGGTATACTTGAAGTAATGTTATGTACTTCAGGTTTTATAAATTTTTGTCGCAATTGAAATGACGTAAAAAGCTGATATGCGTTTACTCTGGTGTCATCATCTTTCAGAATACCAGTTTTTTTTTATTATTTTAGTCTGCTTTAACGTGGCTATCCAAGCTGAGTTTTTTGTGCTGGATGACACAAAATGCGTAATCACCGTAGTTTTTTTCGTCTTTGCTAACGGCAAGGTGTCCACATTATGCACATCATACTGGCGTAATTGCCTTAACGCTGGCGCATTTCTAGCTGATGGATTTTTTTGGCGCGACTAGGGAACCGGATGTTTAATGTTTAATTTGTTCATGTTATGCCGCTTGCAAAGTTGGTTCTAACTTCTAACCATTTAAATCAAATACAAAATGAATATGAAAAACTGACTGATGAGATTTTTTACGTACGTTTTTCTCTACTGTTACGCTAGGATCAAACACATGCTGATAAGCAGCCGCATAGTACACGGCAATAGAGAACCCAGTAGCTGATATCGTCCGCAAGAGTATTGTTGAGCTTCATCAAATGTTTTAAGTGGTTGCCATTGATTAATGCAGTTGCGTTATTGCAATTTATTCTGTAATATTATTTCCAGTTTTTTGTTCTTTGATTTTACACGTGAGCGACCTTTTGATGGTTGTTCGTGATAATGTTTTGGTTATCCCAGATCTTATATATGTGCTTGTGCCTCATTACGTATCTGAACAGTTACAGATAGTTTAGAATAGGAACATGTCTTTATTACTGAGATCTACGGAATACGGATAACAGCACGATTTTTAGTGATCTCCAATAGTGAAAGCTTCTGCTGTTAGTACTGTGTAGGTATCATACACAGCTTAATATTAAGCAGTGTATTAACATTGTACTTCAAACGAAACTTTTAATATGGACCGGAAATACATTTTAAGGGCAGTGTACGTATGCGGCGTTACTGCAGTTTAGATGTTTTTGTTAACTAAATCACTTACGCACACAGTTAAAAATTCTGATTTTTTGCAGTACGTGCGAAGACCCTCGAAACCGAGATAATTGTTTTTATTTTTCCTTCAGAGTCGCTCAAAATCCAAATTATCGAACGCGCATTTTATCGCTCCATTTTGTTAGCTTTTTTTCTATTAGGTGATCCAGCTGCTCAAAAAATCAGTTTCAGTTCACATTTTAGTTCATAATGTAATCATTTTGCACTTTATATTAGCCAAATGACTAATGGTCAACGGGTAAGGAAACAGAAAAAACACTCACCATCCGTTTGAGCAGAACACACAGATTAATACGTACAGGGAACTGTCATGTATTCTCCAGTTTAGTGCCATATACTGAACAACCACCGAAAATAATAATTCTATGGTCAAGAACTTGAATGCATGTTCTGCATGACGGTAATAGTGACATAAAAAACAGCACGCTACACAGCGAAAGCACGTGGAAAACCTGCAGGAAATACTTTCAAAGTAGGAATTAGGATATGTGATGTAAAAGCTACTGCGCATGTATGGAAAACAGAAATGCACGTAACCCAGCTTTCAACATCTCATGACATATCACATACAATCAAGTACGAGTGCCGAATCAAACTCTGATTCAATCGGACTTGAATGTGTCGGTATTAGATTCAAAAGGTTAGCGGCTGCATTTTCTGCACACTGCCGGAGCTGCTCTGTTCCTGGCTGGAGGAAAGGTCATCCATATTTGATGACTGCATCATGGGAGAAAAAGATGCAAAGCTGGACCTCATCCGACTCATTCCACTGCTCTGTGACATTTGCATCATAGGTGCGGAGAACATCTGACCGAAGCCGAAGCCCTGTAGTTGGCGTGATTCACGGGTCAGCTGATCGGTTCCGCTGGAATCCACATCCGAATTTGAACCGGATACCGGTACCGTAGCATCTCCTTTTGAACCTGAAAAGCGTCACTGATTAGGGATGACGTTAGTAGTAAGTGAATTACTACTGACGTTTTTACTGGACAAAGCAAACTATATTGTCTGCACTATATATAGTTCCGAGACGAATAATAATGTGTTACGTGATAGGTGTGGAGACTTTCACCTTTTTAGTTCTTATGCGGCAAATAAAGTTATGCTCTCAGCTAGATGATTATTCTCTTTACCTCTTCAAAGTAAATCGCACAAATACGCGTACCATTACAAGCAATAATTTCTATGTGTTGTCGCATACAGATATAAAATGTGTAGCGCACTTTTCAATTCACAAATCACTGTTTATAATAAAAATTAAGTAAAATTGCAATAAATTCATATGCTCCTGACCAGAACCCCGACTGCACAACTGGTGAAATACCGGGCCTTGCACAGTAAAAAGCTGATATCTCCAGTTAATACAAGTCAGCTGTATACACTGGTGACACATCTACGTAATATTATAAGAGTATACTTTACACATGTTCATAAAAAGTTACTGCAGCACGCAGCTTCGTAACTGTAGTAAATTTGCTGCGGACTTAATTTAGAATTGCTTGTCTGAATTTTTAGTTTAGATACTACCTAAATTATCAACATCCAAAATGTAATAAAACTGCATACACCTTGAATGAAGTCCATAGCTGTCAACACATACAATACTAATTTAAAACGATTTTTATTTCGCTGGCAATCGCCGCTTACTTGTAAAACGCACGCACAATTTTACCAATGCGTTTACGTTCCAAAGTAGTCGTAAGTAGCAAGTTTAAAATCATACAGTGTACTCTGACATTCGAGTTATTAACCAAATTAATCCCATACCCGGCTAATTTACCTCGAGGCCTCGTGAACGTTTTCTTTAAGGAAAAAGCCTTACATGTCATTTCCTGAATGCAAGTTTAAGGTAAACATGTGCAAATGCTTTTCGCATAAACGCTTACAAGATTGTGAAATGAATATATAGCGCGTGACGAGTTCGTAAGTCGACGTTACATAAACACTTGCACAAGGATTCGTAGATCTTCGCATAAATTATTGCCAAAGCGAACATGAAAGTAAGATCTACAGTTATCAGACGCTAATTAGTGCATAAAAATATGACGCCGGCAAACGATTAACCGTTAACTTTCACTGTTTTAAACAAACAATGTGCGTATGAAACATGGTTTTTATTAAGATTAATGTCAAATGCTTGTGCGAGGAATGAAATTAAAACCAGAACGGTCCAAGGAAATATATTAACGAATAAATTCTGGTATAAAGGTTGATGCGGAAATCATATTGCAATAGCTTTTGCTATTAAATTTAATGAAGAAGTAGAGCAGGGCGCCTGCCGTAGATCTATTGGCTAAAGACTGTTAAAATCAAAAGCAAGCTTAAATTAACCGATTTGTAGCAAGTGACGCAAAGTTTAACGTAAGAGTCGCGAGATAACTGGAAAAAATTATAAAACTGTAAATGAACTACTTTCGCAATTTATTACAATTATAACCTAAGTACAAAGACTTTATAGATTAATTGCATTGAATTTTAAATTAAGAAAACACTATGCCGATCCACGTACCCTAGGTACAGCAGAACTGTTTGTAAGCATTTTAGCAGTTAGAAAAAAATGCACGTTTAACGATGCGCAATAAAATTTCAAAGAATAGTCACTTACTGTTTACAGGCGCAGAATGTACAGAGTTTTGCAAACATAATAATCCGAATGCCACAAAAGTCAATAAAGAATATGTAAGATTTATGTGATACATGTTGCAAATCGATAAAACTATACACGACATCAAAACAAATTCCTCGTGTAACAATTTTAATTTGAATCAGGAAGTAGAGCAGAAATTAATAAACCGTTAATCAGAGCTGGGCACAATATCGTCGACAATGTTACGCGAACAAGTTTGACACTATTTTGTTTATCAATGGGTCGCCACACCACAGGCTCGAGGTTTTTTATGAGGTTTAGTGGGTAGGCGAAAAACTTGATTGCCGCAGGCCGCCTGATGTGTCAAATTCGGTGCGCGAAAAGATACTGCACGTTTTAGCGGAAACAAAGAATTCCAACCGGAAACGTGTATGCGGTATATTTCATACTCAGCAGTATAAGAATGCCGCGGTACACACGTATCGCCGTGTATTCCTCGTATTCAGGTAAAAAGTGCAAATCATGCTGGAGAGCGTTATACAATAAACAGCATTGTAGCGTGTTCATTTGCATTTACCGTCCTTCCACGTACCGTCTTACACACGTATTTCTTCCGCTAGTTTTTGTTGACTGCTCTACTACCGGCAACCATACACAAATGCCGCAAAGACTAAGAAAATAATAGACAGCAAAACAAACAAAGGAAACCTCTGAAGTACAGCTTACAAATAAAGGTCAAAGTATAACAATATTACGAAACCCTTGTGAGCTTATAAAGCCGGTATGATATTATATATTTGTACTGCTAAACTTACCGGAAACGCATTTATATTTGCAAAACCGAAAAAAATTGCACATGTTTAGAATACAAACAATACTAAAATGCTTATTTTACAAAATAATTGTGGATAGATCTACTTTATACTGCAGGTAGTACCTTTACCGGCGTATATCAAATGCATTTCTTGAAAACGAACAGCAAATTTGTCCCAAATAAAGGACAGCTAATTGTGCGAATTAGTACACTACCTAATACCAACGCATCTGCTCTTTCACATGCCACAGCAAAACATTTACATACAAAACACCATCCAGAGATTTGCATACAATACCAGCGCGGATTTACATAGATACGGCGGTAAAATCCCAGATACCAGTTTGCACTTTGCAGTCAGCTTAGCCATGAGCTATAAATCAAGCAAATAGACTTAACCAATTCTCTCAACAGCTGTTCAGCGAAAAGCCCCGGCTTAACAATCTGTTTGTCACACATTCGGTATTGTTTTTACAGCGTAAACACATTACGAGCAATTTGGATGGTCAACCTCCAAACGCGGAGTCAACCGGCGCGCTAAAACTGCTCTCCAAAATGTGCTACGATATACTTCCGGCTGGCAGCACATGCCAAGCATTACTTCTATTTGTACAAGCACTTCACACCTTCTACCGTGTGCCATTTGTACGAATCCCCCCGTAATTGTGAATACCGGCATATAACACGTTAGCTTATCACCCTCCACCTGTATATATAGATTGGCATACATCCGATAAGCGTCATCTATCGTTAAAAGTTTATTTGTGCTTTATTACCCCGTTAAATGTGACTAACTAAACTACTAGGTAGCATATTCAGTTGACAACATGATCAGTAGCATTGGAATAATTTCTTTCATACTATGTTTAACGCTGGCCATGTTCAACGCCCAGATGGACGATCTCAGCCGGCCGGAGAATGTCGGGGCTTTTCCCGTGGCCTTTTTTAAAAATGTAGCCAATACCACCAATTTCGATCAGAATATTGCACTGTCCCCGTTTTCCGCGGATGCGGCGCTTTCCATGACGTATGTGGGTGCGCGGGAGGGAACGCGTTCCGAGATCGGGCAAGTCTTGGGAATCGCCACCGATGCCGGCACGGCCACGCAGGATTTCGCCAAAAAATTCCGCTCCATCAATACGGCTTCGGAGAATTATGTTCTGAACTCCGCCAACGGAATGTTCGTGGAGAAATCGTATGACATCTTAGCGGACTTCGTCAGCGCTATCCAGATGAACTTTGCCGCCGATGTCCAGCCGGTCAGTTTTCAGACCGAACCGGAAACGGCCCGCCAACAAGTCAACACCTTCGCCAGCAGCAAAACCAACAACAAAATCACCGAACTCTTCCCCGCGGGGAGTGTCGGGCCCGACACCAAATTAGTCCTCGTCAACGCCGTGTATTTCAAAGCCGATTGGGAGAAGCCCTTCGACGCCACGAAGACCTCCCGGCAGCCCTTTTTCACGCCAACCAATCAGCAACCGGAAGTGGATCTCATGCACACCGAGGGAGAATTCTTCTACACCGACAGCGAAGAACTCAACGCCCAAATGATCGAGATCCCGTATAAGAAGGGCGAAATGACCATGGTTGTTATACTACCGCGTGCAGGATCTACTATAACCAATCTCGAAGGCGCACTGAATCCGACGTCACTGAGCGGCGGTCTGCGCCAGCTCTTCCGTCAAAAGGTCAATCTGTTCCTGCCCAAGTTCCGCTTGGAGCGCAACTATGATCTCACCTTTAACCTTATGTCGATGGGCATCCGGGCGGCGTTGGGTGATAATGCTGATCTGAGCGGAATCAGTAGCCGGCGCGATCTACGCGTGTCGCGTGTGGTACAGAAAGTATTTGTCGGTAAGCGCATTCTTCTGGGCAATACTGCCGATTATGCGGCAATTTTTATGCATATAATTATGTGGTGTTTTTCGGTTTATTGCAGAGGTGGACGAGAAAGGCACCGAAGCGGCTGCCGCTACCGGTGTCCAGATTATGCTGCTCAGTGCGCCCATTAAACCGGATGTACCGCCGGTATTCCGAGCCGATCGGCCGTTCCTGTTCCTTATAAGGCACACGCCCACCGACAGTATTATGTTTATGGGGAAGGTGGTGAATCCCACGTTCAACTGATCTGGTTTCGGTGAAACTGTGGATATTTTAACAAAAATTATGTATTACTACGTGTATAGTGATATTTGCTTGACGCAGTTTATCTCAATTGACGCATTCGCTACATGAATAATATACGTGATGTCATAGTTTCGATGGTGTAACAAAAATTCAGAATCTTATTAGAGCGGCAAGCTGGTACTTTGTATAACACACTTTGGGAAGGATTAACGTACGCAAAACTATCGAAAATTAGCATAAAGCATCGGATTATGCTGGAACATTACGTAACTACGTATAGACAGTTGTGGTTATGGTTTATACTGAAAACGATATTTTTTACAGCAGTCTTAAACTGCAGCCGTTCACAAGATCGGTGTTTCGTAGGCACATACATAGATACGTAATATTTGTACAAAGTATGGATATATCGTTCTGTGTGCACTTTGTCGCGGGAGATTTACACTTGCACTAATATCCAGAATATACCAGTTTTTAAATAAGATATGCAGTGTTATATATACAAAGTAGGGTAGCTAACGGTGGCAAGTTTTTCCACGTAGCAAGCGTAGGTCTTGAGTATGTATTGTAGTTCCTTTAATGCATTTTGTTAGGCATTAAACGATTCAGAATCTCCATAACTTCATGTATTTCGTATTAGCACAAAATTTGTGACTTCCTTTATTCAAAGTAAATTAAAATCCAAACACATTTCTGGCGTTTTCAAATCAAGAGCATTAAAAATCATTCAACTGCTGGAAAATTTCAGTTTAGGTTGCTGGGACGCTTTTTTGAAAGGTTAATTTAATACATTTGTGTCGGTATATGTAACAGTCCATTTATACCCAGGCATAGTACGATCAGAATAATTACTTTTACAAAAATGGGATGGAGCTGCTAGCTCATATACAGTTGCATAGAGAAGAAAATCACATAAGCTCTGTAATAGTGACTTCACATAAATGTGACAATAGTTCAAGCGAAGACCACCATTACACCACTCTGTACTTACTGAAAATATGCAAGTAATTAATTTTCATTTAATCTTATCAACTGCAAACTGCGTTTTCGATTTGCCTACTGAATACAACGTGCAGATTTTCAGTGTTTAATTTTGTTATCAGGCTTCCTGCAAAGCCGACATTGTATTACTTATCAAGAAACGTCATCGCTTGCTCATTGCGTTTGGAATTTAAAGAATTGTCGTGAACTGGAAACATAATTCGTAATACAGTGCGCTCACAGTACGCTTTGGTATTCTCCTTACTGCTCAAGCTTTTTTGTCCTCAGAGTTCAGACTATAATTAAAGTAGCGGTTGTTCAAAAATATTTTATGGAACCATTTAAAAACATCACAAATGATGCTCTCGCAAAAAAAAGCGGCGGAAGCGGAAGAAGCCCGGCGGATCCAGGAGAAAAGGGAATGTAAGTGTGACAAGTACCGCGATATATCGTTAAGCACGCACCTAAGTATACACATTATCCATGTCATGGCTAATAATAAATGCAAACGTCTATTTTTTCTTTAGTTGACAAGTCTGCCTCCATACTGTTACACGGATGCAGCTTATGGATAATTTCATCCAACAAGAGAGCTGATTCTCGGACATTTTACTTGTCCTCTGATTACGAAATGATCTACTACAGAGACGATGGCCCTTATCGATATCCTCTTGCAAAAAGCAAAGCTACTATAAGTAAGGGCTAACAGATTACTCTTTCATTTATTAGCTACTTATGACAAGATGTTTAATTTAAAAATAACTTCTGGAGTGTGCTTTTTCAGTTGATATGAGCGATATTAAGGATGTATGCTCTGGATACAGAACGGATGTTTTCCAGTCGTGTGCTGAAGACAAGAAATTTGCTGCCACATATCGCGAAGACTGCTGTTTTTCATTTCTTCTGACCTTCGGAACAACGCTCGACCTGGTGGCCGAAAACAGAGAAATTTGTGCAGCATGGACGAATATCGTTCAACGTTTGATAAAAGAGGATCCCAGCGAAATATACGAAAATCGCCTTAAAAAGTATCGTTTCAGACATCGCGTATTTCAGTTAATTTTTACATACTCCATAATGAATTACGTTATGGTTAGGTTTCTGAGAAAATGCTTCCGCCTGGCCGATACTTCGGGTGATGGACATTTAGGTTTCGAAGAATGTGTGAAGTTAGTTGGCTATCTAAATAAGCAAGTTTCTCGGGAAACCACACTGAAATTCTTTATGGTAAGTATTTCTTATCGCTGCGCCGCTGATGTCTAACCATGCGGTAATATTAATTCTGATAACAAGCGAAACAGTGAAACTGGACGAATTTCAGGCTGCCGGCGCAACCGCCATTTACACTGAATCTCCGGGTGTGGCGCTTTTGGATCGGGATGGATTTCACAAGTTTTACCGACTTTTAACAGATCGGAAAGATTTAAAGGACGTTTTCATGAAGTAAATGAAAACAGAATCATGATAACCCGCAATAAACTGAAAAAAGTGAAAATTCATCATGATAACCCGCAATAAACTGAAAAAAGTGCATAGACATGTTGCAGTATATCTATTGTACATTGTACACACTAGCTTAGAATTATTTCAAACCCGACAGAACCCAATCTGTATACGTAATGCTCGTGCACCGGTATTTAAGTTTGCTTAGTATTACAAATTGAAGTCTTGATTATTTGGTAATTTCAAAAAAATTAACGATTGTTTCTGTTTGCTGTTATTACCAGAATTGCTGCATTTCCTGTGGTCGAAGGGCTTGATGAACTGGTTAAACACGGACATAAAGTTTGGACTCTACATCATCTGCGGGCATTCCTTAAAGATTCTCAAAAAGAACAGCGATGTAGTAATGATGAGTGCAAAAAAATTGTCCAAATGTTTGAACCCGGTGAACTGCTTCGCTTAACTGATCAGCTAAGCTTTACAGGTGAGAGCGCTGAAAAGTCATTCCTGAAACACATTAGTATCAAACGTTCCTTTGCTGACTGATGGCGCGTGATTTAAGCTTTTATCCGGTTTATTTTACCTTTAGGATTCCAGAATTATTTATTGCATCAGAAACAATTCCTGCAGAAAGCCGATTCTGAGTGGAAAGGCCCTGGGAACAATGCACCGCCTATTCGTATATTAAAGCTAAGCATAACCGTCATCAGCGCCCAGCATTTGCCTAAAGCGGAAGGTAAAGACTGGAAGAGCATCACAGATCCTTACGTGCAAATAAAATTACTCGGCGATCCACGGGACTGTTCAAAAGAACAGACAGACTTTGTCGCAAACAACGGTGCGTACAAAGAGACAATAAATCCAAATTATTAACAATTTTTCAATGGTTTGTTAAAAAGTTTTGCTAAGGTTCAAATTTAAAACAAAATTCTGACATTTTTACGTACTCGTACTTACTCGTATATTCTGTTCCTGATTCTAGTGTGATGTATCATATGTGATATTTGCAAGCCTTCGTTTTAATTTTAACCTGCGAAAAGTTGCAACCACTCCGGTTGCTTTGCTTACTTCATTGTTTTTTAGGATTTGGTCCTACATGGAACAAAGCATTCAAGTTCTTACTTTATGAGCCGGAAGATGCGGTTATACGCTTTAAACTGAAAGACAAGGCAAGCTTCGGATCGGATGTATTTATTGCACATTGCATTATTCCGGTTATGAGCATGAAAGAAGGTAAGATTTCCGACGCGCACACTTGAATAATAACTAATTAATTATGAAATGCATATATAAATTCAGTACATATATATACAGATTGTGTATATGTATTCAGTTGCATATTCTACTGCATTTCCCACAATACGAATATGTAACTACATTTTTATCACATTAATAACTTACTCGTGTACAATATAGCGATGTTACTTAATTACAATTAGCAGCATTACAGTAGAACGCAAAGTTTGCCCTCTAAAATGTTGTGCTTTCACTGACTGGGGAGTAATACGGCAGGGTGTTCAGTATTGATGGTCAACAAAAACATTTTTTCTAGGATACCGGCATATCCAGCTTTTCGATAAACAAGACAACCTTTTGGCAATGTCAACCCTCTTTGTATTAGTGGAAAAAGAGCCAATTTACTACGCAAACGGCCATGTATTATTACGCGACTGAACTATGCGTCGCACTGTACGTACATTATGTGTGCATCTACACGTGTGTTCATACCGGTATTTGTTTTGGGTGCCTACAAGCATTGTGCTCAGTTTCTTTGTCATTTCAAAAACGCCCATTTTATTTGTTTATGGGATGTATTGTTACAAATATGATTTGCAAAATATCCGTCATCTTCAGAGTGTTTGTCACAACGGGTAAATGTGATCGCTTAAAAAGGAATGCTCAATTAAATTATCAAGTCAAAAACCAAAATACGTCCCTGCGTACACCTGTATTCAGCAGTATTAGCCAGCAGCCTGATGCAAATTGCATCGCGTTTCAATTTCCACTGTCTTGCTTGGGACGATAATGTATCCAGTCCACACGGAACACCTCGTCATTCACCATCTGCGCTCCCACCTTCCGGTATGCGTTTCGTGATACCAAGTTCGACTTCATGACATACGCCCACGCAGTGCGATTTCCCCTGGCGACAATCTTCGCCGCCAGGTCGTAATTGACCACTTGATACAATCCCTTGTTTCGAAATTCCGGCAGCACATATCCGTGGCCCATGCAGCCATCCGGCAGATTCAGAATATACGCGACCAGCTGGCCATCCTCCGTAAAGGCACCGCTGGTGGGGTAACCGGCTTTGAGCAACTGTTTAAAAAACGGAACGCCTTGTCCACCGCTGTAATGCCATTCCCGGTTCAGTTGTTCGATGTTCTCGTCGCGCAGTTCGCTCAACCGGAAGCCCTCTGGCACGGGTCTACGAAGCAGACACACACGTACAATTACGGCTCGTTATCGAGAAATAATGGCAGACTAAACGTGGAAGTTAAGATAATCGAATTATGAACATTTATCAATTCTAATCATCAGAGGTCAATATCAGCTGCGTCAGTTTGCAATTATGAACAGTGCATACTTTTGGACTAAATGGTCCGGATGGAGCAGAAACATATTTGCCCAGTCTGAAGGGTCCTCATCTTCGCATGTTCCAAACTTTTTGCAAACCTCGGTGACTACTGGGAATACATCGTGCCGCGAGACACCTATAAAATTTTTATCAGATATGGCTTTTACGTGGTAAATGGTAATGTCGGCAAGGATATTGCACATACTTAATTACAAGTTAAAGTAATTGCTTAACGATATGGTATTAATGCGTTGAGCCACAGCTGTACAAGCTGTGCTTCATGTAAAGATTATACGTACCGAAAAAGTTGACTGGTTTCGAAAAATCGATGCAGCCTTCTATGCACAGGAAGCGTTCTAGATTCTGAACATCCTTGCAGAATATCAAAACGGTTGGAAACTGGGGCCAAGGAACGTAGTCCTAAAATTCATATACATAATGATCAATTGTGAAAGTTGCATCGAAATGCGGTTTTGCGCAACCATTAAAATTCGCTGACAGAAACTTATCAAAACCACGACCATTGACTACCAGTAGATTCAAAAGCACAATTTCATTTCGAATATTTTTTGAGAAACGGTATATCCCACGCAACAATTTCGGAAATTTACTTGGGAGCCTGCAACAGGTCGGCGGATGATAACCGAGTAATTTGGATAACCATCCACAACAAACTCCGTTCCGGGCCAGTCCGGTTCCTTGCGTATCCGATTCCCAATCATGTAATGCATCTACGAGCAAAAACGCATTCGCCGGGTTATCGTCAAATCTTCACTGCATGAGAAGCTTAAGTCAAAAAACTTAATTAGATAAGTAATTATATAGACAAGTAATTGTGTAGAAACTGTAAAAAATTAATAAAACACTCCCTTACAGGCTACAACAAAAATATTCCCCATTTCCACAGTAATATGAATCAACTTTTTTACAGAATGAACACTTTTACGTAGCTTGCTGTCAGTGCAACATGTGTCAGCTTTGTACCTTACTTGCAGTGACTTCGGGAAGTGGTTAGTAAGATCGGTGTGGACTATTTGTAATTCGTCATCATTTAGAACCTTCATGATGAAAATTGCACGACGAACGGAGCGCCAAAGAACGATTCAAATGGATTCCCTATCGGCACTTGACACAGGCGGTGAGGAAAGGTTTTTCTCGATATATTCGAATGAATATACCGCCAACTGCCAAACATTAATCTAAACTACAATGTATACAAAAATGTTCAATTTGTTCTTACAATAACGAAACAAATTGGTTTCGTTTCGGCTGATCCTCGATGACTTTCACTTTCATTGTCAGTCATGCAAGTATATTGCAAGAAAACGTTTCGCACGACTGCTGCGTATACCAGCAGAAACTAGTCCAATTTTACTTATCTAAACTGATGCACACAATTTAATGTCGTTCTGTAGATGCTTTATAGCAGAACAAATATTGCGTGCAGATAGAAGCACTTACTAGTAATACCTGTTGATGATTTATTTAGTACGTAATCAGTGGATCGTTGTTATTTGCTATCATCATCCATCAATGAAGTAGACAAGCTGTATTTCTCGATATTAACGGGTTCGATGGAATGATTGCACACCGAAAAAGGTCGATTCTGAGTCGAAAAGGCGTGGGAACAACACACCGCGTATTTGTATTTTGTATAGAAACAATCGTGATGCGTGGCCGGCCAGGTTCAATTTTTGCATTTGCAACACTGATTATTATTACGACTATTACAGATATCTATATTATTCATATTAAACGCTGACTTTTTTGGTATTAGCGGAGCTGACTAAAAAAATTTAATTTCTCATTGGAACTCCTCTATTCTTTCTACGAGTACAGATATACCTTTTTTATACTTAACTTCTTTTTATTCGCGCAGTTATATGTCAGGTGACTCAAATTATTGTCTTCTTTCATAGGTTAATGGTTGAGCAAGTACGAGGGAATGGTTAATAAAAAAAATCAATCACAAATCCAATATCAGAAAATGCCGCAGCGGACGCCGTATCTTCCTAAACGTATTTCACTTTTTATTATCATGCTTTGGATGATAATGTACCCAGTCCACACAAAACTCTCGATCATCCACCAGCTTTGCTCCCAACTTCCGGTAGGCATTCTGCGAGACCGTATTCCATTTCATAACATAAGCCCAGGCGGTGCGATTCCCCCTCGCGATAATCTTCGTCGCCAAGTCGTAGTTGACCACTTGAAACAGCCCCTTATTCCGGTATTCGGGCTGCACGTATCCGTGACCCATGCAGCCGTCAGGTAGGTTTAGGATATACGCCACCAACTGGCCATCCTCCGTAAAGACACCACTGGTGGGATAGCCGGCTTTGAGGATCTGTTTGAAAAATGGTACTGCTTGTCCGCCGCTGTACCGCCATTCTTCATTCAACTGTTCAGCGTGCTCTTCGCGCAATTCACCCAACCGGAAGCCCTCCGGTATCGGCCTACGAAATAGGAAGGCCTTTTCAAATACGACCGCTTTTATATAAAATGCAAAGCCAGACTGTTCTCGAAAGATAAGATAATCGAAGTTAAAAATAAATCAAACGCGTGCGCATAGCGAGTGATTTATTGCAAGAGTAAGATAACGTTGGTACCGCGGTACGGTAATTCTAATTATGTGCAGAAGTGATACTCGGTAGTATTTATATTCAAGTTAATATTATACGCACGTTTTGACTAAATGTTCCGGGTGGAGTAAAAACATGTTTCCCCAGTCTGGAGGATCTTGTTCATCGACTGTCCCAAGTTTTTTGGACAGCTCTATGACTACTGGATAGACATCATTCCGTGATATACCTGTAAAACGGTCACAGCTGTTATTAACACATAAAACGTAGCGATAATTGTCGAAATAAGGCACAATGTCCACCTTTATAACTGTTCGATATGGTATTCAACGTTTACCAATTAAGCCTCCCAAGGCTTAAGCCTCAAAACATACCGAAAAACGTTACAGGTTCTGAATAGTCGACGCAGCCATTCGCCAGTAAAAAGCTCTCCAGCTTCTGGACATCCTTGCAGAATATTAGAACACTTGCCGTGCGGGGCCAGGGCACGTAATCCTACAATGTGAATAAAGTTTCGGAATACACATAAGATGCATTCGAAAGCGCATCCTTTATAAAAATTTTAAGCAAAATAAATGTGCTATCAAATAAAGAAAATTTGGTCAGATCAGATAATTTAGTAAACGAATGATGTGTTGAAACGCCTGAAGCTTACTTTAGAGCCTGCGATAGGCCGGCGAATGACAACGGTGTAATTCGGAAAATCATCCACAACAAACTCCGTTCCGGGCCAGTCAGGTTCCTTGCGTATCCGATTCCCAATCATGTAGTGCATCTACGAAGAAACACCGGCGCAGGTGTCATTTGAATCGCAGTTGTACATAACGCTTTCAACTCTTAAGCCAGAATGAGATAAATAAGTTCTTAAGACTTAGTATAAAAGTATCTAGTCACAAGCTACGTAGACGCAAGAATCGAAGTATTCTACTGCAGAAGGTTACAGACTGCACTTATTGATGTGCTTGTCCACGATGAAGTTAGGTCGAACTGTGGAAGCATGCGATATACTTATGAAAATGCAACATGTGTTTCAGCAAATTTAGCTGACATACTAGTATTGCCACTACCTGCAACGATTTTGGAAAGTAGTTGGCGAGATCCTGGTGGACTGTCCGTAATTCTTCGTCGTCCAGAACCTTCATTTCAGAATTTACAGCTGGAACGAAGCGAACCCAGGAAATCAGACGATCAACTGAATTTAGTCAGCAGAGATGGCAAAACAGTTATCAATAAGCTGCCAAAACTACAGCAGTTCACACCAAATAAAAGTCTTAACTTGGGTAACTGCAAACCACACTTACAGGCTCACTAACCTTTTTTGTTTTGATTTTTATACAAAGTATTTGTACTTCCACGATTCCTTTTACTGAGAGCTCCAGCGCTCGGAAAATAGTGCACAATCACTCACGTACAAGTACAGTACTCGCTCCACATACGTACATCACAATAGTTCTATAATGTGCAGTACGTACGACTAGTACTTGTACTTGCCCGAGCTGATTTTGTAAGATGATTGAATGATAAAGTACCGCTTTAATTTGGTCCGCTTCCACCGGTATTCGTATGTATTCATGTCGACGTTTAATTGAAAAATGTGCATTTACAATAATGCTAGAGTTGTGCTCGTAATAATCGTTTTCTGTGATTAGTACGAAGTACTGATTACTGAAGTACGTAATTTCGATAGCAGCGCAGCAGTTACAAATGCGTCTGGCTATAATACCGCTGTAATACTCGTATTTACAATACCCCAGTACTATGCTAGAAAAGTGCTTATTACAGTTTCTGTTTTATCCATCGGTCATGCAGTGTACCTGTTAACTGAATAACTGTAGCCATTAATATGCAGCGATTGGTCAAACAAAAATTAGGGTATTTTGTAAAATAGCTTATCCATTACTGATTTCCTGTAAAAGATGAGCACTCCCGAAGAGTATCTTCCAGGAAGGTTTAATAAACAGTAGGCATATCGTCCTATCGTACAATTGCTGTGTGTCTACGCTTTCGCTTTTAAGCGGGTTCAGTAATTAACTTTGTACAGGCAAGTAACAGAAAAGCACCAGCGCATAGCACTAAAATTTTTAATACTAAGATATTTTACGAAAAAAGCTAATTAATGTGTTTTATATATATGTCAATCTGCTGCGAAGCTTGGCTGTCGTTATTTGAGCGGCATTGTGAAACATTCTCGATGGTGTAACAAGTTGCATCGGCACGATCAAATAATAAGAGCATCACAATACATAAATAAATTACAGCTTCATCCCCGCAGTTATAAAGGTCGATGGCGTTCCTCTCCATATGCCGGTATAATCTGTTTGATTAGAAAACAACAACTAGGTCAGGGATGCCGAGAAGGTACACACACTTGGTCACCGCGGGATTAGGCCATATATCCATCAACTGCATTTACTCCTCGGAGCATGCAGTGCCATGCACACACATTGATCAGGACTGGTTTTCTCTAGTGTGACATCCACACAGCGCCCAAGGTCCGTTTTGCATTAAAACGCACGAGGAATGCCATATTAGAGTATAGCATACATATTTACGGCGTTCACACCGAGTGCGTAAAAAACGCAATCCCGCCCATCATCGTCGTACACCGTAAAAAACCCGTCCAATCCGTTGTCCTAATCGCCAATTAGCCACCCCGCCAGGAAACCGATGCATCATCATTCCCGGGTAATTTGAGCAGCAGATGACAGTTGTCGTCGATGGGTCTGCATGCTAACAACGCCAACGGTCGTCAAGCGTACGCTCTACCTGGTTTAACCAGCTTCTACGACAAAACATCACAGTGCGGACAAACGATGTGTGTATTATACGGATAAAAACAACCACGGTAGAAGGAAGCCATTGAGAAGAGAGTTATAGCGGATCAGATGTCGTGATCGTGCTAATGAACCGTCGCCGGATACTGTTACCATCCACATTATGGTGAACGAGATGTGCCGGTAATCGACGTCGCATGCGCATACCACGGTGATCACGTAATGCACTCCCACAACCGCAACACAGGTGGACATTTACACAGCGCATATATCGCGGATGATATGCATCATATGCTGAATAAGGCCGATTTGGGCACCTATGGCGATTACTCGGATTCATCGGATTATAATCCCAAACATCCCAGAATCTATAAGGTCAACCATTTTGTTCTGCCGCTGTTCTGCTTGGAAGCGATCGCGTTGGGATGTGTCGGCGCATTAGCCTACTATCTGCGGTAAGAAATCCCATTCTACCTTACGTGCATTCCGTTCTTACGAATAATATTACCGGTGAAATGCCTTTTTCCATAAATTGTAATGATCAACTGAACATATATGTATATATAGGTACATATGCAGCAATCGTATTCGGTAATTTTATTGCACTTAATCGACTGAAAACCGCTGGGCAGAAAATTTACCAAAAATTTGCAACAATAAGAGTGCTTACACAATATATATTAAATCATTACCATAGGCTAAAAGCCTCAATGATTCACTGTATAGAATAATAACTGTTGCCTAAACAAAATTCTGTTCGACAGCGGAAACTGGGTTAAAAGAATTAGCCAAAAACAGGAAATTTTAAAGGTTGTCTCATCGATATTTCCGGTGGTTTCAGTTATAGTTTCGGACAAAACTAAAAAAAGCATGAGGTAAAGCTGATAAAATTTTTGCTCTTTGAAATATTATGCGTTTTGATCGATGTTTTGAGGCCGGATCCACATTCCACGCGTAGAATTGACAACTTTCTGAAAAACTTCTACAGACATATAGAATACATATACAACCGCTGAGTTGCTTTTTATTTCTGCTGCAAAATTGCATCACGAAAATGTTTTTTATCTCGCTAGAGGTTGCACGAAAGGTAAATCATAAGTCGAGAAGAAATGGAGTCATTACTAAACTTTTAACTGTTGCAGGTTCACCGAGGTATTTCCACTTCAAGAGAGCATTGTTAGTTGCACTGACCATGGGATAAATCACCCCTTTCTAAATGCCACGGCATTGTTGACGGATGTGCCGGTGGAAGTGTTCTACAGTGTGGCCTTGCTCTCACCACTAGTAACGGTACAAGTGCACCCGCCAGACACATACAATACTAACTACAGTCTTTGCTTATTAATTGACCAACCTGTTGTTTCCGTGTAAATACACTTATCAAGTGCCCATAAAAACAACATTGTAACAATTTGCCTGTCTCCACAATAGATTTTCATCGGCGAGCTAGGTTATTGGCTGTTCTCCAGTAAACCAAAGAAAGTCGTTCGTGCACACTGCATTGGATTCAAATTACATCTTATGCCACGGCGATTTTTTCGCTATGCAGGTGAATAAACTTGTACACTTTACAACAAACAGCTTCTCTTTTCGTACGGAATTAAGGATCGAATTTCAGATCTCGTTTTTTCAGTTTCACGGTTTAACAGAATAATACTGCAAGCATTCATAAAATTTCTTTATGGTTAGTAACAATAAATTTTCTTCAGACAGTGACAAGGTATTCCGGTGGCTTACCTAATATAACACGCACAAGCAGTCAAAAAATATTCCCCACTTTAAATGAATATACGTAGTTTTTATGAGTTATTAAGCATTAGCTTTATGAGTATTTATGTATTACAAGGAATGGTAACAATGGTTTAATTTTTGCAGAATATTTATTTTAAATTATAACAAACTTAAAGATTAATTATATATAACGGAATTAGACATCAAGATTACTACGTACTTTCTCTCTGATAGATACCGGTATGTAAGATTTATCCTTTGCTTATAATATGAAAATACCCGCATCGCTTCAACATGATTGATAATATTTGTACAAAAACTACACTCCGATGACGGGTGACAGTTTTGTTATTCTCTCGTGATAAATAACGCTCACATAAGGCGGAGGTCAAGAAAATGTTGTTCTTTCCCGAAGGTTTATTTCTCCTTGGTCTCTTCACAACCAGTATTTTTACGGACCTGGTCAAACTGCTGATCGGCCGTCCCCGACCGTATTACCTGCGTGTGTGCCACGCGACCTGCATCAATCCCGACGGAACCACCCACATCAACAACAATGAACACTGTATTCTGGAGGACATGCGGTTCGCACAGATATCCTTTCCTTCCTTCCATGCATCGGTCGCAGCATATTCGGCATTATTTTTATCGGTAAGTGCGCTTGAATGATTTATTTTGTCAAACAATGCACACAAAATAAAGCTTATGACAAAATTAGCAAAATCCTAATGCGTGCACAAAAACCAATGATGTTATAAAAGATCTATTCGTGTAATTTACATACCCTAAGTATTATTTGCGTTATATCTATATAATTGATTATATGTATATTATTACGGTACTATGTAATATTTAAAATAATTTAACATATAATAATTTAACTGTTGCATTGCATTTAACAGTAGCGACGTTTTTTATCAGTTCTAGCGAACGCACAGATTTCAATGTCTTCAATTACAGGTCTATCTGCACAGTATACTGACAGCCCGTGGTGCTCGTCTTTTACGCCCGATTCTCTTGTTCTCCATCATAGCTGGAGCGGCATTTGTCGGAATCAGTCGTTACTTGATGAACAAAAATCACTGGCAAGACATTGTTACCGGCTACATTTTGGGAGCAATTACAGCGCTGTATCTGGTGCGTACAAGTACAGTTACTCTACATAATACTAATTTAATGCTGTCATGATCCTAAAAAAGTGCTGCAATATTCATCGTTGTATACAGTAATAATTAAGAATTGTGATGTGATTGTGGTTACTGTAACTAAGCAGTGTATAATTGGTTTCAGGGCATTTTCGCCAGTAACTCTTTTGCGGAAAGGTCAGCCGTTGCGGAACCCTTACTGCCAAATCGAAGAAAGTCCGGTTCGTCTAGCCCGACATTAGCGCTACAGGATTCTAAATCCCCGTTCTTCTCGTGGTTTCCCATTCCGCGTGTGTCGTTCAAAACCAAACCAACCCGCTTTGTTAACGGCTTCCCCAATCATGCCGCGGATTACTCCCATGATCCGGCTGCCGCGGTCACCGTGTACCATCCGGATTTGAATAGATCCATTGACAACTTCAGCCGAACTTCCAATCCGCATATGATGCAGCATTATTGACATAATTTATTAAAGAAAACTGCTCTTCCTGATTATTAAAAAAAAACTCCGTTTTATATCATTTCTGAATCTGCTACAGCGCAATGCCTTTTAGGCTTTTACATCTGCATGCAGCTCTAATTCTGTTGCATATGTACCTGTTGTAATTTATTTACCACGATGGTTAGTGGAATTAAATTATGGTTTTGTACAGGTAAAAATAAGTTAAGGGATATGGAAATAAGAAATTCAGTGATGTTAAATTGCTACTCGTAGTAGTTTTCAATTAACATTCATCGCAAAATGTTTCGTTTTTTTATCTAGCGACGCACTGCGATTTACTACATACAGTCATACACTGTAGAGTAACAGTGTTACGACTTCAAAATGCCGGTCAAAAAACTTTTATGAGCATTCAAAATTCAAAGTATTTTGTTGCAAAAAAATAAAATGTTAAGTTTGAAAAATAATAAATCAAATGGTATGCGGAGTCAAAAGTGGTGCTGCAAAGTTACAATTAACGAAGTTAATTGGTTTTAATGTTAGCTGGAGGTTGTGTGCTCCCGCTCTTTCTTTTCTCCTTCTGTAGCCAGTTACCTGAATCGGTGGTGGCGCTGCGCCGCTTCGGCCGCTTAGATCTAAGCGGCCGCCGCCTTACACGCGCCGACGACGGCCGTTTGCACTCGGCACTGTTCCTGTGCCCGCACTTGGTTCTGCTTTTGGTTCGGCATTTGCATTTGCTCTGTCACTGCATTTCTATTCATGTGCGCGCGAGTGATTTTGTTCTTTACCACCCGCCACACCCTGCTGTTCTTTTGTTGTTATTTCGCGTTGCTCAATAAAGGGGCCTTCGGTTGCGCAGGGCACTGGTCGCTCTCTTCCGCCGACCCCCGGTCGGCCGGCTTCTCGCTGACCCACGGTCACCGCACACAGCCGCTCACGAGGGTACCAGTCGCCCAGCAGCCGGGGTCCCAGCGCCCACAGTGGTCAACGGAAGCGGTAACATTAAGGTGGTATTAATAGGAGCCAAAAGTGGTATAAAAGGTTGCTAGGAGCCAAAGGTGGAATGCGGAGCCTTCGCCATTTTTACTAACATGAACGAAGACATTAATTTGTAAAAACCACCCTTCGTGAATTTTTCCTAAACATCCTCTTCTACTTACTTATAATTATCGATAAGCTCCATAATTAGTTTCCGTAAATCTCCTTGTGCTGTTTACGAAGAAATTCTTTTGTTTTTCAGGAGTAAAGGTTGAACGCTTTTGTTAGATGATATTAATTTTTGTACCGAGGTGCCGGTCGACGCCGAGCTCGTTGTGAGTGATCCAGCTGATGCCGTCGTCGTGGTGCACTGCCGCCGGTCGACGTCGACGACGTTCCGGAACTCGTGGTTGTACTGATCGGTATTTCCAGTTACGCTAGGAGACGTCGTAGTGATTCCCGATGAAAACGTTGGCGTTGCCCCGGCGATTGCACCGGACGCAGTCGATGATGCAGCCGAAGTGGGAGAACCTCCTAGACCGGAACTGGAAGTCGTGGTGGCTGATGCGGCGCTCTGTGTCGAACCGGTCCCGGAGGAGCCCGTTAATGTCGTTGCCGAAGTAGCAGTCGACGCAGTAGATGTACCTGAACCGGTAGTCAACTGCGCAACTGTCATAGATCCGGCGGACGTTACAGTAGTTGCCGAAGAGGATGTTGGTGCGCCGGTAGCGGTTGTGCCCGATGTCGTCGAAGATGGAGCCGAATTGGGTGAACTTCCTTAACTGGATGTGATGGTGGACACAGTCGTTATGTCACTTTTTGCCGAGCTTCCGGTTGGCTTCCTGCTTGTCCCGGAGGATCCCGTCAATGTCGTTGCCGATGTCGCCATCGACCCTGATGTTGTGCCAGAACTGGCAGTCGATTGAGCAGCTGCAATAGTTGCCGAAGAAGCTGATGTTCCCGTACCGGTTGTGCCGGATGTCGAAGATGCAGCCGAAGGGGATGAAGTTACTTGACCGGAAGTGGTGATGGATGCCGTCGAGGTGCCGTTCTGTGCCGAACTTCCGGTTGGTGCCCAGCTCGTCCCGGAAGAGCCGGTCGATGTTGTCGTCGACGCAGCTCTTCCGGTTGGCGCAACCGATGTGCCAGTTCCGGCATCAGTAGTGGTACCGGTGGACGTTGCAGTAGTGGCCGAAGCGGAGGTTGGCGTTACATTAACGGTTGTGGCGGATGCTGTCGTAGGTGCCGAAGTGGAGAAACCTTCTGAGCGGATGGATGCAGTCGTTGTGTCGCTTGGTGCCGACTTCCACTTGACGCCGCACTCGTCCCGGAGCCGGACGATGTCGTTGCCAAAGTGGACGAGCCTTCCTGACCGGAAGTTGTCGACGCCGGTGCACTCGTCCCGGGGGTCGCGCCGGACGTCGATGCCAGTGTTGTCGGAGAACTAGTGCTGAATTGCGGTGATGTATTGGCCGTGCTTGTGCTGGCGGATTCGGTTGTTGTGTCAGCCGAGGTAGACGACTCTAGTGGAATGCACCGCCTCGTCGTGGTGCAATCCACTACAGAGAGATGCACCACCTCGTCGTGGATGATGCATCGTCCAGTGCCGATTTCGGGGATAGTTTCTCAATGTCCAATGTCAATGCGCATGCGTCCCCTGTCGCCCCCGCATCCCAGATGTCGGATGAAGCGGAGCTGATCATGTCCGATTCTGACGTATACTGGTCTAGATTTTGCTAACAATATAATCTAAATTAATGTCGTTCGATCAGCATCTATTGATTTTTATGTACAAGATATACCTTTATGGACTGCAGCTGCGGAGTGATGGACCAAGTGTTAACTCCTTTGGGTGTTAGGGCTTTATTTAGGCTGGCTATTTGTGTGGCGTTCTGGGTAAAGAACGGGACGCTAAACAGAATATTCCGGTCCTTGTACACTCCGTCGCTTTCCACGGCACACGCCATGACATCCGCCGTCTACACCGAAATGTGGTTAACAGAATTGTAATCAGTTTTATTTACATACAGTATGCATTACGTATCAATGTGAGAAATTCTTCGTTCAATAAGAACTGCCAGGCAAACCCGAATAATCTTGTCCCAGATGATTAATATCAATGCTTAAGGGATTTGGCCCGGTACATAGTACCAAATTCGGGTACATACACGGGAACTTTCGCTGTCGTGCCCTCCTAAACACTTCTTTGCGTTGCTTTATGATATTTTGTAGCCAAAGGATTTATATACGTGGGCGTGAAATCCCTTTGCGCGCGCAACATTCGGTTCCGGAGTTATTAATGAAATAAAATTCCAAAAGTTTAAAGGCGCGGATGTGTACCAAAAGTTTCATTATGAACCGATGCTCTTCAAATTTTGCACGAAAACACACATTACTATGAAGATCGTTTTGGTACCGAACCAGTTACAGTACCTAGTACCGGGCAGAACGACATCCCGTGTAAATGCAAACGCCATTAGATGCTTAAAATCTCTGTCAAAAAATTTTTTGGAAACGGTTATCCGGAAACAATCGAAATTCAGAAAGAGCCAACCCACAGGTATCACTAATCAGGACTGCTGCGTAAAGCAGTGTTTAGGTATCACTAATCAGGACTGCTGCGTAAACGGAAATTACAGGACCCGCTTGTTGCTGTTACTAATGTTCGGTGACTACTCGTAGGACAACGTGATCTCTGTTGCTCGTTATCACTACACACTCCTTGCTATGGTGTACCGATTGCGCAAAGGTTTTACAAGCAAATGCTAATGACAAATCTTTTTTAGATTTTCAATCAAATGTTACTGACAAATGTTTTTCGCTACCAGACAAATGGTTTTTAAAAAAGTTAAACAGACAAATGTTTCTGACAAATGGTTTTACCCTCAGACAAATGTTTTTAAAAAATATTTGACAGACAAATGTTTCTTGACATATGTCAGAAACTTTCAGACAAATGTTACAGACAAATGTTTTTCACTGTCAGACAAATGCTACTGAGTCACTGACAAATGTCTTGATGTGATTGTAACTGCCGTCTTGTGCACCGGAAGCGCGACTACGGACTCTGACATTTTTTGCCATTGCGCAGTGCGCCAGTGCGCAACCACACAGTCCGCAGTGACTCCGCACTCCGAGATTTGCGGTGGTAGGCTCCTGACATCCGTCAGAAGCATTTGTCTGACTGTTTCTGACATTTGTCAGTAACATTTGTCTGTTAAATTTTTTAAAAAACATTTGTCAGAAACATGTGTCTGTTAAATTCTTTTTAAAAACATTTGTCTGGTAGCGAAAAACACTTGTCAGTAACGTTTGTTTGAAAACTGAAAAGCATTTCTCATTAGCATTTGTTTATAGAACCTTTGCGCAATCGGTACACCATACCTTGCTGCCGACTGAATCAAAAATAAAAAAATTATCAAAAATCAAAAAATTTACACTACTGTATCTACCGACCAAGCCTATTGATTACTGAACAAAGGATATTATTGTCCTCGATCAAAATTTATTTCCACGTACCAGTTATTAGCGAAGCAGAATTATTAGAAACGTAGCACCGCTGACCGCTCTCCGATTATTAGTCCTGCTACTTACTACATGTATTTTGTTTCACATAAAATGAACCGATCAGCTATATAAAGCTGTTTCCTGGTTAGTCAGATTAGAACAATGTGGGCATGCCTCCTGAATACTTCCAGAACATTTACTAAAAATCGCAGGCCCGGATAATCCTATTGACCCAGTTCCTATTTATGCCAGCAATTTTGACGATGCCGTGAATGCGTCGGAAAACGGCGTAAGACATTAAAACAGACGTCTCATTTTATACGTTACATAAAAGTTATTTACCACAATTACAGATGTAGCCAGGTAGGTTCAAAGATTTCGACGTTTGCGACGAATAAATACAAATAAATTCTTTACAATATATTGGTACAAGTGATCTTCGGCTTCGACGCCTCATATGCTCTTGTGGTCTACAGTCAATTCCTTGAAAAATAATTCTTGTTCATTATTTTTTTGTATGTTTTTACATTCACTTGTCAGTATGATTAGGCGCTGTTCGTAGCTTCAGTTAGCTGTTTAAACAGCTAACTGAAGCTACATCGATCTGTAATTACAGCGAGCACTGACAAAATTGGATTGCATAAAAAAAACTATATTCACATAAAACATTAAAAATTATTGCCCTTACCGCTACGCCGGCTGCGGTGACGCCTTTCAGTGGCTTAATACAAATATTAAGCCACTGAAAGTCGTCACCGTAGCCAGTCACATACAGTTGGATGTACAAATGTTACATGTTTATCTCCCGCACAGCAAAATCTATTTTGTAGAAGATTCCAAGCATTGGAATCTGTTTATTGCAAAGCGCGGAGCTGGCCACTCGCAGTGTACGGCTGACCACTGGCTGCAGTGCACCTGTTTTCGACGACGCATATATAAACGATGCGCACGCAGCCAGTGGTCATTAGAAGTTTCTTACTGCTGCGGTTTGAGGCTACTGATATCAGCTGCAATGACCTTTTCACAGGGAATTTAAGAATCTCAGTCAGATTAGCACGCACCCTTTCAGGCCGGTTTGCTAAAACGTTAGTTGAATTTTTGGAATATCAAGAATATCTTGCTAGTATGCGACCGTATTACTCCGATAGAGGTATTCTACTATTTGATGACGAATTTCGCTCCCTAGCTGAAGATGAAGGCTATAAGCTAAATGACTATCAGTACAGAAACGCTATCGCTGCGCATTTCATGAATTCAGAATTCCGGCGCCCCAAGTATTCAAGCAAACCCGGGACCGCCCGCACTTTCCACAACGTCAACGGCTACGCTAACGGCTACGCTAACAGCTACGGTAATAAAAATAACTGGGAGCCGGCCTTTCGTTCCCAGGATGCCTGTCGGGACTACAACCGGAAAGGATGTAACCGGGGAAACGAGTGCAGCTACCAGCACTTTTGTGGCCATTGTGAGGGACCACACAGGGCGCCACAATGTCCAGAATGGAAGCAGCGCAATGCCGGCGGGAGGCCTGCCGGCGGAGGACGCCAGTAACGGAAACCATGCCACTGCTACCATGGCTACTTCACATGACATGGCTACTTCCACTAACGCTGATTTGTTTGATAGCAGTTTTGTCTCACATTGTGTTACCCGCTTGTCTGACTTTCTCACTTCTGCTAACCCATTGTTCTCCTTAATACCTGACCCGGATCTGCCCTCTCGCTGTAGTTTAACAAGACATCTAGATAGCTGGTTAACGGAACTGAATAATGATACTGACAAGGAATTTCTAATAAATGGAATCTGTTACGGCTTTCAGCTAGTAAATGAGCTATCTATTATCCCCGGAGCAGACTGCAGGAACTATCACAGTGCTACGAATAACCAAACAAAACCACGGCTCCATATGAGATCAGTAACCCCTATGGCCAAGCGTACGTATTTTTGCGTAGCCACACCACTGCCACTTTTAAAACACAAAAAGGTGTACTGCTGTGATTAATTAGTCGAAGTGAATTTGAATATTATGCAATAATAATAACTCTGAATTTGTGATGTAATGCAGCTGACCCCTGTTGTGCCCTTGGCGAACACTGCGAACGCTGCGAATATGGGAAAACGATGTGGGATATATTTATCGTTAGTACCAATATTATATACAGTACTTGTATCTGTACTGCAGTCGGCTGGACACATTATTGTAATGACGCCTATTGTACAGTAGGTTACGTACGATATTGAGAGTTTTGGTGGTTGCTCATATTTATACCGCTCATACGCTTTGGTCGTACAAATGAATTTTAATACTTACTAATTGTTATTTACCAATAATTCATTTATACGATCACCGCACGCTATTGTACGTGTACGTAGCCGTAGTGCACATGCAGTGGGCCTCAGGTTTACGCTTAGAGTATTTGTATACTCGTTCAATTTTATATTTTTTTCGCTTTCCTGGTAACAGTGTTCTACTTAGATTATTTTTAATCATTGCTGATTAGTGCTAATACTTCGGTTTTGATAAACGCTCTTAAATTATTACTTGGTACAGTACTTGGTGGTTGTAGTGCGTCACTGCGTACGTTGTTATAACTTCTATTAAGGTCCCTCCTACATTTTCAGCATTCGCGCGTATTCGCCAGGTTCGCCAAGTTCATTTTAAGGTTACAAGATTACAACGTATCCAGGATACAATAACTGTTACAATTCTGGTACTTAAATACATTCAACTTAATGAAAACTGAACTAGCAATAGAAGGTAGCATTACTGATATACCGTACTCTAATACTGTTTCATCCATGACTACGAATGCCGTAAACAACTGTGCCCAAATCGGCGGGACCGGTTCATTTGTGACCACCTACTTCAGGAACCAATCACAACTGAGATGATTTCCACTATACACACTGCTTGGTTCTTCGAATTCCTCAAGCACGTATCATTTACCTTCCCGTTTATTGCTTATGGGATTTGGCCCGGTACATAGCACCAAATTTATATACATCCACGGCAACTTTCGCTGTCGCGCACTCCTAAACACTTTTTTGCATTGCTTTATGCCATTTTGTAGCCAAAGGATTTGTATACGTAGGAGTTAAATCCGTTTTCGCGCGCAACATTGCGCGCGCAGTTTGAAGCGCATCGGATTCGGTTCATAATGAGACTTTTGGTACACCTCCGCGCGTTTAAATTTTTGGAATTTTATTTCATTAATAATTACGAACCGGATGTTGCGCGCGCAAACGGATTTCACGCCTACGTATACAAACTCTTTGGCTACAAAATGTCATAAAGCAATGCAAAAACGAATTTAGGAGTGCGCGATGGCGAAAGTTTACGTGTATGTACCCAAATTTCGTACTATGTACCGGGCCAAATCCCTTAATGCTGGTTGCTTGAGTATATCATTCTGGGATAACGTTTCCCGTCATCGATTCGAAAATAACCGTAATAGATGAACTATTGCTCAAATAGTAGTAGTTTTTTCGTTCGTGATGTACTGCTTACTTAATTATTATCATCTACTATACTTTTGTATAACGCAATATTGTACATAAAAACCAAGTATCTACTTATCCAAAAATTCATCGTTGTAAAGTCGGTATATTAAGTGCTCTTCCTTATTGTGTAGTAACGTTTTTTATTTACAACTACTTGTGTAAGATTTCCAAGCAGTACGTTTCCGAATATGGAAAATTAAATCCAGCATATTATTGGGTATGCCTACAAAGGCTGACCTTTAAAGTAATCTTGGCGAACGCTGTGAAGGCTGCGAATATAAGAAAACCAAACCCGGCATGTCGTTGGGTATGCTTACGAAGATTGACCTTTAAAGTATCCTTGGCGAACGCTGCGAAGGCTGCGAATATGGGAAAATCAAGCACGGCATGTCGTTAGGTATGCTTATGAAGATTGACCTTTAAAGCACCCTTGGCGAACGCTGTGAAGGCTGCGAATATAGGGAAATTAAACTCGGCATGCCGTTGGGTATGCTTACGCAGATTCACCTTTAAAGTATCCTTGGCGAACGCTGCGAAGGCTGCGAATATGGGAAAATCAAACCTGGCAAATCGTTGGGTATGCTTACAAAGACTGACCTTTAATGTACCCTTGGCGAACGCTGCGAAACCTGCGAATATAGGAAAATAAAACCCGGCATGTCGTTGGGTATGCTTACGAAGATTGACCTTCAAAGTATATTTGGCGAAGGCTGCGAATACAGGGAAATCAAACTCGGCATATCGTTGGGTATGCTTACGAAGATTCACCTTTAAAGTATCCTTTTCGAACGCTGCGAAGGCTGCGAATATGGGAAAATCAAGCACGGCATGTCGTTCGGTATGCTTACGAAGATTGAATTTTAAAGTACCCTTGGCGAACGCTGCGAAGGCTGAGAATATAGGAAAATAAAACCCGGCATGTCGTTGGGTATGCTTACGAAGATTGACCTTCAAAGTATATTTGGCAAAGGCTGCGAATACAGGGAAATCAAACTCGGCATATCGTTGGGTATGCTTACGAAGATTCACCTTTAAAGTATCCTTTTCGAACGCTGCGAAGGCTGCGAATATGGGAAAATCAAGCACGGCATGTCGTTCGGTATGCTTACGAAGATTGAATTTTAAAGTACCCTTGGCGAACGCTGCGAAGGCTGAGAATAGGGGAAAATCAAACCTGGCAAATCGTTGGGTATGCTTACAAAGACTGACCTTTAATGTACCCTTGGCGAACGCTGCGAAACCTGCGAATATAGGAAAATAAAACCCGGCATGTCGCTGGGTATGCTTACGAAGATTGACCTTCAAAGTATATTTAGCGAAGGCTGCGAATACAGGGAAATCAAACTCGGCATATCGTTGGGTATGCTTACGAAGGTTCACCTTTAAAGTATCCTTTTCGAACGCTGCGAAGGCTGCGAATATGGGAAAATCAAGCACGGCATGTCGTTCGGTATGCTTACGAAGATTGACCTTCAAAGTATATTTGGCGAAGGCTGCGAATACAGGGAAATCAAACTCGGCATATCATTGGGTATGCTTACGAAGATTCACCTTTAAAGTATCCTTTTCGAACGCTGCGAAGGCTGCGAATATGGGAAAATCAAGCACGGCATGTCGTTCGGTATGCTTACGAAGATTGAATTTTAAAGTACCCTTGGCGAACGCTGCGAAGGCTGAGAATAGGGGAAAATCAAACCTGGCAAATCGTTGGGTATGCTTACAAAGACTGACCTTTAATGTACCCTTGGCGAACGCTGCGAAACCTGCGAATATAGGAAAATAAAACCCGGCATGTCGCTGGGTATGCTTACGAAGATTGACCTTCAAAGTATATTTGGCGAAGGCTGCGAATACAGGGAAATCAAACTCGGCATATCGTTGGGTATGCTTACGAAGGTTCACCTTTAAAGTATCCTTTTCGAACGCTGCGAAGGCTGCGAATATGGGAAAATCAAGCACGGCATGTCGTTCGGTATGCTTACGAAGATTGAATTTTAAAGTACCCTTGGCGAACGCTGCGAAGGCTGAGAATAGGGGAAAATCAAACCTGGCAAATCGTTGGGTATGCTTACAAAGACTGACCTTTAATGTACCCTTGGCGAACGCTGCGAAACCTGCGAATATAGGAAAATAAAACCCGGCATATGGTTGGGTATGCTTACGAAGATTGAATTTTAAAGTACCCTTGGCGAACGCTGCGAAGGCTGCGAATATGGGAAAATCAAGCACGGCATGTCGTTCGGTATGCTTACGAAGATTGAATTTTAAAGTACCCTTGGCGAACGCTGCGAAGGCTGAGAATAGGGGAAAATCAAACCTGGCAAATCGTTGGGTATGCTTACAAAGACTGACCTTTAATGTACCCTTGGCGAACGCTGCGAAACCTGCGAATATAAGAAAATCAAGCACGGCATGTCGTTCGGTATGCTTACGAAGATTGAATTTTAAAGTACCCTTGGCGAACGCTGCGAAGGCTGAGAATAGGGGAAAATCAAACCTGGCAAATCGTTGGGTATGCTTACAAAGACTGACCTTTAATGTACCCTTGGCGAACGCTGCGAAACCTGCGAATATAGGAAAATAAAACCCGGCATGTCGCTGGGTATGCTTACGAAGATTGACCTTCAAAGTACCCTTGGCGAACGCTGCGAAGGCTGCGAATATGGGAAAATCAAGCACGGCATGTCGTTCGGTATGCTTACGAAGATTGAATTTTAAAGTACCCTTGGCGAACGCTGCGAAGGCTGAGAATAGGGGAAAATCAAACCTGGCAAATCGTTGGGTATGCTTACAAAGACTGACCTTTAATGTACCCTTGGCGAACGCTGCGAAACCTGCGAATATAGGAAAATAAAACCCGGCATATGGTTGGGTATGCTTACGAAGATTGAATTTTAAAGTACCCTTGGCGAACGCTGCGAAGGCTGCGAATATGGGAAAATCAAGCACGGCATGTCGTTCGGTATGCTTACGAAGATTGAATTTTAAAGTACCCTTGGCGAACGCTGCGAAGGCTGAGAATAGGGGAAAATCAAACCTGGCATATCGTTGGGTATGCTTACAAAGACTTACCATTAAAGTATTGTTGATGTATGCATACAAAGGCTGACCTTTGGAGTACCCTTGGCAAACGCTGCGAATGGTTCGAAAATGAGAGGATCAGAACCGGGATAATTACAGTGACCGCAGCAGCCATTTTGGCAAACTGTGGGAATACAAGAATATAGGAAAGTCCGAATCGGCATATTTACAGTGGCCGAAGCAGCCCGCTCGGCGATTTGTGCGAATGCTGCAAATATGAGAAAATCAGATCTTGGATATATAGAGCAACTTCGCAAGCCACATTGGCGAACTTTGCGAATACTGGAGAGTACTGATAATTTAGGTCTGACCAGCAAACTAATCTCAACAATTCTCCTGTAATCGGCAACGCCCATACGCCCATACTATCGTCACCGACTGCTTTTTCAGTGGCTGCTGTATAAACCGAAAGACACATAAACGCTAATATTTGCAGACGAACCCACATTAACTCCAGAATGCATTGTTTCTGATGCAATAATTATCGTTTTGAAATGCGTACGTCTTTTGCGTAGGCTACAGATATGGGGTTACTGATCTCATTCTTTACCAAAACCACTTCTAGATCAACTGTTCAGAGAAGAATTAGAACTAGGACGCATTTCTGTTGTTGAAAGCAAACCCTTACGCGTAAACGCTATTGGCGCAGTACCTAAATCCGGTTCGACTGTTCCGCGTCCCATTACCGATTGTAGCAGACCATTTCCTAACTCAATTAATTCGTTTATTTCTCCTGAACCATTCAAGTTTGAAACAATTGACGACGTCGTGCAGCTAAGCGCTAAAGATAATTACTTCGCTATTGTTGACATCGAAGCAGCCTACAGGTCTGTCCCAATTTTCCCGGTACACAGAACGCTACAAGGTTTTAGATGGCGTTTGAACGAGAAAGAACAATTTTTTGTTGACAATTTTCTATGCTTTGGTCTAGCTAATGCGCCATCGATTTTTCAAAGAATCTCTAATTCCATCACTCGAATGATGCGTAGACGCGGTTATATCATCGTTTCGTACATTGACGACTTCATCTTGATATGCAAAACTTTTGAACAGTGTCGTGAGGCGCAAAACGTTTTAATTCAGTTGCTAGTATCTCTCGGATTTTCGGTAAAATGGAAAAAGGTGTTAGGGCCGGCTACGCGCATACAGTTTTTGGGGCTAATAATCGATTCTCAAAAAGGTCAAATCGAACTTCCGCTAGATAAGCTAGAAAAGCTAATCGCTATTTGTAAGTACCATGCTAGCAAACAAAAAATAAGCAAGCGAGAACTCCAAACGCTTGCCGGCTATATGTCATTCGCATCTAAAGCAATATATGGCGCAAGGCCTTTTTCGCGCATATTTTTTGACGCTATAAATTCTCTAAACCGGCAGTGCCATAAGCTGCGAATTTCTAAGTTGCTACGAGAAGAACTCTCTTGGTGGATCTATTTTGCTAGTTCAACAAACGGGCAAGTTCCCTGCAGATTAGGAGAAATCCGGGAAGTCATAAACATACAATCTGACGCTAGCTTTTCAGGTTTTGGTGCCGCCATGGGCATTTACTGGCTAGCGGGCACGTGGTTTGAATGCCAACCACCAAGCAAATTTAAAACGATATGGCTACCGCCCCCCGATGTTGATAAAACTTGTTCTGCTAATATAAATTACCTTGAGCTAATATCAGCTTGCATTGCCATATTAACATGGGCGCCGTTGTTCATTGGGAAACACATAACAGTTCTTTCCGATAACACAGCCACGGTTTCCTTTATAAACAGAGGGACCACAAAAAGTGCAACAGCGCTAAAATGGCTAAAATTAATTTTTTACGCGTCGCTAAAGTATAACTTCCGCTGTTCTGCTCGACATTATCCTGGCGTGGATAATATAACTGCCGATGCCCTCAGCCGCATAATGACTGAGCCGTCATACGGCGAGCTTTTGCTAGCTAACCGGGCCCACTGCCCGGCACATTCATATGACGTGCTCTACCCGGTTGCCGGCGTTACGGCTATCGAAGATTTCGAAAATCGTATGCGTAATGCTAATTTTTCAATACAGGAGAATTGATCACCGAGCTCAACCAGCTTAGGATAAACTCGTACTCAAGTTCATCCCTGCGAACCCGAATGAACCAGTGGAAACAGTACCGTAGCTTCTGTTCTCGCTACAGATTGCAAGCTGTTCCCGCTTCCGAGACAACAGTCGCCTTGTTCATTGCCTATTTAGCTCGCCGGCTAGAATATACAACAATTTTAAACTATGTCGCTAGTATTACCGCCTTACACAATTATCATAACGTCGATGCTCCCAATCTACACCACTTCGTCATTAAGCAGGCGCTAGCGGGTGTTCAGCGATCTCGCCTCGAACGTCCGAACAAACGAAAAGCGATCACACTCGATATTTTAGCTATTATACACCGCTCCCTGCTACTTATAAACAGACGCATCCGCAAGGCCTTTTGGGCTGCTTGTCTCACGGGATTCTTTGCCTTACTGCGTAGCGCAAATATGTTCCTTGCCGCTAATAACAGAAAGAAGAGTTTACAAGTAAAAGACTTGTCTCTGCTAAACAATCATGCTATCCTCTCAGTATCAGTGCTAAAAACTAACCGCTTTCAAGCTGCGACAATCAAAATCCCAATACCACAGATTCAAGGGACAATTTTCTGTCCTGTTCAAGCAATCTCAGCCATGATGCATAAAAGCAAACCATCACCTTCGGACCCGCTATTTTGCTACCGAATTGCCAACACCATAAAGCCGCTAACAGCTGCAGTCTTTAACCAATCGTTAAAGACAATCATGGAGCACAACGGCTATGATCCACTTAACTGGTCAACGCATTCGTTACGACGGGGAGGAACAACGTTTGCTTCCGCATCCGGACTGGGCGAAGACTTCATTAAAGCGCAAGGCAACTGGCGGAGCGACTGCTTCCAGGAATACATATCTCGCACCGAGGACCTACGCCGAGGATTTTGCGAAGCCATGCAATCAGCTGTAGGATCGGCAAAGCATAGCTAGCGTTTTGGGGGTTTGGAGGATGACCTTTGGCCTGTTTGTGTGTTTGTATTGACCATGATGTGCTGTACACCCGGCATCTGTGGATGCCAGTATGGTTATGCAATAAAACCTACCCCCCATTGCATTCTACTTGTTTGCTATTGTGTAGCGTTAATGCAATAATATGGATTGTGGCTAAATGCGGTCCCAGTGGCAAGCCTCGGCACTATGTTGTCAAATACCGAAGTTAGGATTTCCATTGCGCAGCGCATCGGCGCCCCAGTATGCGTCGAACACCGGTGCAAATGCGGCAGCACCGTTGACAAATGGGGATATCACGGGTTAGGATGCAAGCACCTGAAAGCAAAAATTTCCCGTCATAACGAAATCAGAGATGTGATCCATCGCGCCTGTGGGTCAGCCAGTATCCCTTCCGTTCTCGAGCCACCCGGCCTTTACCGCGATACCCAGAAAAGGCCGGATGGCATGACCTCGGTTCCCTTCAGTCAAGGAAAATCCTGGGTGTGGGATGTCACCTGCACGGATACCATGGCCTCCAGCTATATCGCCAAGACATACCAGGAAGCCGGCGCTGCCGCCACCATGGCTGAGGCGAAGAAAAACCACAAGCACGGATATCTACGCGATAATTTCAATTTCTCTGCTCTGGTTTTTGAAACAATGTGTGTGGGGGGTAAAGAATCGAAATGTAAGATGTCTACACTCGGTAAGATGCTTTTTGAGAGGACACAGGAGAAACGGTCCACTTAATTTCTGAAGCAGAGAATCAGTGTTGCTTTAATGCGAGGTAACGCTGCTTGTGTTCAGGAAACGTTTTGTATCGGTAAGAGACTGGACGAAGTGTATTATGTGTTGAAATGATGAGCTGCGTAATTTTGCTTTTAACATATGTTAATGTGAATAACCCAATTAAAGCCCTTTTAATATGCAGTATTCCTTTGTCAATGTAAACGTCAGTCATTACACAGCAAAACTTGATGGGGAAGACTAAAGACAAACTTATAAAAAAAGCAATAAGTTAATTTGTGCGTGTACTTGTACAACGGAATTAAAATGGGAGCACCAGTAGTTTCACAAAGTCAATTCAAATGTTGTGAACGGGAAAAAAGTGTTCTTCTACCTAACGAAAGTAAATTTCTTCAAAATAAACGCTTATTACAGTACTTTGAGCGTCACTGATGCCGGGAAGTTGGGAACTATTGCTTTCTGACTTACCAGTAATTTTACAACATTAAGTTCCGAGAAAAAAATTCAGTCGCCGGAAAAGTGCATAAATGAAAACTGACTCCTAATTTTTTTAATACTAAAACTCTAGTACGATATTTCATTTCCTTTTATTATTACGGAACGATATATAAAGGTAGCGGCGTAACAACCTTAACGGTTTTGGTGAGAATTTAAGGTATTAATTTTATTATTTAACAATATTAATTAAAAATCGTATCCATATTTAATGCACTTATATATATTATCATCATATTATAAAGTACATTATATTTATTATCATGCAGATTTAACGATAAGTATACTTGTACTCGTACTTCGTATTATCAATGTGATTTGACCAATGCTTGCAGCGCCCCCGCTGTCCCAATAAACCACCACAACCTCGCAGTAGGCGGGGCTTCGGTGCTCAGCTGTGACCATTGGATATTAGCCCAAGTCCATTGAATTCACACTGGCACATCGAGACCAGCCGTGACGCCGCATTTTAATCAGTCGATCCTTTTGTGGGTTCTTGAAATTAAAGTGTCAGCCAGTTTAGCGACTTCCATCGCTTCAGTTAGGTTTATTCGCTGAGACTGAGTTGGTCACGATTTGTTGATCCTAGTAGAATTAAAATTAGATCTCTAAACCTTTTGGTTTGTGATAAAGTGTGTCGGAAGAATCCGTCCACTCTCCTGGAAGTCCGTCCACACTCCTCAAAGAGTTTGCGTTGTCGTTTTTATCTATCCCGTCCGTCGTTCTCCGGTTTGAAGATGAATGATCTGGTAAAGATCCTAGTCGGTGGATTCCTCCTATCAACAGGTTAGTTATTAAAATAATCATGGATTTCTCCTGTCTGTTTAAAACTCAAAGAGCTGAATGATTGATGTGAAATGAAAATTTTTGGAAAAAATCCTGCCTGAACTTCCTGGTTTTCCTAAACGTGTGGGACCAAAGTGGAAATTTGAAATTAATTGGAATCGTTCGTTTCATATTGTTAAAATAGCGAGTCGTTCATCTGTGGAAACCGATGACTGAAAAATGCAGAAATGATAATATTATTGTAATGTAAAAAATTTTGCAAAAGCATAAAATGTGTGTGGTGTAGACTTTCTGTGATTTTTTATTGATTTCGATTTTTAAATGGAAATACTGTAATCTCGGTAAGCATTAAATTGAGGGAAAATTTACCGTTAGACAGACAGGTTAACTTTGAATTAAACTCACTTGAGATTTTTATCAAGAAATAATTCATAATTTATCAAATAAAACTAATATCACAGGAAAAATAATTCTTCGTTATTTTTCCTGCGGCAGTTATCAGTTTTACCGTTGTTCTGCAGATTAATAATATTAATTTATTTTTATAAAACTTTTTGCGGTTGTAACAGGCTGTTAAACCATTCCGAGCGAAAATCGCCAGAAATGCCTGTTTACTGTGATTTCCATGCGCGGTTCCTCGAACGCTCGGAGCCGTTGATTGTTCTCTATTATGCAATCGGCTTTAGCCAAAAAGCCTGTCTGCGCGGTCTTAGCCCATTCATTCGCACGTGAATCACTGGATCGCGTCCGGTTTAATTAGCTGACCAGTGTAGAAGAGGCAGACAGGCACATGTACATAGACAGCGAATTTTCTGAGTCGTGTGTCAGTTGATTATTACCGGTCATAAAGCATGACCGCAGATAGCACTGCACGATAAGGCAGGAAAAATTCCAGAAATTACCCAACCTGTAGTCGTAAATCGGCCATTATCCCGATTGAAATTTGTTAAAATAAATTCCCTGCAAATTAGTTATGTGGAAAATTGCGGTCGAATTGTCGTTCTTTGGGAAATTTTTATGTTTTCGTCCGTTGGAGCGAAGCGTGTATTTTGCACGATTAACAATGAGTGTGTGTTAGAATTTTTGACCGATAAAGCATTCTTTACCACGCGGGCAATAAATTTTGGTACGAAAGTACTAGTAATTCGGTAATTTTGAATTCTGCAGTTATCTGATCTAATTTCGAGATTTGTTGGTAATGAATACCTTCAATTCCTGCAAAATTATTAAGCTGTTACGCCACTACCTTGAACGATCCGTAATAAGGAAAAGAAAACGAAATATGAGTTTCGTACTGAAAAATAAAAATAAATTCCCATTTTGTCACTTTTCAGGCGACTGCAATTTTATTTCTGACCTTATGTTTTACGGTACTGTAATTTTGATGGAAAGTCTGAAATGCGAGTAATATTTTCCAGCATCTGTGACATGAAAAAAAAATAATTAATAGATATCTATTTTTCAGTAATTTGCTTTCCTTAGTTTGAAGAACTCGTGTTTTGTTCACAACATTTTTGAATTGAACAACAAGTGAGTGGAACTATTTTATGCTAACAGAAATTGCAGATGAGGTTGTCAATTCTTGCAGTGTCCGCCGTATTTAACCCGGATATCGACATTGTATTCGCACCCTGGACACCGACCGGCATAAAATATGTCCAACAGAATTCCACTGTAGAAGTCAAATGCTCGGCCATGAGCAATCGGATGTTATTTGTCGCCAATAGTACTCTGGAAAGTAATAGCACCGCTAAATTCCGGTAAGCTATTTTCTGGTCTTATTATGCTTAAGAATGATTTAATTTATTTAATATAATTACCGTATTATTTTTTGAATAATAGTACAGAATTCCTTAGCGCGAAAATATCCGCTGAATGTGTTTTGCAGATTTGAGGCGCCTTCAATGGAGCTGCCGGGTGATGACGGGAAAACGCACCGCTGCTCGCCGATGGCCGCAGCCAAGATTGAACGTTTTGGCGCGGAGAATGTGGGCAATTATACCTGTTTGGTGACGATTGGCGGTAAAGTTGAGGGCCACCGCAGTGTCTTCATCAATTATTTTCGTAAGTTTCGCCTGTATTACTATTAACGTCAAATAATAAATTAACATTGTAAGGTAATCTTTTTATTAGTAGTAATTAGTTGCATGACAATGCAATTACGCCGATGCAAGACAAATAAATTAAAAATTACCGCGTTGTATTACAGCCAGCCTTAATTTATCTGGTACAGCGGAGATCGTTTTCACTTATCTCGGAGCCGACGAGGTGGAGCTGGTGTGCAGCACGCCGACGGTGCCCCACTGGGCGTTGGGCGGGGTCACCGTGTACTGGCAGTTTCCCAACGGGACCAACATCACCAAGAGTACGTTGTGTTTGGATTTTCTGTTAGTTTTCGCTCTCTATTTTTGCCTCTTGTGCTCGGTGAGACATGGAGAAGTGATTTTGAAATTTTAATTTGCAGCTCATGAACTGGTCCCCAAATATGCCGCTAACGGTTTGACGCTGACCATCACCAACGTGTCGCGGACCGACGCTGGAGCGTACAAGTGTATCGCCTATCAGGTCGTGCCCAACGCCAGCGATGACGGCAGCGATCACATCGATGTGGCGTCGCGGATGATTACGTTGGCCGTCGAACGTACGTCGTGAAATACTCGCTTATCCGTTTATAGCTTTTAGTGTGCAGATTTGCAGTCAGTTTTTATATAATGTGCGCGCTTCTAGTTTTAAGTTAGCTGTTTCCAGAGAAATTCATTGTGATTTGTATGTTTATCGCAGGTGCTCCGGAGTTTTTTGAATACCTGACCAAGGTGCAGCGTGGTGCCGATAATATGGTCAATCTGACTTGTGACGCCGTCACAGGCGGCGCGGTGGATCCCGTGTTTACCTGGTCCCGCAACGGAACGGAATTGCGCGAACTGGACGACAAGAACGCGCCGCCCTGCACACACCGCAGCTGCCCCATTCCCTTCAGTGAGGACCACTCGCTGTTTGACGATATCCGCTGCACAGCCACGAATGCTTTTGGTGAAGCGTCCAAGGCCTTCAGAATCATCGATGGTAAGCTAAATTTGATGAATGATAATTAATAATAATTTTTACTTACTGTACTCCAGTTTTTGGCACATTATTACTAATTATGAGAATCCGGTATCACATTACGGAAACTTGTAAGAATTCGGCGAGTACATCTTGCTGACAAGAATGTTTTGATTTTAACTTCCTTGATTAGTATTATTAACCTAATTTTGTAAACCGAAACATTTGGCAGGTATTCATTTTCTTGATTTTTTTTAATACTGTTTGATTAGTAAAAGTAAATAGTTACCTTGATTGTAAAATCTTAACTACAGACTATCCCAACAGTTTGTACCGTAATTTTTATGCAAATAATTCGATATTAAAATAATATTACTGTACAAAGGACGTACCAAAAGTAAGTTTCCCTATTTTGCCTCCCTGCCATCTGAAGTAATACTCGACCTGAGATAATTTTTGTTACATAAGCAATTACGTAAACTACCCAGGAAAATTAGAATCAAATGCTTTGATAAGAAACGGGAGAAATAAGAATAGCTTGTACCACATTTTCAACTTCGCCACAAAATTTTCAAAACCCATTCCTTCTGGCTTCTTGCATCAGTCCAGTTTTTGGCCGTAAAATAAAATTGATAACTGCAAATAGTGTGCTTAATATTTTTCTAGTGGCAGATCTTTCTATTTTCCCAGAAAAACGGTACGGGTATTTTTTTTGTTTCATATTCCATCTTGTACATTATTTGGCATTACTGTAGGCATCAAAACCGCAACCAGTATGGAGGCCATCCACCCGCCCGTTGGTTACAGCGGTCGAGTCCACCGCGAAACACCGCTGGTGTATCCGTCAGGACCATTCACCAATGGACACTTTGGGAGCGGATCGTTGAATGTGTATAATGGACCGGTGTTCCCGGATGTGAAATCGGTTAATCCGATTATAGTTCCGCCGGGATATGGTTTTGTGCAAGGTTACGGGTCTGTGTACGGGTATAATTTCCTTGTTCCCATGAGAGTGTTCTAAGTACACCCCGTTCACGCCAAGTTGGCGGTGTGTCATTTTAATTTTCTGTTGAATCGGGCAGCTTATGTTTTGCCAATCTTTTTAAAGGTTATAGTGTAGTTTTCTTTTGCGCATTTACTGAACAAAAACGTAATGGATTATCGGTTGCTGTGTCGCGAGAAATGCCTTCCGAAGCGAAGGCACCGATGCTCAACGTAGCTTTTAAAAGAAAGGTCAGGTGTACCGTTTCACCGCGTAGTCACCAAACATTAATAAATACAGATCAAATAATAATTTACTTACTAATTCATGTGTCATAGTATTCTGAGATTCTCCAATAAAGCTAGGTGAGACAGAATAAATCAAAAATCCAACTCAGCGATTTTATAAAGGGCAGAGACTGTGAACACGAACGTAAATGTATGAGTAGTACGCATTTGTCTGGTACAAAATGATACGAAGTAACTATATCGGTGGCTCCGTAAAAGTTATGATAGTAAAACATTCTGGGAATATCCAGTGACTATTATTATCCACCCTTGGCGAGCTGAACACAAGCAGCAACAGCCTGCAAGGCTGCGAAATTTAATTAACTAAAGTGATTGTTTATGGGCGCTTCAGCAAAACCACTAACAATATTTTGAAGTGGCATCCACCTCAAACTTACACCGCAATTTAATGCCTTCACTTTCCACCTCATGAAGTCATTCGTATGACTATGAACTATGAAGTCAAGTTTCATTGACTGTTTTTAATAGCGCCAAAGTCGACGAATTTAAAGTGTATTTTATGGAAACTGGTAATTAAGCAATGGCCAAGCGTACGACTCAAGTATTCATTGGAAATCTCGGTAACGATGGCGATAAGGAAGAGATTAAAGACTTGTTCGGCATCTTTGGTCCCGTCCGGAACGTGTGGTTATCCCGAAATCCTCCCGGGTTCGGTTTTGTTGAGTACGCTTATGCACACGATGCCAGCGAAGCCTGTTTGTATCTCGACGGGAAAATGATCTGCGGTCGGCGAGTGCGCGTGGAACTTTCGCGTTATGATTTATCACGACAAAGCGATGCCACAAAAGACCGAAATAGTCCATCAGAATCAGAGCGCAGCAAAGACAGAAGTTCGAAGAAAAGCCATGAACAACGGGACCACAACCGGCAAAGCGTATCTGAGTTCAGTCGAGAAGAGTCAACACCACTGACAGCTGAAAAGTCATCACCAACCCCGGTATCCGAAAGGTCATCAACCCCGGTATGTGTATCCCAAAGGTCACCAACCCCCGTACATGCATCCGAAAGGTCGTCAACTTTATCTCCTAGCCGAATGTTAACAGTACTGGATGAGTGCGCTTATTCGGATGTGGATTCAGATCAGTCGTCACCGGGACACGTCGTTGACCAGTACATCGCCGAGACGGAAGATTGCGGTGTTCGCAAGCGGAGCTTATCCGAAAGCTGCTCTCAGTCATCTACTTCCCTTGCAGATCAGCATGTTAAGCGTCTTTGTTCTGACGAGCGCGATGAAAAAGTTTCGGAGTAGGCAGTTATTTGTGGCCGGTCGTATAATGGAATGAACGATGGTAGTGTTAAGAGTTAGTACATTCTGGGACTCTACAGACTGGTAACCCCCGTACGTGGCCTCTAAAGGTCACTATATAATAAACACCGGTAAGTGAGCGCACAGACTAAAAAAGGTACCATCTTTAACAGGTGCAATTAAAAATAAACTGGTTGAATTTGTTTTACATATAGCTTCTCTAATTGCTTACGTAACTTTTTTTTCAGGTAGGTACGCAAAATACGCGCAGTCATTAGATGTCCGCCAGTGTGTATCGTATTTCATCTTGAGTGCCATGGATTTATGCATTAGAGCTAAGAACCTGCCATCCAGTTTTCCTGCAAATGGAAGAAATGTGACAACGAGACTTAAACGTTTTTTCAGTGTTACTATGTTTATCGCCACAAAGTTATTACTGTAATAGTGGTCTACAGCTATTACGCACTGAAGTATTGGGGTTTAAAATAATTACTCGCACTATGTTCTCGTAACAATTCATTGGTGTAGATACTATTCGACATTTTATAATAAAATTAAAGTTCAAAATTAGCTACTCAAAATTGATTTAAAGGAGCTACTAGTAGCAATACTTCATCTACAAAGTTTTGTAGGTACAGTATTGTACAGAGTAATATCAATGATTACATTTTTGTTTTTTGAGGTAGTTTTGTGCAAGATCGATGCATGCGTACGTTGCAGAAATGAACACTTTCACACGGGGTACGAGTATAACACGACACACGATAAAAATAAATCCACTGACAAGTTTTCAAATATTATATGCCCCTCGTCTTGAGTCGCACACCGATATGAGCCTGTAAACTCTGTATTTACAAGTTTATAATTACAACCATCAAATACAGAAATTAAGGTGAAGGCTCCGCATACCACCTTTATACCACCGTTGACTTCTAGTACCACCTTTCACACCACCTTTGGCTTTTTATACCACCTTTTGCACACCACTTTTGACTCCGCATACCACCATTTAATTTTAAAATTTTAAGCTGAAGTTAAACTGCTATCAAGCGAATTTTGTGGTATCAAGAAGTGAGATCCAAATCTTTCGGTATACCAGCTGCAAAAGACGGCAGTTCGAAGGCGTTCAGTACCGCAATCGACGCTATGGAAAAACAGTACGAACACACACCGGAAGTTCTTTTTCTGGATGCAGTCTATACTGTCAACGTTGCAAACATCGCACACTGAAAGAGGTATCCGAAAATGGATAGTGGAGTGTTGTGAAAAGAAAGAATTTCTAACCCTTCAGACTACATAGGCGAGCAAATAAAAATCATGATTTAATTTTATAACCTCCTATGCAGCTTTGTATGAAGAGCCGATCTTAAACTTGGCTGCACAGGCAAACCAATCGGATGTCCCAGATACCATTATTTCATAATAAACCAACTGGAAAAAAATTAAATGGTGGTATGCGGAGTCAAAAGTGGTGTACAAAAGGTGGTATTAGGAGCCAAAGGTGGTATGAAAGGTGGTACTAGGAGCCAAAGGTGGTATGCGGAGCCTTCACCAATAATTAAGCCCATAAACAAATGCGAACCGGAAAAACAATCTTAACACATGTCAAAATTAAAGTCGTTATTTGTTGATAACGGATTCTACTAGTATATAATACGCACTTCGCTGCTGGACGTTAACAACACTTGCATCAACTAACTTTAATAATTTACGAGGGAGCGCAGAAAGGGAATAACTGAATCGAAAAATAAACAGTTCTCAATGCGAATATTGTACGAGTACAAAGGTAATTTGGTATAGTCCTATGATTCCTATCTACAGCGAAAACTTCGTTTCCGTGGATGTAGAGATTGTCGGAATCAACGAACTGGTAAACAGTCGTAACAGAAAACACCCAGGTCTACTGTGCTGCTTAAAAGCATTAGTCGATGACGGTTTCGCGTGGGAGGATTTGCGCGCGGTAACCCAAAACAAGGACAGGCTGACGGTTCGGGAAATGGAATACTTCTATTCATAGCATTATTATTAATATTATTAGTCCCTGTGTCTCTAAGGCACACTACCAGCGGGTGGCAGTTGACATACAGATTGTAGACGGTACGTACGGTACGAGTCTGGGAAGTTGGGAACTATAATAAAGTCATAAAAATTTTACAATAATAATTATGTAAATGAAAATAACTATTGTAACACAGTAACATTGTTTAAAAATTTCATACCACGTCTTCCTTTCTGTTTCTGACTGTTAAGTCAGTTAAGGAAATTAATGACCGAAGTAGCAGAGAACTGTCTCTACTCCGACGAATAATTAAATATTCTGACGATTGTAAAAATTGGAGGAGTGGAGAATCGGAGATAGTGCATCAATTTTCTGGGAATCAGAAATGAAATTACCTGCAAGCTTATTTCATACCCTCATTACTGTGTATGGTGTAAGTTCAACCAAATTAGAAATTAAAGGCAAATAGTCAGTAAAGTAAGTAGCAGTGCAGTACCCAAGCGACAAAATATCTTATACGAAAAGCAGCAGATCGCACGTATGCTGAGGTGGAATTTTATCATTCATCGCGCTGACGGCTATGGCGAAGCTGGCATCGAGACAAATTAACACATCATGCACAGTCCGAGGCAGTTAAAAACAGTTAAAAAATCAGAGCTGGAATGCTGATTCGATAGAAACAAAATCAAATTCCCGTTGATTACACATTGGCCCACATATGCATACAGAGAATTCACTGGCTAACCATGTTCGCAAATAAACTTTCTTGAAAGCCGTAAAATCCATCTTTTTGTACATTTTCTCCCGTGGCAGACCCGTTTATGCGGCTAGCCTCCCATCCGGATGCTCTGAATGATCTGAAATATAGCCGATCCACACACGACGAAGATAAATAATCCCAGAAGCCAGGGTCCAACTGTGCGATCTCCTTCAGGCTTGGACGGTTTAACATTGCCACGCTGGGTGACTTTCTTGCTGTGCTGCTCATTCTGCAGACGCATGCGCTGTTTGGCGGCCATGTTTTCCTGGGACGAGAAACGGGAATGACACGGTTGGGTAGATCCACGCGGTAGAGTACTGCACGGCTAAGGTACACGATAAAGCGTCGATAACGAGAACAGTAGCTCTACCAAAAACCTACTAACGATGCACCAACGAAAAGGTACGTGATTTTCAACGAAAATCCGATGTTGAAATTTGTTGCGTGGTCGGCAGGCGGAGTAACCAGACGCATTCGACGTGGCGGAGTTTTCTGCGTTCTGATTGGTTGGCTGCTATATTTACGATCTATATTGTTTTTCATTGGCTGGCCGGTACACATGCTCCAGATAGGAAACCACGCAGAACACGTAGCGGTATTCACTTTAAAGGTAATCTATGGCAGCCATCGCATGATGATAATTGAGTGGCAACTTGACAATTCTGTTGTTTAACAGTTTTGACATAAGTAGTTCCACATGCATTTCTGAGAAGAATTATCTGAAAATACTCGTAGTACCGTATTCTTGACTTGTCGAGCAAGTTTTGCCATATCGCCAGGAGAGAAGGGATGTGCACTGTGCAGCCCTAGCATCTACTTTCGGTCGATTTCATACTGATAATAGATAAGTACAAACAATCGTTTGCTCGGTATTTTCAGTTTATCGGAGTCAGAGAAAATAAATATTCCGAGATCCTTTAATATCTGTACAGTGCACGTAAGTATTTGTGGCATTTTTCTGGTATTATTACTATAAAATCATCTTGCAAATTTGCCTGTGATCCAACTTGTTACAACAAAAAATTTCCGTAAAGAACCCGGCACGTAAACAATAGAATCCGAATTACATATTAAAATTCGGCTACAAATTCTTATCTATCACTTCTGTCTGGCAATACTACCCTACACAGTCCACCACTTGACAGTATTAAGCAGAAAATGCGTACTTCAGGCAACAGCAAATTTTATTAAGCGAAACAAAACTGCCAAAAATGATTTTCCTTTTAACACTGTGCTTTCACAACTCTGTACAGATATAAAAATGTACACAGCGGCATTTGATGAGCATTGTACAATCAGAAGCGGCATGGGATTTCGAGCAATAGTAAAGAGTTAATGCGGATCCCAAAGCATGCGGGAATCCACAAGGAACTGTTGAACGGAAGCCACCGAAGACGACGATTCACAAAAAAAACCAAGATTCAACCTCGTTTCAGTTACTGAAGCGTGAAGAGCAGACCATTGCTTAAAAAAAGCCTCCTAGACGATGGTCTGCCGTTTGTTTAAGCTGTTGGGGGTGGTTCGGCGTGGACGACATGTCCCGGCTCGGTGGTAGTGACCACTCGTTCATCACGTTCCAGAAGAACATGGGCCTGGGGTTCCACATGAACCCCTGGAATTGTCGAAGGGGCGTCAGCCGGAGGAGCAACAGGAGCCGGAGCGCCTAGCAGCGTAAAAAATAAATTAAAACAAACCACTGAAACAAATCGTGGTAGTAACTGTTCCTCTTATAAACTTCGACCGCTGTGTCATGTTCATATTCAGATACTACCATAATAATTATGGTATGCGGTAGCAGTCTGGGTAGCATTAAACACAGATACGACTTACGAGTATACTCACAATCAGTACAGTATCCGATCTTTCTTAACCCAGTACCAGGCTGTCGATACTCGATACCACCTTTTACATTTTCGTAATATTAAAATAAAATAAAACTATAATGTTTCTTACCAAGGAAATATAACTTATTTTCCCAGATTGATCTTAGTAAATGGTTGAATACACGGCTTTTATGGATGATGGAACAATGAACATCCTCATCAACTTAACGGTATTATCGATTATTCCAGTACAGATACTTCACATGTCTGACGTCAATGGAAATTCTTATAAAAATAAACTGCCCCATTGACCGCCAAACCCATACCTAAAATAGCATCCTTCACAGCCTCCACCGCGTGCACAACGCCCTCCTTTGCCTGCTGCAGAAACGATTTTTGATCCTGTACATGCGCTTCAGCATTGTCCAGCCCCGTCTGCACTTTATCATGAGCGGCATCCGTGGCTGAACGGGTCTTATCGATAGCCGCTTGTGCCGCTTCTTTGGACTTCTCATCCGCTGCCACCTTGACATCTTCCACCTTCTGCTCGACCGTGACTTTGGCATCATGTGCGGTGTGGGTGACAGCCGCTGCCGCGTCCTGCACGGACTGGGCCACCAGATGCACCCCCTCCTGGGCCTTTTGGACCGCGGTTTCCGCGCCGTGAACGACGGCGTCCTTGGTGGCCACGGCGCCCGCTACGACCAGGTCTTTGGCGGCAATGGCAGCGCCCGCAACGGTGGCAGCGCCTTCCACGGCCATGTGGCCGGCAACTGCGGCCTTATCGGCCACAAAATGACCGGCTGCAGCACCGGCATCGGCGACAACATGGCCAGCAGCGGCGGCAGCACCGGCCACGGTCGCCGCTCCTTCCACGACGGCATGACCGGCTGCAGCAGCGGTATCGGCAACGGCATGTCCGGCAGCAACGGCGGCTCCTAACAAATGGAAAATTCTCTTAATATTTAAAGCCAGTTAACCAAATATGCAAGTTCTTATTCTTGAGACTGAAAGGACAACAAAGAATTCATAAGACAGAAAGATATTTTGCAGTATGGAACAAGATCTTTTTAAATTTTTTAGTACAAGTTCTGCTTAATCAGTAGTCCAGCATATCACAAATTTACCAGCCAGTTTGCGAAAAAAAGCATTGGCATGAGAAAGAATCATATGTTGCAGTACGGACAAAATCATTGAAATTCTTTAGCTGAGTATTATAACACAAATTAAACGGTTTCATGATAAAAAATATGACTACTGACTGTCAGCAGGGGCAACCTACCGACAACCATATCTTTGGCCGAAGCGGCTCCTTCCACAACCGCTTCCTTCACCTCGCCAGCCTTCTCGGCGGCCACATCCACAGCTTCCTTTGCGCCCTCCTTTACTGTCGCGGCGGCATCCGCGATATCCTTTTTAATTTCTTCCTTCTTTTCAACGGCTGCCTCCTTCACATCATGGACTGTTTGTTTAGCGGCGTCAATTGCTTCGTTCACGTCTTTCTTGATTTCCTCCTTTTTCTCAACGGCTGCTGCCTTCACGTCCTGCGCTGTCTCCTGGGCCGCTGCCACCGCGGCATTCACATCCTGCTTGATTTCTTCCTTCTTAGCCACAGCGGCATCCTTGACATCGTGTGCGGTTTGTTTGGCGGCATCCACCGCTTCACTGACATTCTGTTTGACTTCTTCCTTTTTCTCCTCCGCAGCGACTTTGACGTCGTGCGCGGCTTGGAGTGTAGCATCGACGGCTTGGTTTGTCTTTTCTTTCACAGCTTCCTTCGCGTCATGGGCGGTTTGTTTGGCCGCATCGGATAATTCATGGGCTTTCTGGGCGGTGGCATCGGCGGTGTTTTGCACACCTTCCTTCACCGCTTCCGCTTTTTCTTCGGCTTTATGTTTCACATCTTCCTTGATTTCATGGGCCTGCAGAAGATAACATTACAAAAAACGTGTTTTTCTTCCTGTTTTTGTTTCTTAAGAAACGTAAGTATAGTAAAATGCGAATAAAAATTAATAGGTAGCAGACCGATACCGTTAGCAAATAAAACAGTAAATATATGCAAGTGTGCTGTCTCACATAATTCTAATGACAAGTACCTGCTGCTTGGCGTCGTGGACACCTTGCTGCACCGCTCCGGCAACTTCATGCGCTTTCTGTGCAGCAGCATCTGCAGCATGCTGCGCTCCTTGTTGAATGTTGTGCGCTGTTTCCTTGACCTGCTCTTTGGCATGTTCGGCTTTGACATGAGCATCATGGGCAACATCGGCGGCTTTGGCTTTGACATCCTCTTTCACTTCATGAGCTTCCTGTTTAATACCTTCAATGGTCTGCTTCCCGGATTCTGCGGCATTATGAAGTGCGGTGGCCGCGGCGTCTTTTGCTTCATGTGCCTGAGAACAAATAATTATTATCACTAAAATGCAGCTTTCAAAACTTGCAACATCACTGCATGTTTTAATTGTATGATTTAAAATTCTCAAGAGACGAGTATGCGATTAAAAAGAAACAACGAAATAAGACAGATTTACTGAATGGTCTACGACGTAGTACAGTAAATTAGCAACTGTGACTTCCGGAAATTCTGACGTTTAAAGTTTTAACGCTGGATTGCCACATAAGCGTCTACGAGTAATAAAACTCAGTAATTCAATAACTCAGTAGTGTTTGGTTTAACAGTAATCAAAAAAGCTTAATACAGTTAAACCGTGTTTCCTGTCGTTATCAATAAACTTGAAGCAAAAACAGGCGATCAATTATGTAACGAAGTAGCAGAAAATGAAAAATGTTATCCACTGGTCGCATTTCCGTCATTCAACGCATTACGATATTACTGTATCAGTGTATCTTAATCACTCCGTGTTAATATTACTCTGTAATCAAAAACACATATTTATAGTATTAAAAACATCAAACATCGATACTATTTTATTAGATTTTGCGATATCTACTAAAGCTTTCCAATACTGCTTGTCACATAAAAATTAAATTCATACGCTTTTAAATTCGCGATCTATTTTAAAGGCCGTTATGATATAGACAGACACACCCTAAAACATTTTAATTTATGGGACGGTTCGTGAAAGCATGTTACGAGTCGTCTCCCACCGCATGAATATTCAAACAAATTTCTAGCCAGCGGGAAGGACAGTGAGCTCATAACCCATTTAACATTTTTCCCCGCACAGTTCATTACTTGAGCAATAACATTCCTCCCGGGACAAGCATATTAACATCGTTTCCCCGGCTCGATAAATCGAAAGCCGGATTGGAAACAACCCACCACATGTCACATTTTACCGACCCAGCTCTGCCAGTCGTAAGTTATTTTACGGCGGAGGCCATTTATTTTAAGACTAACTACAGATCCAAGCTGTATGGTGAGGCTGGAACACCACACACCACCGCGAGTCAAAGAGAAAAAGGTTATCACATTTCCGGTCAGCTGCACAGCTGGAATCGCTGTGGTATGCGTAGTGCCAACATTAGTTTTGAGAGCCTGTTCTAAATCGGCTTTTCTTCACATGATCCGTCCGACAGCGTCATGAGTTAGAGCATCACAAGTCAGGGATATTTTCGCTTTTCATAAAAATCACCATGGTACAGTCACAACTCACACCCACCAAGCAGTGACGAATTTCACATGCCGCATGCAAGTCCGCTGCTGACTGTGAATGCCGACGCGTGTCTCGTAATTAAAAAACAAATCTAATACTCGCAGTATTGTATCTGTACTTACATTGTCACACGCTGTAGTTCATTCACCAGGGAAACGCGTAAAAATTGCCGTATTTCCTTGCGACACTTCCTCTTTCAGAATAAAAATTACGTTCACACTTCACAGTTCCATTATACGTCTACACCTCACTTGACGCCCTTGACGGCTTCCTATTATTTCGTCCACCATTCATTTTGTCCACCATTCATTTTGTCCACCATTCATTTTGTCCACCACTCATTTTGTCCACCACTCATTTTGTCCACCACTCGTGTGGTGGACAAATTTTGTAGTTCAGCACTCTTCCCTTCCGATTAGTCAAAGAAAACGTCACCTCAGCCATTATTATCATATATAAATAATCACAATCTAATTGCGCAGGATATCGTGCTCAATGTATTTTTTATTCTTCGACTTTCAGATAATAATAATATCATTCTTAACACTCAACTGACAAGGGAGTTCGATTTACATAGAAGTATACGTACTTGCAGATGCAAGGAATTAGATGCGCGCTACATCATGTGCATAAATCGAACTCATCTGTATTGCTTGCCTCAATGTCTACTGTCTGCTTATTACTTAACCCGCTCAGTTTCGAGACGCATAAACAGCTGCGCAGTACTGGGTACGTTATCAGTATTACGTGCAAATATGCCAAAATTTTAATAACCGCAACGTATATTATTGTTGTAGCAATGGCATGCGAACTGAAATCACAGTAACGAATACTAATGATATACGAATTGCGTGTGTATACAATCTCATACAAAGTATTATGTTTTAGATTGCTGCGCGCATCTCAGTTTATTAAATTCATTTCACACTAGCTTTGTCTTATAGAAAATAAAAATACCGTACTCTATGAATTGTATAGTGGACAAAATAAATGGTGGACAAAATGAATGGTGGACAAAACGATGGGTGGACAAAACGATGGGTGGACAAAATGAATGGTGGACAAAATGAATAGACACGCACTTGACAACCATCAGACAACAGTATGAAAAACAGAAAGAATAGTAAATTACTGCATTTAAACAATTCAGATACGATCGAAAACTCAAAGCGACAAAAACGCGATGAAGCTGAACGTTTTTTTCCGATGATAATTACATTTAAGGTAGCTGCAGCAAAATTAAAAACTCGTAAGTTAGGTAAGTTAATTGATAAATTAAAAACGATGCACACGGCGCGCTCAGGAATTCGAAGTTCAAGAAGCGCTACAACTTGACACTTCATTGCTTCAACAAAAATTATGGAATTTCCCGCGTCTACGATACTGACATTTAAGTGCATCTCTGGCAAAATAGTTACCGTTAAAGACTGTAGCCGACTACAAATACAGCCCACAATAAACTTTGTAACGATTTCCCAAAAACATTATAATTAATCGTAACTAAAATAATTCAACAAGGTAACACCGTAACAGCAGCAATATTTGAACTAAGAAACTATCCAATTCCACACCATACCTTGTGCACTCCGGCATCCACGGCTTGGTTCACATCGTGCTTCACTTCCTCCTTTTTCTCATGCGCCGCAGCCTTGGCATGCTCCAAGGATTCGTGGGCTTTCTGCGTGGAATCATGGATAGCCTGCGCGGCAGCATGCTTGGTCTCCTCGGCCTTGTGCGCCACGGTGGCCGCAGCCTGCTGGACGCCCTCCTTCACCTCTTCCTTCTTCTGCTCGGCTGCGTGTTTGACTTCGTCCGCTTTCAGCGCCGCCGCCTCCTTGGTGTGCTGCACCGCCGCGCCCGCTTCTTGTTTGGCCTGGTCAAGCTTCTGCTCCGCACTGGGATGCGGCGGCTGATCCAGTGTAATGTGGGCCTCCGTTCGCTGGACCTTATCCCCGTGATCCGCCATCGTAGCGTACAAACAGCAAAGGTTATCCGCTCGTCAAATGAAATCGGATTAAATCCCGGAGAACAGAGTGATGCGCGAAAGAGGATCCGAGATGTGATTAATTCAATAATGCAGAAACGTTACAGAGTGAACTTGAGCATGTGGCTCCTCTTAATCTCTCGCTCTCGCACTGCTCACTGAAAGAAGAGTGACAGTAAACGATTACACAAAGTTTCCCTGAAACTCGGTGATCGCAAATACAATCCAAATGCAAAACGTTTTATTTTCAGTACTGGAGAGTGAACATTGGAAGCGGTTTGCGATGTGCGTGTTGCCAACTGACAATCTGGCTGTAAAGTTTAAAATGTTCTCTTGAGCCTCCTCCTATCGATTGCCTTTAATAGGAGAACAGACATATGGCCTCATGACGTCACTGTGTATTTACAAATTGTAACCAACCGGCAAACCAAATCCACACCAGCCCATCCCATCACACATCACGTTGAGCCAGTGCTTTGTAATGACCGCTCGTGTCGCCAAGGCATCCGCGTTTTGTTTAAGATTCGATTAATAAAAAAATTATTGATATACTCGTATATATATTCGTTAACGGATAGGGATTTTACGTTTCCTTCAAAAAAATTTAATCATCTAGCACGAAAAAATCGCGAAAAGTCTACAACACCCGGTGTTCCCAAGCGGTCACCCATCCAAGTACTAACCGGGCCCGACGTAGGTTATCTTCCGAGATCGAACGGGATCGGGAGTTTTCTACGTGGTATGGTCGTAGACATTTCTAATAAAATTTGTATCGCCAAAACGGAATATTAGTACAAAGGGAGCGACGTCAAAAATCTGAACATTCAAGAGCATTTTTTGCATTTTCTCACGATGAAAATCGAGATGTTTATGTTTTTAGATTTTATACCGTTTATTTATTTTGTACATTTCAATATCATTGTAGAACCTGTGTTGCTGAACAGAAAACAATAAAATAAAAGACTGGCCTAATGCAACTGGCATTTGCCACACCGTACCGTACCACATTTGCCACGGGCCCACGAATGCCTGTATTAGCGATTGGGCATACAAAGTAACACTATAAATTTCTCTAAAACACGGATATAAAAAGTTTAAACCATATAACGGACTAGAATAAGAAAAACAATTTTAATCCATTAGAACAACCACCAGTTCTCAAAACCGAAGCCGTATCTCCGCGTTGTGTTCATTAAAACGTTGTCACAAAAATTCGGGAACAAAGGAAGGAGTTAAGTCTGTTAATTAATTGGAATTAACGGTGTACTTAATTGCACCGATGTGTTTGTTCACTGCACAATACAATTTACCGTTGACCTGTGATGCCTTGTAGAATCACTAATTGATTACAGTTTTGACTGTTTTCTCGAAAATATTCCAGTACTGTATTCTTAAGACTTATATTCCTAGAAAACCCTATCACGTAAAAATAATAAAATAAATTACCGATTTAACAAAAAACAGTGATTTCAAACATTATAATTAATTGGAAACAGAAGTTAGAAGTGTAAAAATAAAATTAAAATGTGCTTACAGGATTACACCAAACTGGTATTAAACCACATTTTAAATCTAACAACACTATTCAAACATCGCCCAAACTCCAAGAACCTGGTTTTAATGCCTTTTTCGTATTCCGACAAACATCACCGCATGTTTTCCATCTGGATGAAAAGCCACTGACGCATATAAAGGATAAAAAGAACATCGAAAAGTTCTTATGCTTTAACAGCAGCCTTATCCTGGCGTTTCACAGCCTTGGCCTTGCGTTTCTCCAGATCGGGCAGTCCTTCACGGAAACCATTCCTGTAGGGGAAAAAACAATCAAAATCGTTAATCCTAGTACGAACAACGTGAAGGATTGCAGCAACTCACTTGAATCGTCGGTAAACGGATCGCAAATGGGAAATGCGGCCCGTGCCAGTGGTGCGTCGACGCTTGGCTTTCACGGACCAATTATCTGCAAACGCCGACCCATGTCATCGTTCAGCCAAAATTTTCTGGACTATCAGTACTTACAACTCCTTATTCTGACATGGGGGTATCCGCAGCTAGCGCACAGGTGTTTCTGGATGTGGTAGGACGACTTTCCGCATCGTCTGCAGATCGTGTGGGTCTTGTTATGTCGCTTACCGAAACTGCTGGTTCCTTTCGTCTGAAGAACAAATCAGGTTAAGACCACATATTAAATCCATAACGGATTAAGACAAATTACCATTGTGACGATGAATCAAAGGGAAATCTAAGGAGAAAAGATGAAAAAGTCCCACAAGGTCTTTGCGGGTCCTCGCTTCAAGCGTGTATGCGGTGAAAATAGCAGACCGTACGCCGCAGCATGCAGAACGCAGATGGAAATGCGGCTTATACAGGGAGTTGGCTGGAGTAAAACTATTACAGAGCCTCACCTGGGGGTGGTAGGCATTATTCGGTTAACGTAACTGTCGATTCATGGTGAGCACTACTTCATCAGTGATTGACCGGGACTTCCGGTGTAAGTATGTTTTGCCATTTGGAGTGTAACGTGTTCTTATTAAATTTTTTTTCGTAATTTTACAATAGTATTATGGTGCTGATTATACTGTTCCACCAATAAATTTTGATACATACTTGCCATAAGACACGTCATATTGTGCAGGTCACCAGGTGGCATGGGCAGGTGGTGTATTGTATTGTACAGTATGTGCCCATGCATAGGCAAATGGTAGATCAAACGGGATACGCAATCGGAGCGGATGAGCAAGCGTTTATTGATTGAACTGTCGCGCTTGCGGTGCAGGTAGTACTCACATTTCTCACATATCATACGGGCAAGTAATCATCATAAACCGTAAAACTGACAAGACGTTAAACATATGCGTAATTACGTCCTGTTTCACTTCTAATACGTTTTGTTTAACAATCCGATTTACTTTCTCAAATGTCGGTTTTTCTATTAGCTGTCAAAGGTCAGATAGAAAAAATTGCGGTAAGAACAGAACGGTAGCCACTTTTTATAATATTTGTACGGATTTCGCTTGCATCTGCACGCATGACCAGTTTACCGAAGTGTTCCTACTCTGCATATGATTACGATGTGCGCTTGTTGGACCATATTAATCTAATTAATTTTGCAGTATCCGGATATTCCAGAATTGTTCGTCCGCTATCAATATGTATACGGTGAAGACTGGGTGGTCACAACGGTAACAAATCCGCGCATTTCGGCTTCTTTAATTTGTATCGCAGGTTACACAGGTTGTGTTTTGTAGGGAATCGAAGAAGGCATTACACAGGTGTGCAAGCGCTATGACGATAACGAGGATTTCGTCTACAACTTCCCCTTGGACGTAACATTCAAGAGCACAAATCCCCGTGGATGTAAGACATATGCGTGCAAAAACTCGTGATCTGCTGCTGCTGTACTTAACACTGCTGTACTTAATTAAATCAGTAAATATTTTTCGTGGTCGGTCAGAACGCGTGCTGAATTTGCAGGGCCGCAGATTGTGTTTTGTGCGTACGGAAGGGATACCTGGGGAAGGGAAGTTATTCGTGGTTATGGTGTCACACATATTCCCCTTGCCATTGGAAGGTTCATTAAAATCTTAAATTAAAACTGTCAGAGCAGCTAGTACTGTAGTTCGTACTCGATAACAGGCATACAAGAAAATTAATAGTGCATTAGCGCTGCAACTTGTATGTGTACAAGTTACGCATGCATACATACAACTAACGTTAGAACCGCCTGAAAACTGGCTTGTATGTATGGGTCGTAACGTGTTTGAGCGAACTGGTGTGCGGCACGCGTGTAGGTGCCAGCTGCCTCGCATGTACATATACAAGTGGCCAATCTGACTGCCCGTTGATCTCCAAAATTTTGAAAACTTCTCTTTCGTACATCTCTCAACGGATCTTCCCAATCGACATATCAGAAGATGAAGAATTAAATTTAAAACTTTTTGGTATCTAGCAAGTAGATATTTATGGCGAATCAAGAAAGTTATGGCCGTTTTGGTTTCTCGTAGACTTAGCATAGGCCCGTGAAAGGAGGCGGTGGCTTGCATCCTATGTTAAGTCTACGAGAAACCAAAACAGTCATAACTTTCTTGATTCGCCATAAATATCCACTTGCTAGATACCAAAAAGTTTTAAATTTAATTCTTCATCTTCTGATATGTCGATTGGGAAGATCCGTTGAGAAGCAAACGAAAAACGAGCGTTTGAAATTTCGAGGTTGACTGGCAGCTGGATCGGCTACTTGTATGTATGCATGCAAAGGGGTGGAGTTACAGGCATACACGTAAGGGCCTTACGTGGATGGATTTTTGGCACCGCCTTCACACACGCATACATCTAATTTGCGCGGCAGCGAATCGCCGCGGTGTGGGTTCGGTCATGACGTAACTTGTATAGATGGATCCTTACTTGTCGGCCATACAAGTAACCAACGCACATGGTCTAATGATAGGATTATGTAACGTAGCAATTTAGTGTTAGCGGGAACTTATTCTCATGCTGATGATGATCACCGTGACACTCAAGTTATGGTCACTGGTCACTATGGTGGCACTAAAGTGCATTATCGCTGTTTAACGTAACACGACATAGCAATGATGATGCGATAAAAATTTTTACCTACTGTATAACTCTGCGTGGTTTTGCAAAATCCGTTACATGTATACGTACATATCTCTACAATGCACAACATATCTATATAAGTATAGTACGCGAATGTCTTTATTGTTGTAATGTACAGTGAAATGGAGCGAGTAGTGGGACTTTTTACCCCGGATCCCTCGAATGTTGCTGGCGGCTTTGCCAGTTGGCTGTCCGGACGCCGACCGGAATTAAACGATCCTCGCACGATAGCCCGCAACAGAGGACGGGAAGGCAAGTAGTGCTTACGTTAGTAGCAGACTAGCAGTATACAATTTATATCTATGCTTGTATAAAATGTCGGCTTCTGTTTTTATGGTGTGTTACCTTAAACATTGCTATACATTATACACACATGTATATTAATACAATATTGACTGATATTGTGCTAAAAATATTGTGTACTGTGTAGTGCGTACCAAATAACAGCGACATCTAAGGCGCAAAACAGTTAGAGATCGAAGCAGTATTCTGATAATGGCAAACTTGATAACGGTGAAACTAGTTATGGACTTATGGGGTTAACCCAAAAGTAACCGTGTCTTTTATTTTGATACAGTCCTCCAAACTTCCTCCAAAGGTTGTCTTCACTTGCGCTTAAACATTATAACCAAGGACCTGCATAAGCTCCAGTACACTATCTCGCAGAAAGAAACACCCCTGATGACCTTATCCGCTAGACCTCCCACCACCTCCTTGCCAATACGCTCTGGTGCGGCGTCAAATAACATCGGAGAAGAATATATCAGCAAAGAAATGTCGGCGTTTTCCGTCCGAGAACGGCCTATTAGGAATTCTCAAGAGCAGTCGAGGGAGGTTTTTAGAGAGGAAGCTGGGCCGTCGGGGATCGTGTACAAGTCCGGCCGAGACGAAGAAGAGACCACGCAGGACATTCAAGAGTCGGCAGTGGTCGAAGAGGTGGGGATTATTAAGCCCAGCGAATCTGACGAGGAAGACCAGCAGACGGTTACCGTTGTGCGGGATGACCGAGAGCGAGCGGAAGTGCATGTCCGGGATGCTGGTGAGGAGCGTGGTGAATCCGAAGTGTGAATTGTTGACCCGACCGACGAGCGTTTTCAAGAAATTTTTCTGTGCGTAATTAATACTGATTAATAGTAATTAATTGTTGTTTATATGCTGACCGAAAAACACATTTTTGCTGGGTGCGCCAATGTAGAGCAAATGAACGGTTTACTTTGTGCAAATACCGCGCTCTACACTCACAATAATACTACTGCAAAATTATCACAATGTTATTATGAAAGTCCAATATCCTATGGTATAGGTTGTTTTATAGTTCCAATAGTCGCTACAGTCTTGCATTTGTTAATTGCAATTAAGCGCACATCGACTAGAAGAGGCATCAGTGTCGAGATTATGAAAAGGTCGCCTCAAATGTTGGAATCGTTATAGACAGGTGCAAAACCATGTTGTATACATGAAGCACTGCATCACATTGCCAATATCACCGGTTAACCGCTGTAGTAGCTGCCGCCGCCCATAGATCCCTTGGTGGTAGTTTGCTGCTGAGCCTGCGTCGTCACTTGCTGTGCCTGTGTCGTTACTTGCTGCGCGCCGGTCGTTACTTGCTGTGCCTGAGTGGTCACCTGGCCGCCGCTGGCACTGGAAGTGGCATAAGCGGTCGTGACCACTGGAGCGGCCGTTGTCACCACCGGAACGGTACCCGTTACCACCGGGCCGGTAGTGGCATATGCTGTGGTCGGTGGGTTGTTGGGGGGCGGCGTGCCCGTAGACACAGTGCCGGTGGAACCGGTCGGAGCATAGGTCTGCGCGCTGGCCACCGCTATCAGTACGGAAAGGGCAATCACGACCTGCATGGTGTACAGATTATAACTGCGAATGAATTTGAAAAAAAATCCGATGAATGTATTGAGCAAGAGAATACTGAATGCTGTTTGTGCTATCATAACGCCGGCTCACCGACTTTTAAACGCATGTTTATTTTAGCTGGCCATGGGATGGCGAAGATTGATGTACCGGTAAACACAGCACAAAGGCGGCATTAAACATATGGGGTACGTCACATAGATAATTGCGGACTTTGCGGTAAACACATTAGATTGGGGTAAACGGTACGAATCGGCACTAATATTAATCTAGTACCATGTTGATGTCCTAAAAACACGAGCGTGCTGGGCACGTGGTACCTGAGAAATACCGCAAAACTTCCTCGTGCGGGCTCGTGCTCGAAAGCTGATGGATCCAAGTTTATGGTTTACGTGCATATTATGCGCAAGTGCGATGTATCGGATTATTGGTTTCAGCACAGTTTCCACTGGGAAATGCCCCACGTTCGCCAATATATCATTGCGTAGTTGCGACTAAAGAGTAAAGACAATAATTACTAACATTATTATTCTAACTTAACAATGAAGACCGCGACTGCGACCGGCAGAACGCGAATGCCGGTGGGCATGTGCAAACCGTCTGACCCGTAGACAGGTCTAAACTCAGCTATTACGGTATCAAAATTATTAATAGTTTTATGAAAGTTGAAACAGAACACAAAACTTTTCAAGTCCGCGTTTGTTACGAACTCGGGTGCAGTAGGTTATTAAAGGTCACTAAATGAAGCTACTTTTACCGCTAGAGTAGCGGTTTGCCGGAGAATCGTTTTGAACGATCTGCGGACAGTAATGTACATCTCGCTAATGATGTCAATACAGACACTGCAGTACTGGGGAAAATGGAATTTTAGAGTGAAGGAAAACATTGCAAGGTCAGTCGACGTCTATGGAGGTGTGTAGAAATAATAGGACATGCAATTTGTACACTTCTGTTTGCTATGCTAATTAAGAGTGCAGGATTACTGTGGATGCAAATTATTGAATTTTATTAATTGAATTTATAGATATATTCTATTATTTCTGTTCATATAATATGAACAGAAATATTAGAATATATCTATAAATTCAATTAGGTAATAAAATTCAACAAATAAAATTACCTTACTCTGTTCATTAACGTTTACATTTACTTCAAAGCCACGATCTCTTTGGCACACACTGCATATCAGTTTGTACTGTAGGCTTCCGGCCCAAATAGTGCGAATGTTTCCCCCAGAAACAGCATAAAATAGTCCCAGGCATGGGACCCCGGTACGTGATGCACCAGGTGATTTTTGTTTCGGTTTCGTTTCAATGCCGCCTAAGGCGGGAAAGCTTCAAAGCCCGTTCCAACGTGGCATTTGCACATGTACCTGTGTCCGCGCTACCGGTCCCTTAATATTTCTATAAACTGAGGTCAAGTCGGACGACCACTCAGTTACCGTGAGTAGTGTATTGGTATACACTAATACATGAAATTAATCGAATATTATTCTGTGTGTAATTACCGGTATAGCTGTTACATAGTTGCTCTACTGCGGAAACGCTCAGTGATGCTGCTGGAATGAAGCTCTTAAGGTTGGTTCTTGGTGCTACCGTCTAGCTGAAGCTGGCCGAATGACCCGGGTCCAGCTGGAAAAATAGTAACTAATTTTAATACGGGGTTGTTAGCACAACATAATATACAATGTGGTGATGCAACAACAGATGATCAAGGCAGCATATTTCTACAAAATATTTTATAATGGTATCTATAATCCATATTGTTGGATGTATTAAGATTAAGAACCAAAATTATAATACGGAAGCATACATCGGTAATTACTTTTTTTTGAACTTTAGGTAACTTCTACTTGCTCCCACATTTTTATAGGGCGCTTAGCAAATAAACTATGAAATTGTGGGGCGCATAGCACTTTCGTTTTGTTTATACGGTAATGTAGGTGCACTGCGCCTGTATTGATATTGTATGGCTTTTTCAGTATAGGTAGTTTAACTGTTGTGAATCGATGGAAAATTGCATGTGTTTAAAAGTGGTCAACTGAAAGTTAGTACTGCCTGCAGTTAATAAAAATAAATTAATATAGGAATTCTACTCAACACATACTCGTGCAGTGGGCTTACCCGGTTAATTGCAAACGCTCATGAGACTACGGTAAATACAAAATCGTTTACTATGAGTATGGGCACAAATTAAGTCTTTCGCGTCTGAACAGATTAGAACGGTGGTCATCTCGTCCAAAATTTGAAGCATTTTCTAAGCTAACAAATTATACATAGTCAGACATAAAGAAGCCGAAATCGCATGTCGCTACCCTCGTTTAAGTCTTTAACCGGAGCTAGCGTAGGTAGTACCCGGCGGCGCCATGGTAGAGGTCGTGGTAGTCGGCGGCATGGTAGGGGTCGGAGTCGCGATGGAAGGTGTAGGGGTAGCAACAGGGCCATAAGTAGTTGCGGGTGGCATCGGCGCCGGTGGAGACGGTGCCGGCGGAGACGGTGCCGGTGGAGACGGTGCGGGAGGCGATGGTGCCGGCGGAGAAGGTGCCGGTGGAGATGGAGCTGGTGGAGATGGAGCAGGAGGTGACGGCGCCGGTGGGGATGGTGCCGGTGGAGATGGGGCCGGCGGTGATGGTGCTGGTGGGGATGGTGCAGGAGGTGACGGAGCCGGTGGAGACGGTGCGGGAGGTGATGGTGCAGGAGGTGACGGTGGGGATGGCGGTGTCATACCGCCATACGATCCATACGCTTGAGCCGCGGCCGCGGCGATAAGGGCAGAGAAAACAAGAAGGATCTTCATTTTCGAATATTTTTGTCAAATTATGCAGCTGCCTAGAACTGCATGTGTTATTCCACCGGAATTAATGGAGGCTTATATACGTTTCTGCGATATTGATTACTGTAACTAATGGCCCCGGAGGCACGGTACAATACACACGTACTCATTAACATACAAACATAAGATCAACATGATGCGGTATAAAATTAATATTTGAATACATGTAGGCTGAAAGGTGTTGTGGATTTGTGGTTGTATAGTACGTGTAATTAATTACAGTGTATCTGTAAAGTACTGTACGTAGTCGTGCGAGGTTGTTGTCCTAAAAGTACACCGACACCGTGGCGCCGGCACCACTGCTCATTTGGTACACTTCGAGAATGATGCTGCTAATGGAGAAGCATACCGTCGACGTTGTATTTTGACATTTATGGGCATTTTTGCATTTATTAGATTTTCTTATTTAGGCTTGCATGATGTGCACTGAGCAGTACTCTTACCAATTAAGTAGCACCGTATTACTGTTTTGAGGGGCCGCCGCAGTTAGTAATAGGTCATTACTTCTCAGGAGGTCAGCATAGTTCGTAACCATATCCTGCAGTTGTTCATTAGAAGCAATGTCTTTTTGCGTTGTTTACGCGATTGCTTCGTTATAACCTTTCTGGTCACACGACCATCTACCGAACAATGATTTTGCATTTTTGTGTGTTGTTGCCCGTTTACAGTTCTGTAGCAGAATGCACAGATGAATTTAATGTGAGTGGCAATTTACTATCTACAGAACTACCTGCTGGTTCATTTTTCTTGTGGCAATTACAGAAGAGGTCAACTATATTAATTTATATATAGCGTCTTTAGTAAAAATTAGTGTGGTTAGTTTAAATATTTATTTTTACGAATCGTAACGGTAATATTCACCAGCAAATTCGTTTAACAAAGCCCACAGAAGCAACTGCAATCACAATCAAATTCGCCACAATGTGAAAACTAACATGCCCAACAAGTCGTAAGGAACTCCACGAAAATAAATGTCAGCAATACAGCCAAAATAAAAAAAAGTCATGCAATTATCACTACAATAAAAACAATGTTGATTATATGTTCGAAACAATACGTACAAAAAACCTGGGTGTTGTTTCTTTCCACGCCTCCACCATAGTAACGCAAAAACTTCGAAACGTTAGGAAGAATTCATTTCGTCACATGGTTGAACAGTTTTACTATTCCTGAATGCCGGTTAACCGTTTAGGACACGCCCGGTATAGACAGCCTGCGCAATACTGGCCACCACCGCTATGACAAAAAGGACGACGGTGATAATTCCCAGCGCCATGTCGCTCACTCTCCACTGCCGGTCAATAATGCTGGCCACCCATATGAACTGTACCAGGGAATTGATGGCCACGATGATACTGAGGATCATCGTGGTGATCAGCAGACAGCGTCGATCCGCGCGCTCCCCCGGTAGTGTGCTGCCACGTGTCGCCAAAACACCGAAGATGCCGGTAATGATCATTACCGCGCCGCCGGAAAATCCTCGCCATCCCTCGTAATATCCGTAATGATAACCGCTGGTGGCGAAAGCTACAAAATTACAAATGATGATAATGTGTTGCATCATCCCGGGTTGCTGGTGGTGTGCGAATTAAGTCGTTATGTAAACGAATTCCCAAAATATGCCGGCAAAAATGTGCATCAGGCTGCACTGCTTTCTGCTAATTTTAATGGATGCTCTGTATACTTCCGTTTCGTACCGGCAAACTTTACTTGCTTATTTGTATGCTTACTAATTAAAAGATTCAAGCTTATGTGTATGCTTACTAATTAAAAGATTCAGATTTTCAACTCAAATTATTCAAATTAATTCAAAACATTAAAAGAAATATTTTAAATATATATGCCAGCGCTAACGATCTGTCGGTATGTATTTTCAAAAATATATATGTATCTGATACCGTAACCAATTAATGTTGGTTGCCAATGCTTTTAGAAACTCTACAGAGCAGCACTGCCTGATCAAATTTAGAAAATGGGGAAGTGAAAATGTACAGTACTTCATTTAATCCTGATCCGGTTCATATGCAATCAAACAAGAATCAATAACAATACTTTATAATTAAATAATAAAGGATTTATAAATCGTGATATTTTTATATAAGTGTCTCACTGTCTATTTGAATTCTGAGTCCTTTAAAAGGCAGTACGTAACTGGTACTGTAGCAAAATTTATGTCTAATGCAGGAAAAAAGTTGGATTTCTGTAAGCATGTATAGGTGTCCACTGTACTGCTCCACAAAAACGTATTTCACCTAACTGCTAAGCATATATCTGCTTACAATTAGAATACGAATTCATCGAGTCGTTTGACCGGCATACGAAACTAGACCGCTAACAAAGAAACATACCGGAAATCGGATATACGACAATCCAACAGCTACCTACCTGCGATGTCAATGATGACCAGTATCGCTCCAATGACAATCTGCACAAACGCCAGATTCCTGATGGCCATCGGTATTGTGGGATACATGGTTGGGGCGTTGTGCAAACAAAACCGGTTTTTATGAGGACTATTTACTGTTTACCCTAATGTCCTACTGCACAGCTCATCAGACGAAGTTATCGCGCTGCTGAGAGATGTGATCCCTATGAATGCCAAGAGCACTCTTAAACAACCGCTGTGCTGGAGAAGTGTCGCATCCAACGAACACAGTGACAATCTTCAGAGAGAAACCTAACGGTTAGATTATGCGATTCTAAAAATATCATTCCCATAAACTTTCTAGTTAAATACCACACTTGTGATTACGTCCTTCCAAAGCATGCAGCGGGAGATTCTTGGCGTAACAGTAGGCCAACAGTTGGAGCGGCATTGGCCATGTGTTGCTCAATGCGCCCGTCGTGAACGATTACTATAACAGCGGCGACTATGTCATTAGTTTATTGCTCTAACCAAAACTAATCCTCCATCTCGTCGCCGACAGGATTTACTAACCCAAAACGCAATAGAAAAAAATAACAGTTAATCGAAATAATCAGCTGGACATTAATCAGCTGCTGGACATTCGTAAATTAAACGGCACTTGTGTTAAATGCGAGACAAAAAAAAATTATTAAAGACCAAAAGGCACGCGAAATGTGAGCAACGCCAGTAAGTTACAGCTGATCCGCGTCCGTCGTTGCACTACCGCGCGAGACCGTGGTCGTATCTAATAATGCGGAACCCAGATAGACGAATTTGCGACTGCAGGGACACGGCCTTGATCGTGAGTTTCGCGCAGTTGATTCACAAAAATTCCAATTTTATTTAACGGCGTATTCTAATCTCTACAATATAGCAACACAATATAAGATCCATTAAATCATAAGGAACACATCGAAGTACAAAATCATAAAACGAAATTTGCCGGCGGTTCGAAAAACGATACAGTCCTATCTATCTTTTAGAATAGTAGTACAGTGGCTCACTGCTCTGTCTGTACGAGCAGTGACCCTAAACCATTAATTTGACGAATAAATTTAGTTTTCATTTCCTCTGCTTCGATTTCTCTTTACGCTAGGCTCTGGATTATCTGTTTTCGAGGCGAAATACCGGGTGGCTGAACAAAATGGCCCTCTGTTTTCCTGCGGTGCGCTGGGTCTGCCCATTGCTCGATTGAGATGATACTAGTTTTATTCGAAAGAGCAACGTCTACGGCACATAAGATGTTATGTCAAACTATTAGTCTAAAAAGATTTCCTTTTTTCTGAATTATTTTTAAAAAATGGATGGAGTAGAATAATGTCCTGGAAGCAAAAACTCAAATTTACCTATTTTAAAATTAAAATTGTAGATGTTTAGCTAAGCATATTATTGCTAATCACGTTACTGTTTCGGAACGAGGAACTGTTCATGTTTTTTTCACTGTAAAACAGAACGCCATTCAAGTGACCCTGTCTAGCCAGGGAGCGAAAGATTTGATGCTCCCCATATCTGATCCTCGTGCAACGAGGTAGCAGGTCTTTTAAAAACAATTTTCAAACCATCGCTTCAAAAACAATCTTGGGTCAAACCCTTGTTTGAAAGGGAATCTCCCACATACAGTTGCCAGTTAAACCGGCGTTTTTCAGTGCACCCTGTCGCGAGCAAAAAAATTGCAACTAAAATACTAAAACATCAGAGTAAAAAACTTGCGATTTTTTCGAAAAGTCAAAAAGTTGCTTAGTGCATGGTTCATCCAACGCATGCACCATGCCAATCACTTTTTCCCTATTGAAAGAGGATGTCCGTCTCCAGCTAAAACAATTTAAAAAATTAAAATATCACTCACGGAAAAAAGGAGGACGAAATTTTTCACTTTGCGAGCTGGGACAAGAAAAATTTCGACACGTTTTTAAATAACGCCACTGCCAACGAGCAACTTTCAATTTTTCGAAAACAGTTTTGTGTTTTTAGTAGCTAATAAAATTGTCTATCAAACGAGTGTAAACAGTTTGCCGTATGTCCAGTAGTTTGCGAGAGGCAAAGCAAAAACGGAGAGGGCCATTTTGTTCGGCCACCCGGTACAATCTGGGATGTAAGCTATGCTTCACACTTACGCATACTGTGCAATAAATTTCTCCATCATGTCGGTTTTCCCCACCAAGCGAAAAACATATTCCGAGCTGCGAGTCGGTGTAGCGGGAAGCAAAACGGACTCTGAGTTCTTCTCGACGAATTCACGAACTGGTCGCAAGCCCGCATACTGCAGCAGGACTCCAGCTGTCAGCTTCTGCCCGTCGTGGATTACTTTTTCAAGGCTTTCTAAGATTTGGACCCCCTCAGAAGTTTCGCGAACTTCTTCCTTCTAAACACAGTAAATTAACCAATTTACTTTTTATTGCAAGTTCTTCGATGTACCTCAAAGACCGATCACTTGAGTATACTGTATATGGCTTGAAACACCGATCACTCATGCATTCAAATTTTAAAGGAAACCGTGTATTAAGTCTACAAAGTAAGTTCAAAGCGTGATTCCACCATAAATGAATATTTTTATTCGGCAAAAGCCATCAAAGAGACGCAGAACAGCAACATCGGTCACACTACTTAAAAATGAATACTGCTTACCGATGGTTAATTCCAGAGTCCATTCGGTTATGGTTCCACAGTCCGAAATGATGACATCGGCCTTAGGTCGGCCGTCTGTGGTTCCCTGCTTTGCAATCTTTTCAACAATACCCATGAAATCTATCAGGACCTGACCGATAACGATATTTTTTCCGTCCAATGACTCGTCTTTAGCCGTACATAAAAAGAATTTTCCTCGTCCAGAGTTGGCCATCGACAGGACGCCCGGGCCGGAGTGTTTCAGTTGGAAATTCTCATCCTCGAATTTATTCCCGTAGCCGTAGGTGATGGACTTATCGCGGATATTGACGGGCTCAGAGCTTTCACATCCAGATTTGGGCTTGATACTGATAAATGCACAATCTTTGTATGTGTAACCTTTCTCTCCAGTGCAGAAGGACCGAAAAATCCCAGCCGTCTTGGGCACAACATCGGCACGCAGCTCCATCACGATGCGGCCGGCCTTGGCATTGTCGATGGTGATGTCCATGAAGACTTTGGGATTGTTGGCCATTTTGCTGGGATCGAGGGGGGGATTCTTTGAGAAGAAGGAGAGAGCGACTCGCGTACCTATGAACAGTGGTTGTGGTTTGAGCAGACGCATGGTAAAACAGGTAAAATCAATAAAACGCTAAAATCACGATGATCCACTGGTTTTCCGGCCAAGACCGCACAGAGTACTTACTTGGTTAGAAAATGGGGCGATGGACCGGCGTCGACGAGCGGTGTAGCGAGAATTCTCCAGACTGAAAATTATGAAGCAAGAACATAAAACTCCACCAAATTTTCAGCAAATGCAAATCCGCAAGATTTAATCGTAAGCGGTAAGAACAAGAAAAGCAAAACAACAAGCGTGTGTGCGATACTTCGCAAAACCAACGCCACTCGCCAGTCGCCAGACAGGAAATAACCCATAGCTGGTGCGACAACGAAAATGGCACCTCGAGGAGGCAGCCATGTTCATAGAATGATTTGACTTTTTGTGCTGCGTCAAAAACATAAACAAACAAAAAGTGCAAAGAAAAATTCTTGCAAAGAAATTTTTTGTCGGTGTACTTAATTTGTGTGAGCTGTCTTTAGATTTTCTACGAACCGACTCGTATCGTTTCCAGTTTCAGTTTCTGTGAAGATGGTGTAAAACCTATTTGAAAGTCTGGAAATTGTACAGTGATCTGGGTCTGCAGTATAAAAATGGCGAACTCTGATTATCAGCAGGAAATGGCGCAGTATTTTGGAGATCCACCGACTAATCCCACAGCTGAGCCGTCGACTGCGGCGGATGATGGCGATCGCGAAGCGGGAGAAACAGACAACGAGAATATGTCATTCTCCCTGCGCCAATTCCACGATGACGGTTTCATCGACAGTCTGATTAAGAGCATTCCGTCCATCGCATTGAATCCGAGCGACGTGGAGCGTCAGACATATCGTCTGAAGGACATTCTGGATCGCTACCAGGAGCAGCCACAACTCGTGGATCCTTTTCTGGGTAATGCATTTCTGTATATATATTGTGCGAGCTGGCAGTCATTTAAATCGAAGATCACTTCTACAGGAAGATGGGTACAGGAGCTGATCGTTTATGTGAAAGCCTATGCAGACGAACCGTCTGAGTCCAGCAAGAAAACTGCGAACCTCAGCCTGACGGTTTTGCGCTTGCTGACCAAGGTCCGTTGCGAGGGGTGATTGATTTTGGGGAATTCATAATAACTGAGCGCTGTTGCAGCTGCGTGGATACAAAGTCATCATAAAATTCCTGCCGCACAGTGTTGCGGATGTCGAACAGTCGCTCGGATTGGTTGAAGAATTTATGAAGCCAGTTAACAGTGTAAGCAGAAAAGAAAATTCAAAATTTTTAAGCAAAACAGTTGTAAACCATTTTAGGAATCTCTTTATAACGCTAGACCTTTCTTACCAAAATCTAATTTTCCAAAATTGAAATTAAATCAGATCTTGAATTAGATCTCGGTTTTTGTGGATAGAAAAATTATCGATAAATTGGATCAATGTTTAAAAGTCAGGTTTATTGGATGTTTTATTATTGCAGAGCACTTCGTTTATCTGTTACTGGATGTTTTCATAACTTTCATAACAAATCATTAACCTTGATCTAGTTTTTAATTTGAACTATAAACCGCAGTATTAAAAAAATCAAAATTTAAAAGTGCGCGAGAAAATCGTTGACCTGACTGCATGTTTTTAATGCGCAAAAGTATTTATGATTGCATCAGTAAATATACAAGGTAACAAGGTGGTCGTTTTTGTTGTGATTACGTACTTTTGACTGTTGCAGATGTTTGAAGACTGGGAGCAGCAGTACATGTTGTTGCTGTGGCTGTCGGTTGCCGTGCAGATTCCCTTTGACTTGAAGAAATTAACCGATCCCGACGATATTGGTACACCTAGAAGCATCGAAGCCAGGATCTTCCATATCTGTCAGGTAACTGTACATCAACGGAATACTAATCACGAAATCGCCGGTTTATAAAAAAATGCTTTGTTCATTTATCAAAATGTTATGTTATAAGGTTTTTATTACGGTTTCGGAAAAGACTCGCGACGCTGCGGCATACTTGCTGTCTCGCTTTGTAACCCGACCTGATATGCTGCCGATCTATGGAAAACAGATGATTGATTACCTGTTGAAGACGTTAGAATCTGCGAAAAGTATGCCATTGATTTAATTAATTTTCAGTGTAATTTATTTAATTAATTTGCAATGCTTTATGCACAGTTTGTTTAAAATTCTTCTTAAATAGGCGCTGATGTGGTGAAGCAGCCGCACATTTTGTGTGGTGGTTTGGCGGGAATCGCCATGATCTTCAAATCGGGCACACGATCTCATCTTTGCAGTTTAGGTACGATCGTGCTTCATATGAAAATGCAGTATTAAACAGCAGCGCCTTCTGAATTCTGTCTTCCTTAAAAGTGCGAGAATTTTTACTTAAATGTTTTGTTGCAGCTGAAGATTGCCTGCCAAGATTGATGGAGCTGGGCTTACTGGATTCCCAGTTCAGCATGGTGCGGAAGTACTGCACCAAGGCATTTCAGCGGCTAGCATTAACCTTCCTGCCTACGAAACTTCCTACATGGCGATATAAACGCGGATTTCGCAGCCTGGAGGATAATATGGCTCCTGGCAATCTTGGAGCGGGTGATGTTCGTCCGAATCCTATGGGAAACGGCGTACATTCGCCATTTGAGGAAAGTGAAACGGAAGTGTCGGCATATGTGGAACAAGTTATTGGTATGCACAGCCTGTAGAGTAATGTGTAATTGGAACTAGCCAGAAACGAAGATTGGCTCAAAAGACTGTTTCGTTTATTATTCCGAAGTTTATCAACGTACGTTTATCAAGTTTTCTGTTTATCAAGTCATCGTTTATCAAGTTTTCTGCTTTTTTCGACTTTAATAATTAATTTTTTCGACATGTGCTGATGTAGAAGTTTTTATGTGCTGATATATATATATATTTTTCGGCATGTGCTCGTTTATTGAATAAAATGTTGTGAATGTGCTAAGAAAGTTGCCGGTTGGGATATAAAGCGTTAAATTGTTCAAACTTTATTTTAGGTTTATTGCTGCAAAGTTTAAACGATGCTGATGGAATTATACGGTGGTCGGCTGCAAAAGGGTAAGATAGTAGTACAAACGCTCGTTATTGCGCGTGGTAGGGGAAGTTCCATACCATTTTGGTATGAGCTGAAGACATATACCACGTAAAAGAGACGGAAGCTATTCAAGTCATATGCGAACGGCCGACATGGTCTTGTAAAGTCCAGAGATTGTGTGCACGTTCTCGTACATTGTTTAGTCTTGTTGTTGGCAGAATTGGACGAATTTCGGAGCGCCTACCACAGGGATTTGCCGAAGATGTTCTGAACGGTGTGCTGAATCTGTTTTCGTATGAACGATCGGAAAACGCCTGGCATGGAGGATGTCTGGCGTTGGCGGAGCTAAGTCGACGCGGCGCATTGCTTCCTTTGAGATTTAGTGATGGTGTGGAGATTTTCGCTTTTTAGATGTTTTCGATTGGTTTACCGTGATTTTATGTTATGTTTATGTTTAAGAGTTTATGACTGACAGATTTGATGTTTGATTTTAGTGATGCCGGTGGTTTTGAAAGCCCTGCTATACGAAGAACTGCGTGGGACTTATGCGGTTGGAAGCCCCGTGCGTGATGCCGCTTGTTATGTCTGTTGGGCTTTTGCGCGAGCTTATGAACCAAAGGATTTAGAAGAGTTTGTTATGGATGTTGCAAAGTAACCACACAAGCTGTTTTTCGGTTTTTGTTGGTTCTTCTGAATTATCGCCATTGATTGCAGGCATTTGGTTCTAACTGCACTATTTGACCGCAGTGTCAACTGCCGTCGTGCGGCCTCCTCTGCTTTTCAGGAACATGTTGGTAGACAGGTACGATATTAGTTGCTACATGGGTCATATTAATTATTTACCATGAACGTAAACAGTTAATAATAAATATTTACTTTAGGGCAATTTTCCTCGTGGATTAGATATAATTCCGATCTTGGATTTTGAATCGCTAGGCCGGCGTTCGAATACGTACATGAAGCTAAGGTGAAACAATAAAGGTTGCCGCTAAAATCGAAATAAATGTATTCCTTTTTGCAGCCCCATCATAGCAAAGTATCAGGAGTATACTTCCGTTATACTGGACTTCTTGCTTTCTCATCCTCTTGCCCACTGGGACGTGTACGTATTTTTCCTTGGCATTTATTATCATTACTATGTGGAATTTTATTCTCATTAAGATCTCCGGATAGTGCTGTTCGCGAATTAGCTGCCCAGACACTGTTTTCATTGACACCTGTTGCACCGGACTACATGAAACATTGCGGTCAGTACGAAGAATTTGTATTATGTTCCTTCCTTATAGATTGCAGTTTGCATTTACGTTTTTTGACTTTATTGTGCAATTTTTGATTTTATTGTCAAATTATAACGTTAAAAAGTAACCAAAAAGGTTAAACTGCCCTGTATGCTACGGATTGTCCTTCATAATAACCGCTGGGGCAAGTGTTTTGTGGAAGCTTTGCGACAGCATCGCACGTGTTGCACATAGTAAAGTTTGCGAAATGGGACTACATAAATTATATATGTTACTGTATGGTATATATTGTGCCATGGTTTTGTGCTATTACTGTATATAGTATTGCATCATTGTGTTGTGTATTTATTCTTCTGAGCGGAACTCGTTAACATTGTTTGCGCTTTCCACAGTTGCACCTGAGTTACTGAAACGAATCGGAAGTAACCATATATTTACTCGGCACGGAGCAATGATTGGTTTAGGATACATCTGTGAAGGACTGCATAATTGTGGGCAGTTTGATGATTACCTAGCTAGTCAGGTTGAATCTGTGATACTTCAGGAATTTTTTGAAAGTACTCGTACCAATGCACACTTCATCCGAAATTTTACGCGCAGCTGCTTAATTTAAATAACGTTGAATTGAGTTTTCATGACTGACAATACTACATAAAGGAGAGTTAAATAAGTTGGCTAATTGAAAACATAAAGATTGTTGCTGCGTAATGTCATGAATGTTCTTCGCTGTCTGAGAAACCCTAATAAGAAATCTGAGATGCACTTCCCTTGTGCTTATTTTTATGTGATGTACAGCAATACAAATACATGTGTGTGCATCAGGCTGTGGTCACCGGTGTTGTGTGTTTAACAAATGTTATGCACGCTTTTTTGTAGATCAATCCAAAAGATGTGTTTCGCGGTTTTGGTCATGAATTAATCCGCCAGGCTGGTATGAAGAGATGAAGTTGGTTTTATTTAGCAGTAGTTAGAATAAAAATGTATCTTCCATTTTAGTGATGAGTTTGATCTCCCGAGTAAGCAATGCTGAACTGCCGCTGCATAACAAGCCCCATTTATTAGGTAAGATTCTTCGTAATACGGATATTTGTCGCACTGAATAGTAATGCTATGTCATACTCAGGCCAAATGGTCGAACTGGTTCAGTCGAGTGTCGTTGTGGATAATCCAAAAATCCAGGTGAAAACTGTTTTTCAAACACGTTTAGGAGAATTTTACCACCTGCAGTTTTCCAGGAAATTGCAGTTAACACACTGCAGTCGTTACTGAAGACATACGGCACTTGTATGTCTCCGTCAGATCATAACCGTACCTTGCAAGAAGCCTGTCTGGATCAAGTGCTGCATAATGTGAAATCTTCATCAGAGCTTATGAGGTAAATCTCGTGACGTGAATTAATTGCTCGCAATGCTGGCCATAAGTCGCACCTGAATGCACTGCAGCCGCATTCCATGTAATTTTATTGAGCAATCAAGAAAACAGTAGCTTTGTGAGAACTTTGATGTTTGTAGACGATACTCGGTGTTGGTCCTGTCCGTGTTCTCCGCCGAATTCGCTACAAAAAATCTTAGCGTGATTACCAATACGATTGTGTCCATTTGTCCACGGTCATCGTGTCCGGAGCCGCAGTGGGTGGATTGCCGGCGAAACTGCTGCCGGTCACTCGATAGGTAAGCCGCAGGCAATCTTTGGCATCTTCGAAACATCTGGCATCTTCGTGGCTGTGTCGGTGTTATAAATTTTAATGTAACCTCACTTCGTCAGTTTTATTTGGTGTTTAATTTGACATTTTTTTACATGGTTGACATGTTTTGATTTTGCTGGTTTTTGGAGTTTAGTGGTTTTTGCTCTTTCATGTTGCATATGTCTGATCGTAACCATATCGTTTTCCAGATTACTGGGAGCTGTTCCTGCCAGGGCTTTCAGCAGTGAAGCATTTTCCGAAGTTGTAGATTTTCTGGGTGATTGCTTGTCGGACTACACTGAAGACAAGCGTGGTAATATTGGCAGAATGTAAGTTCGTTCATAAAGTATGGTTGATTTAGTTTTATGCTGGATATGTACACCGTGTATCATAAGCGTAATTTGCAGAATTCGATAATTCCATGGTCTTTTATTGGTTCTTACAATAAAAATATGAATAATGTTGCTTTGCTTGCGTACTTTGCTCAATGTTTTAATTCTGTTGAATATTATGTTCGCATATGTAAAAACACAGAAATCGTCGGCAGCCTCGCAGATAAGTCTGATGTACGGTTAATACCCTATTTTATGAATTTCCTTACAGAGTGCGGTTGGCTGCTATCGACACAACACGATCCATTATGACGCGTATCGCCCGAACGGACCCTCTGGTACTTACTCCGGAAAGGTTCGTAGAGTTGGCTTAGTATTAGTATGAGTTAAGAAATTTTTGCTGTTTTTGACATCTTCGGTAAGTTTCCGCTAAAATGTTGTTCTGGTTTTCTGTAAGGCCGGCGATGCGACGTTATTTGTATTGCAGTTTATTACTACGTTTATGCAATTTTGTTGTGTACGATTGCTCTCTTCGCGTTTACGCAGTTCTGGCTCGACACACAGTTTAGCCGTAATTAAGTAACCTTTTGGGATTTCTAGGCTTAATACGGTCGTGATAAACTTACTACGGCTATTTGCCGAGGGCATACCAGATTTGCGGGCTCGTGCTGGACAACTTCTCCTGCATTTAGTGAAATCGTAAGTATACCGACTAAGTTTATTATGCACCACTTGCGGTATGATAATGATCCGATAAGGTAGATAGATAGTAGATACGGTTCGATTCCCCGACTGGGAGACTTTTTTGGTTTTTACTTAGTATTATATAACCGTACAAGCTTTTGCACAGTGTTTTTGCAAGTTTATGCAAGCAAATGTGACGTGTGGAGAGGAGTACGTACGAGGATTCCACCGTACATCCACTGACTGTCCGCCTTTACCTGCAACACGGATATCAGTTAATCAGTTCTGTGATTCGTTACTCAGTTATGGCTTAGCGGTGTATTTGATGTTTACTTCTGCTAGTCTATAAATTCTCATGTCGCCTCTAATATCGACAGCAGTCTTGGATTTCAGATTTCGAGACTACTTGCTTTTAACTTTCCTGTGTTGTGCATATGATTGTGTGTTAGCGGAGTAAAGCATCTTCTGTGATTATCGACGTTCGTAATTTGTATCGGATTATAGCGTGGTAAACACGGTATGCTCGTACTGCGTCCGACCCGCATATGTAACGACCGGAAGTTAGGAGTATCCAGCACAATTGCTTAGGGATTCCAGATTCTTCGTGTTCCTGATAATTTCCTCCATTTTCTACTGTAACAGTTGATTTAAGAGTTTGCTCTACCGATTGAGTCGTGGCAGGAAGTGGTTAGTCTCTTACACTAAACCGTACAGAGTCTCTTCACACGACATGGCGCCCACCGATGGTTCGTGATTTTCCGATGTTACAGTAAAATCGTGGATGGAATTTAACGGTGGCAGCACCGTTCAATTCAATCAGTTCAGTATCGAAAAGCACGCCGGTTGGAAATTCGGAATTTCGAGTTTCTTCCGAGCTCTTCATTGCGCAAGTACCAAGCACCATAAACATAATTGTGTGCTGGCAATTTAAGTCTTGATCTTATGGGTTGTTTGCCCCCATCCCTCAAATTAATTATGTCGCGGCAAGCATCTCCTGAAATTCCAGAAGAGCCCCCTACTGCGCCGCCGTTTGTTCCAACTAGACAACAGCGGGCGCAGGGTATTCATGTGCGCAACAACGATCATCCTTTCGGATATCGCCCGGGATCTTCAGCGGACTTGTCAGTGGGCAGAGTGACCAGATCGCATGCTGGCCGATCATCTTTTGGCCCACAGAACGCAGCGGCAAATGCGGCGGATAATCAGCCATCATCGGCCGATACTGCTGAACGGAGTGTCTTGGTTCGTGGCAATGCGCGCCGCGGGATTTTCAATGAAACACCGGAACAGACGCACTGGCGTAATGCCCAGCCGTCGTCTTCGTCGTCGAATAGCAGCACCCCGCCGCGAAAGACAAATCCCCGCATTCGCTTGGTTGGTGCCTTTCAGACCTGGGCAGTTATGGAATTTCGGCTCATAGTTAGAGTTACGAGTTAATCGCAGGTCGCGAGTTAAGTTAACGAGTTAAGTTAATGCAATTACTGGAGTTACGAGCTTTAACGCGAGTTAAGTCACAATAAAAAAATTTCGGCGCTTTATTAATCATCTTCACCAATTAATCTCTTACGCGTAACGGTATCGCTACTACCAGGTTCAAAATACTGCTCAATTTATTGGGTTATTCAAGTTAACATAGGTTAAACTCAAAATTGCACAGATCATAATTACTTTTTCAAAACAACTGATTTTTAAATTTTATCAGTCAGTTAGCCCCTCTGAGACCCAGGAGAGCGCCGGCAACTCCGAACGTTTGTACTGCCGTTTGCTTTACATGACTGCAAAGTTAGTGTGGCTGTTGGACTGCATTAGGACAATGGCCCGGTGCATAACGTCAAAATAGGATACATACTAAAATTTCTGCTTGCACTCCGAATCACTTTTTTTCGTAATACTTTTTATGTCATTCTGTTAAATGATTTGTATACATTGTTCGAAGAAAGGCGTTGCGGATCCGGTTGCCGAGATGGCGTATTAAAATGGATGAAAAGTTTAAATGCAGGTGTTAAAAGTCTGGTTATTCGATCTTTCTTGAACTTTGCTGCAAAGACAGATGGTCATAAAGCCCGAAAGTGAACCAATTTCAGGCTCATAGCACTTTCCATGATTTTTAAAAATGAATTTTGAAATTTTGAAATTCATTTGAAATCGGAAAAACGCTATGGATCTCATATTGGTTCACTTTTGACTTTATGGCCATGTGTCTTTTATAGCAAAGTTTCAAGAAGATCGGGTAACAACCAGACTTTTGGTATATACCAATGCATTTAAACTTTTCACCCATTTTAATACGCTATATCTCGGCAACCGGATGTTGCGCGCGCAAACGGTTTTCAGAACAATGTATACAAATCATTCAGCTTTAGAATGACATAAAGTATCACAAAAAAGGGATTCGGAGTGCGCGAAAGCGAAAGTTAGTGTATGTATCCCATTTTTGACAGCATGTACCGGGCCATTTCCTTTAATTCGCTTCCCCAGTGGACAAGTAGCGGAGATGCAAAAACGACAAAATTTTGTGTGATTCGATGCGGAACATTCGATTTGCTTCTCCCGTTGGCCGAAGCTTGCTCCGTAAGAAACTGTCTAAAGTACTCCGCTCCGTTTTCTGCACGCTACCAGAGCTTTATAAGCCGACGCCGACGCACCCGTATTAGTCGTCGTCGACATGCCCGCATCATTATGCGACGCACCAATATTCATCGGTGTTCAGAATTACACATTTACAACAGGACAAAAGGCAATTTTTTTCACGAAGAACAAGAGGCTTCACAAAATATCCACAGAAAACTACAAGCAGTACCAGTATTTCTACGTTAAGCCCAGATGATGCCTTTGGCGGTCGCAGTACATCGGTTAAGCAGTTTTTTGCATAAAGGCGTTTGCAGTTATGGAAATTTTGCGATCCACTTTCAGAGCAGATTTTTCATAACATTTTCCATATTTTAATTTCGTTTTTACTAGCAACTGGAATCTTCAGAGTTACGCTAAACTTGAGTTGCGCTAACTTATTTTTGAGTTGCGCTAGAGTTAAGTTTTCGTCCTGGCGAGTTAAGTTTCAGAGTTAAGTTATAACTCGTTAACTCGAAAAAAACTCAAGTTAAGTTAAATAGTTAAAATTAACTGCCCAGGTCTGGTGCCTTTAGCCTGTCGGAAACGAGCTGTGAATCGGAGGAAGAAGATGATGCAGGTACTGCAAGTGTGTCTGTCGACAGACAATATTAATTAAACCTTACGGAAATTTTCGTAGTTCTAAATGAAGGTTATTCTATCGTCAAACTTGTAGATTTATGAATGCTGTTAGGTTTATAATTTATTACAACTTCACACGACATGGCTGCCCGCGATGGTTTTCAAAATTTTGATATTCTGCCGAAATTTAGATAGTACTTATCTTTCGCACATCAGATAACACACAGTGTTTAAATGCGGCGTGTTACACACAGTGTTAATGTGGCACAGTGTTTAAATGACTGTTAAAACGTGAAACATGCCGTTCTGCAGTTAAACCGCAGCCAGCAATGCGTCCGATGCGTCCTGGTTTTGCACGACGCACAGGAGTGGCAGTGGACATGGCCCCACAAGAAGCAGAAGAACCACGCTCGTTGGAGTTAGAATACGGTCAACCAACGCCACCAAAGAGCACTATTCTGGACAACAAGGGCATGTTCCCGCAGAATCCGTTTGTGCCATCAATTTTCATTAAGGCTAAGTAATTTAAGCAGTTTTCCGTTGTTACAGTATGCTTCTTTTGTTGTTCATCATGCATTTATTGTTATTGCGGAGTTTTCGCTATTTTGAAAGCTTCCGTGTTGTTCACAATCTTGCAGTTGGGATCTGTAGTTTTGAACGCTTTTATTTGCATTTTATCTCGTCGGTAAATCGCCCTTTTGGCTGATGATCTGTAGTCTTTTGTTAACCTGCCTAGTCTAACAGTTTTATCGGAAGATTGAATCTGTATGCAGCCGCCGATGACGTAACGGAATTTAAGAGAATTAAAAGAGCTTTAACCGCAAGTTGTGATTGGTCAGAATTGTCGGGAAGTTTCCACACGTACTAGTAGCGGTACAAATCGGCAAATTAGCAGTATATAAGCGCACTCCTGCAGAGTTAATCGGCACAGTGCTGTCTCATTTGAATTTGCACTTTTTCGGCGCCGCACCGGCGAGTTAGAAGTTTTTCAGTTCCCGGTGTAACTTTTTGTGTTTCTTGTTGTGTGAGCTAAAGGTCATCGTTTTTGTTGTGTGTTATGCGGAGTGATGCCGCCGATTGATCCGAATCGAGCCTTCGAAAAGCTCGTCGATGCCGTTTTCCAATCCTCCCAACAGCACCAGCAGCATGGATACCGTGGTGGGTACCACCGTGGCGGTTTCCGTGGAAGATTTCAGTCGCGTCGCGGTCAACATGTGCGAGGCCACGGAGTCGACAATCTCCGTCGTGGCCCACCAGCTTGGATTCGTGGAGGCAGACCCCTGGGGCAGCCGTCACCTAATCAGATTGCTGCTGGACATGATGATCCACCTCAGCGCGTGGCGGATCCCAGCGTCCCTATGGACGTCGATGCCGCGCAACCTGCGCCGCCGGCTCCACCAGCTGAAAACCCGAATCATGGACCTGTGGTTCCGCCTGGCCCCGTTGGTTCTCATGCTGATCGGCATTTATCAGGCGCGAATAGTGGCGTAAGTGACCTTTTGCCTGTTCCTTCTGGTGTTGTTGTGCCTGCAGTGGCCCCGGTGAGTGTGCAGCCTGTTCCGTTGTCGTCGCATCCAGGATTGCCACCGGGTGTAGAACCGTTTGTTTCGCCAACAGCAGTACCAGTGCGTGACCGCTCAGCATCGCGTGATAGGATCGGAAAGCCGTCCCATGATTTCGTACCGAATTTCGTCGCGGATCAGGAGTTACTGCAACAGAAACACCGCGAAGCAGAGATGGAAAAGCGCCGTAAGATGGCCGAAGAAGTCAGTCGCCGTTTGGATGCAGTATCAGCCTCGTCGAATGTTGGCCAAACCGGATTATTCTCTTTAGCGCCGAGCAGCAGCAAGTAACGCATTAATTTTCGATTTATTTTTGTTTTAATGCTGGTCATTTGCCGTGTTTTGATCTTGTTATTGTTTCTGTGATATGACCCTGAATCTTGTTGCTCATTTTATTTTTTGTTATTTTTGGATTTTACTGCTGTCAATTATGACTTGTCATTCGGAAGGCCATTGTTGTGTTGTTGTTATTTTACTGATGTGTGTTTTGGGACAAATTCGGATTAGACCGTCGTCCCAGTGAAGGATTGACCGTACGCAACCCTCAGGGACCCTAAAATAATGAAATGTAAAATCCAAAAAAATAATAAAAACAAGAAAAAGTTGTGCAGCCCTGGTTTCCTTGTAATTATTAGGAATAAGAAATAAATTTGGAATTAAAACACTCAAACCGGAAATAAAGAGTACACACGGTACACCCGTACAGCAATTGCAGTTACGTAAAAACTCCATAGCGCGCACATAGCTAGCAGTGCTATACAATGCACTGGTACGCCGTATCCGCATTCGAACTCGTAAACTTTTAATTTCGCAGTAATTTCAACTCCGCGACCGGAGTTGAATATCAGTCAGTGCAGCAACAGTTTTAAAATTATACGGATTAATTTTTATTCGCGCTGGTACATGTGTGTATGATATTGTGACATGGCCCAACGCAAGCGATCTGTCTCCTTTTTCCAACGTTATACAGCGGATATTGAAGAGAAGCGTGCAGCTAGTGCTCGTGCTGCAGTGTCCTTGGAATCTATCAGTAAGATTCCCGTTGTCGGATATGCCTATCGACGAGGATCTCTAGCCTCTACGCAGTTTGGTTCGCCACCATTGTCGGAACGAACACTGTCGACATCCTCAGTGTTTTCTGCACCGGAACTTGGATATTCTTACGCACAGAAGGATGAACCTAATCATCAGATGGTTCGCGCCGCCCAGCTAATCAGTAAAGCGTTGGACCTCGTGGATACAGTGCAGGCTAAAGATCGTCTGGCCTCAAAAACCTTCATCCGTCAGAATGTGAGTGCCCAGCGCTGGTCGAAAATTGCACCATTGTTGTTTGGAGGAGAAATCGTCGGTCAGAAGCGCAAAGCTCAGCACGAACATGTGGAGCCACATTCAGCGCCACCGATTGTGAAAGGATACGCTACTTTCCATCAGCAGAAGCTATCTCCGCTGAAAGAGTCCACCTCGGGATCAACATCCAGTACCTCGGAAAGCAAGCCGCGTAAATTTTATATCGATGACGAGCCATTTTCCGTCTAAATTTACAATAATTAGTAGAATTCAGGTGGACTGTTTGTTAGTGTTGAGATGGGACGACTGTCCAGTGTTAATCAAACTATGTTAATTGGATTAATTTTAAATAGAACTTGTAATATTCTAGAATAACGCGTGGTAATAAATTTGCTATTTATTTATGGGTAATACGCGATATGATTTCTTAAATAAAAAGAATAAAAGTTGGAATTTACAGCATTTCCGGTGTACACTCCTTCCGTATGGCAGTTTCCGTAATATTGTACAGACACCGTATACAACGCATAGTTAGATTCGACAAGTGCAGAACTTTCAGTTCTTGTTCCGTATTATTCCACAGTGCGGATTGTTCATATTTTATTTTTCATTTTTCAGTATCCTCAGGTTTTCATTTATACTTCTCATTATGCCGCGTCGTATTATTACGGGTCGAGCGAGACGTTTAGGCATTGAAGCATTAGAAGCGTATGATCGAGCGAAGGCAGAATGTGAGCAAATGTTAGCTGCTTCAATGGTCTATATTCAGGCGACGGAAAACATGGATGAAGTTCGTCGTCAGAATGAGGAATGGGATCGACAGTATGCTCTTGAAGAACAAGTTGGTTCGATTCTTGATGTGATCGAGGACGACGAGGATAAGCAGCGATGGATTCGATCAGTGAAGTTGCATTTGATGAATAATTCGTCGGGCACGTTGATTAAGAAGAACCCTGACGAGCCGTGGTCCGCTCCTGATACCTTCGATGTCGATGCATACGACAAATGGTCCGAAGGATTGTATGAGCAGTACGAGAAAGAGTCGTCTGAACCTGGAGAGCAGCAGCAGGAAGAGCCCGAGGAGCCAGTAGCTGAGCTTGTGGTTCGAGCTCCGTCCGAAGAGATTCCGTATCGCCCAGTCATTCCAATGGACGTCGACGAAGACAAGGAAGACGTGCAGCCGAAGTTTGTCTCCATCATTAGCCTGCATAACTATCCTCGTAAGCAATAGTTGCTGTGACGGAAGAGCAGTTTTGTGTTGATTTTACACTTAAGGTTTTATTCTGTATAAATCCCGTAAGTACTGGATGGATGCTAGATTTGCGCGTTTTCGCTATTGTACTTTTACCCAATTTGGCTCTATAATTAGAAGCAGTGGAAGTTATCATTTTTGTTTCTTGCGTATATGAAGCAATAATCACAGCGCATCTCAGTACATTCAAACGTGTAAATAAAGCTTTGTGCCAGTCAGTATATCACAAACACCACAATTATACGGCACAGTAGTGGTTAGTAGTAGAACTTAGCCTCCTTAGATCCTGGACCTCCACCTCGCCAATCCCATGGACTTCCGGATGCCGTCGACGCTAAGGATCCTACACTAACATTAACCGGATCAGGCGTACAGTCATTGGGCATCGGATGGACATGCGCGGATTGTGCAGGATGAGAGAGGGGATCAGGATGGAGCATGGAGCGCTACACAATCCAGCGGGATGGACTGGATGGATTTGTTTACGTTTGCGGGAGCAAAAAACCGTTTGTGGGGGTGACGTGTGGAGAGGAGTACGTACGAGGATTCCACCGTACATCCACTGACTGTCCGCCTTTACCTGCAACACGGATATCAGTTAATCAGTTCTGTGATTCGTTACTCAGTTATGGCTTAGCGGTGTATTTGATGTTTACTTCTGCTAGTCTATAAATTCTCATGTCGCCTCTAATATCGACAGCAGTCTTGGATTTCAGATTTCGAGACTACTTGCTTTTAACTTTCCTGTGTTGTGCATATGATTGTGTGTTAGCGGAGTAAAGCATCTTCTGTGATTATCGACGTTCGTAATTTGTATCGGATTATAGCGTGGTAAACACGGTATGCTCGTACTGCGTCCGACCCGCATATGTAACGACCGGAAGTTAGGAGTATCCAGCACAATTGCTTAGGGATTCCAGATTCTTCGTGTTCCTGATAATTTCCTCCATTTTCTACTGTAACAGTTGATTTAAGAGTTTGCTCTACCGATTGAGTCGTGGCAGGGAAGTGGTTAGTCTCTTACACTAAACCGTACAGAGTCTCTTCACACGACAAATGTTATGTTTCTGTTAAATGTTGAGAGTAGTTTTTTTTATTAATGCTTTGAGTTTATTATGTTAGGAAATAGGTGTACAGTACTCGTACTGTAATTTGGCGGTTCCGTGGCTTTGGCAGTCATGGAACCATTAGCTGTATTAATTTTAATCTTTTGAAATAGCTGATATCTATATAGCAACTATTGCAACTATCCAGGCGCAAACATATGGAATAAAAAACTGTAGAACAAAGGCTGCTTAGCTACGGCGCTTCCGATTGTGTGGGAAATGTAAAAACTTTGTGTATTATTTGGTAAATGCACTTTTTCATTCGCATGTGATATTATGCAATACTCCCCTGACGTTTCGAAATACACCATTAGAATGAGTTTACAAAAATATCAATTGTCAGATGCACTTTTTCCCTGTGCAGTAGCGGTTTTTCTGGCATATACAAGTTGCCGGTAGGTTAAACTGCAGTGAGTGCGCTGTCGGAAGCGGAAATCATCGTCAGCATGAATTGTTCATGACTGGAGCGTGTTGTCTGAACATTTTTTCCGCTGCCACTAATCTCAAGAGGCTCTTAAAGAAGTAGCCACTTTATTACATGCGCCTGCTAAAAACCACGCAGTTTCTATCGAACTGCGTAGTATAACCATTCAAGCACTAGATCATATGGAGTGTTCCATAAAATTCCGGATCGGCTGAACGCAGCCAACAACAAACTGACTCGTCTTCCGAAAAGTGCCTGGCTTTATGGAAATAAACATAAAACAGGGCTTTTCATTTTTTTCGTAAAACAAAGCATAAACATAAACAGTACAACTGTACAACGCATAAACAGTACTTTTTCTAATTTAGTAAACTAAAAAATTTCTGGCATGCAACCAGTTACAAGTTCCCATACACGAGTGAATACTTAGAAAACATGAGTGATTGCAGAAATCGAAAGTCCGCTGTAAAAATAATACTTCTGTAGGTCTGGTAATATGAAAAGATCTTCCGATTTATTTTGGGGGTAAACTAACTGATATGAACGGGAATATCGATAATTGAAAATCAATACTTTAGTAGAAATTAATTATCACTAAATTAGAAACTAAATTGCATATCTATTGGTAATGTAATTTGTATTTATTAAATTACAATGCCTTTAAAAAACACTTCGTGGCATTTCCTCGCGGAAATAGTTCCGTCGGTCGTGGTATATATCGAGAATACATGAGACTTTCTATAGTCTATAATTATACGGCTTGTTTCTGAACAGTGTACGGGAGTCAGTAACCAAATTGTGACACGCACCTGTTCTGCAACAATTTTGGAGGGTAGTTAAGTACTATACAATGTACGACGAGAGCATACTATTTACAAAGCAGTCCATTCTTATTTCTTAAATTTATTGTTGATTTTGTTTGCCATACTGCTGGGCCGCTGGCAAAATTTTGCCAGCTGTCTAGCAGCAACGTAGCTGAAGTAAGCGTGCGGCGGACCAGAGAGCACGCTGCTGGAATAAAAATCTTCAAAAATTCGTAATTTTGTAAATTTTAGTGTTAAATTCTTTTGCATAAGCTTAAAAAATACAAAATAACGCATACCGTTAGGCAAAAAAAACTGATTCTCAGTTGTTTTCGGGTTATTCACTGTGAGCCTTTGCTGCTAACATAAGTACCTGTCTATGGAAGACTCATTCGAGATTTCTCATAGGCGGCTATGCTAAGCACGTATGCTCTGAGTGCCAAACCTTGAGATCAAACCAGAAAATCAGTTATTCTTCCTAATAGTATATATTATTTTAAATTTCTTAAGCGCATATAAAAAAATTCAGCACGGAAAATAACAAAGTTACGAATTTTCGAAGATTTTCATTCCAGCAGCGTGCTGCTAGAATGAGAATGTGCTCATTTTAGCACCCATTTCCTGCCTGAAATATTGAAATTAGCCCCTTTGGTGTGGATTGAACCAAAATTAAAAATTTGATATTTTGAAAAAACCCGTTAACAAGTGCACTGTAACTGACGCAATCGCAAACATGCGACGGTTTAATGCAGTTTCTCACGGCTGGTTGTTTTTCTCGTATTTGCAAGATGACTCCAACTCTTGTGGCTCGATCAGTCATTGTTTAAAACAATCCAATTTCAAAAATTCATGCTGCTTTCTGTGACAACTTTTGTCGCTGCCAAGAAATTTCAAAACATGCGGAATCACGCTTATGAAACGTTTAAGTTCATTTTGAGTAATGTGATTAGAATGCAAAATCGATTTTGTACGTTTTACTCCACAGCCACCGCCTTCAGTTTTTATGGTGCTCGGGAACCGGCAATCAGAATTTTTTCCTTGACCGGTTTTAAATGAAAAGGCAAATTCTAAATTAGAAAATTTAAAATTAGAAATTCAGCATGTTCTAAAAACACTCAGCAAAAACAAATTCTAAATTAGAGAAACAGCTAAAAGTTTTTGGCTTTTGCGTTAAATGTAACTGCTAATATCCTTACAAAGTCCATGCTTGGGTGATTCAGCAAAATTGAATGAGTCGATAACACACAAAGCTAGCGTTTCATTCGATGGAGTGTGGAACGCAACCAGCGGTCAGCGGCTTACTTAAGTAACTAAACCAACTGTGGATGGTTGCACAGTTACACTGCCAGCAATGCTAAACTACCCTCTTAAAAAGTATTAACCATTCAAAAACAAGCCGTATATACTTAGTCTTTGTATGAATAACGTATACAGTATCTTTATGTATGCATAACTCACTGCGCTCTGCAGGATTTTGCCCTCCGGAAAATACTAAACCACTACCCTAAAATGGGCGAATCAAAGGCGCGTAATATTTTGGTTACAAATCTCCATAGACAAAGCAAAAACAAGACGTTAACACTATTCCTATGCGAAGACTAGTCTTCTTCTTTTCATACATAGTGTTAAGTCTGCATCTGTGTGCAGACCGACGTAAAATCCTCATTTGCGACTAGGAATTCAGTTTATCGCAAATCTATTAGTATTCGCGATTCAACTCCTTTTTTTCTGCATACGTAAGTAAATCTAGTTACCAGTCACTTTACATGGCCATGGTTTTAAAAATATAATGATTAATATAGGTCACAAGTGTTCGTTTATACAAAGCTGATTGTTTCGAATTGTTCGCATGTAGAGAGGATAATTATAACCGATGAACACGGCATTTCCGGTTCAGAACAACCCGGTAGTGGAGCGCAAAATGTAAGTATACGTACAAATACGGCGCTTACAATAGCATCGCGTCACTCTCATTAGGATGTGTGGACTGGAGCAGGTTCCGTGCTCGTGCATTGTCTGATTTAATTAAAATCTCAGGTGATGAAGTCAAGATTTATCTCAAGAGGCCAAGCGAGCTCTCTTGGCGATTATGTTAACGAGGGAGATACCCGAACACGTCCGCGTCAGATCAGCATACACTTGGTAACATTAGAATCCTTAGAAATTCAGCTATTTTTTTCGACAGTCAAAACACCCCCAGATAAAGAACTCGAGTTTAGGGATCTGCGAGAAACCAACACAGATATGATGGCTGACTTCCATCGAAACGTCATCAGGCGCCAAAGACCACAGTACGCTATACCGCGCCATTGTACGGATTCGTGTTTACGCAACCGTCGTGCAGCGAGAAGTGCAAAGTATTGTAATCTCGATAGCTATTGCAGCTTTTTGTCTCACTACGCGCGACAGCATCGACTGGCTGCATAGAGATCAATGCAACCGCGGATGCTGGTGCGCGCGATAGGGCTAATTAGGTGAGACAGCTGTCAAAAAAACAATACAAAATCTACGGATTGAAGCTAGACTAACCGTAGCGCATGGCGTAGCTTAACTGCGCATTGCGTATGGCGTCTGCTGACGTTTTGATGGATGTCAGCCATCATATCTGTGCTGGTTTCTCACAGATCCCTAAATTCGAATTCTTTATCTGGGGGTGTTTTGACTTTCGAATAAAATAGCTGAATTTCTAATGATTCCAATGTTACCAAGCGGATGCTGATCTGACGCGGACGTGTTCGGGTATCTCCCTCGTAAGTACCAACCGCTGTAATCAACACACACCATATCCGAACCGCGTCAACGAACCGGTAGTTTTAAGCCGGCTATAGGCGAGGAAGAGCCGACGTGATCGGAACATGATCTCCATTATTAAATAAAACATCATTCCGCATTAACCTTTGCCCAATCTGAGTCTTAATATTTTAAGAATTATTGTCTACACTCAAAGACGGGATTATTTGTATTATTCAAGAAGTGCCGCGGATACTGCGCCGTTTTCCCCCCGTCAGATGTAGATCATTGCCGTATTGATTATTTTTTCAGCCAACTGAAGCGCACAGTATTTTGCAGTTTGTTGTCAGATGTCATCAGTGTGAAAATAAATAATGCGTGTCCTGTACAGAGCAGAAAAAATCACTCGTGGTGCTAGCACTTCAGGAAGAATTTTGACGTCAAAAGTGTAGCATAATGCCGGTCAAATATCAGATGTTTCTCTTAACAAGGGGCATACCCGACCACCTGGCACTCGGATCAGTTCATGCTTAGTATCATTAGAATCCTCAGAAACTCTATAATTTTGTAACAATAACCCCGCTAAATCAGCACACCGCCGCGACAACATTGACCATGAAATGCAAAATGTGTTCGCATGGTATACTATTATTGACACTGTATGACATTGTATTGGTCTATGTAATCTCGGTAATCTGGTATGTAAACAAAGAAGCACCGCTATTTTCGGCTGAAAAATTCGTCGAGAAAATTTAATGGTGTTTTGTTTAATTAATGCAACATGCAGCCATAGATTACGAATAGAACACTAGTCTGGAATTTTCGGAACAAAATTACCCATTTTTGCATTCGGGCACTTACTAAGAAAACCAGGCAATAATTCTGCGACCTTTATACGAGTACCGGCTCCAGGCTCGGTAGCAAATTTATGTTTGTCGTGGGAGATTCCGTGTCGTGCACGCCTGTATATTAATGCACCGGTGTATCTGAATAAAAACGGTAAAATGGAAATTTTGCGGTAAGACATGCGTTATTATTTGCCACTAGGGCATATTATTTACGTCACGACAAGCAAGCGGGTTATTCACTTAACAT